GTATCACCAGTGCAAGCTGGCGTTGCAGTATCGGAGTCGACTTACGACGTATCTACATCAGAGGTATCTAAGCAATATGACATTTTACAGTCTCAGTGCGCTGGATGACCGGATAAAGAATGCGGATCAACTGATCACAGTGGATGTGTCAAGATTCTCCAACAGTTTGGCGGAATTATATTCGAATCTAGCGAAGCCGATACTGGATATTATAATATACAACTACTCACTCTCAAGATCAGTCGGTGGAGAGGGATTATTCGCCATGAGTCTGCTCGTCCAGCTCTCCGCCAACGTCATGCGCGCCCTGACGCCTCCTTTTGGAAAATATGTGGCCGAAGAAGCACGATTAGAGGGCGAATTCCGCTTCCAGCACTCGCGGCTCATCGACTACAGCGAAGAAATCGCACTCTACAACGGGCACGAGGCCGAAAAAGACACACTGGATAAAGGGTATTTCACCCTAATCAAACACGTTAATCGCATACTCCGTCGCCGCCTCTACCACGGCGTTATGGAAGACTTTGTCATTAAATATTTTTGGGGCGCTTTGGGGCTCATGCTCTGCAGCGTGCCCGTCTTCTTCAAAATCCCAGGCCAGACACTACACGGTATGGGCGATCGAACAGAGAGTTTCGTTACGAACCGCCGCATGCTCCTCTCCTCCTCCGATGCCGTGGGCCGCGTCATGTTCTCTTATAAAGAAATCACCGAATTAGCCGGCTACACCTCTCGCGTCGCCACTCTGCTCACCGTGATCGACGACATCCAAGCTGGGCATTTCGAAAAGAAACTCATCTCCTCCGCCGTGTCTTCCGAAAACACCGCCGTGCTCAAAGGCAGAGGCGAAGCCATCGAAAGCTCCGACATCGAATTCACCTCGGTCCCCATCGTCTCCCCCAACGGCGACATCCTCGTCCGCGCCCTCTCCTTCTCCGTCCGCCCCGGCGCGCACCTCTTGATCGTCGGCCCCAACGGCTGCGGCAAGTCCTCCCTCTTCCGGATCCTCGGCGGGCTCTGGCCCGTCTACGGCGGCACCGTGCGCAAGCCGCCCCACTCCTCCATCTTCTACATCCCGCAACGCCCCTACCTCTCCCGCGGGACCCTCCGGCAGCAGATCATCTACCCGGACTCGACACGGCAGATGCGCGCCAAGGGCATCACGGACTCGGACCTGACCAAGTGGCTCGAAGCCGTCGACATAGCGCACATAATCGACGACCGACCCGGCGGCTGGGACGCCGAAGACGAATGGACGTCGACGCTCTCCATCGGCCTGCAGCAGCGCGTCGCCATGGCGCGCCTCTTCTACCACGCGCCCCAGTACGCGATCCTGGACGAATGCACGTCCTCGGTGACGCTGGAGGTGGAAAGGGCCATGTACGACACGGCCAAGGCGCTCGGGGTGACGCTGATGACGGTGTCGCACCGGCGGAGCCTGTGGCGCCACCACGGCTGGATCCTGCAGTTCGACGGCCACGGCGGCTACTTTTTCGGTCCGCTGGACGCGGCGCGGAGGCTCAGGCTCGAGGACGAGAAGGAGGAGCTCGAGCTCCGGCTGCGAGGGGTGGAGGAGATGGAGAGGCGGGTGGAGGAGTTGGGGGGGTCGGTGGGGGACTGATCGAGGTCGCTGGGTTGGGTGCGTGTGGTTCGAGTGGGTGGATGTATCACATATATTTCTTCTTTGGAAACAAAGCTCTACCCAATGATTGGAGATGAACAGAAGCATGGTGAAGGCGATTCACCCAGTGTTTGAAAGCTGCTCGTTCGGCTCTTGTGGTCCAAGTGAATAGTGATATCTTAGGCCCACACATACCAAAGGCATTTCTTCGGCGCGCCATCATCTATGTAAAGGTGCTAGTCTAAGAAATTCTATGTCTGCCCTCACCAGGACTCCTTTGCTTTCATCTCGTTCGTCAAATCATGATGCCCATCCCCTTTCCTCCATCTTCTACCATCGGAAGCCGCGGTCCATTCTGCGCCAATCCACTCGTCACTGATGTTTCGCCGTACTCCCCTTGCTCCGAAACGTGCTCACGGCCGGAATGTTCGCCTTAAAGCGCTGCTCCTCCGTACTATACGCCCTCGGGGTCAACTTGATCAACGTATGCAACGGCACCTCCATCCAGGGACTCTTCTCCTGCGGCACGTTCATGTAATACGCGTAGATACACCTCAGCACGGCCTGGTGCGTCACGATGATGATGTTCTCACTGCGCTCCAGCTCCATGATGATAGGCTCAAGCCTGATGACAACGTCGCGATACGACTCTCCACCCCGGTAGCGATAATTGTGTTTATCGTCATCTCTCGCTTTGAAATCTTCGGGGTACTGGTCCGCAATCTCTTGGTACGTGAGGCCGTCGCAGACGCCAGAGTCCAATTCGTCCAAGGCTTTCCATTCGAGCTTGTCGTAGCCTTTTGGGGATGCGTGGAGAAATCGAGCTGTTTGTATTGTGCGTTTAAGGGTGGAGGTCCAGATTGTAAGCTGGCGGTCGTCACCGACGGAGGATGTGACAAGGTCGGGAAGCGCACGGGCGTAGAGTTCACCGCGATCAGAAATATTAGCGTCGCCGCCGATTTGGCCGGAAAGATTGAATTCGGATTCGCCATGCTAGACGATTGTCAGCAAAAGGATAGAGTGCTGGGAAGGAGATAGGAGGCATACCCTCGATAGCCAGATTGAACGAGGACGTATGTGAAGGTTCATCAGGTAGTAGACAACTCGGCTTTGCAGGTAATCCTGAATCTGGTTGATGATGACTTGCTTTCCAACATCGATCAGCTTCACGTATGTCAAGTCCTTTTCATCCTCATCGATCGTCTCGTAAACCTTCTCATAATTCCGTATTCGGTTCCGAAAGTCCAGTGCAGCCGCTTCTGGATCTTGGCCTGTATAGTCGGGCGATGTGGTCTTGACCTCCATGATATTTGCCATGATGGTCTCTTCAGAATCACACTTCGACTCCACATAGAGTGTCTCGATGCCGTTGGCGTCGCAGCGTTGACGCACCCATCGTCTTCTAGCCTTTGTAGAATTTGTAGCATCCAATATAGCCACGATTCCCCCGTCCGACTTGAACCATTTGAGCATGTCTTTCACCGCGGCTTCCGCAGCAGCATGCCGCATACGCTCGCCGTCTTTATTGGATGTATCGAAGAAGTCGGCCGTGGGCTGTGGGGTGTCCTGTCGGCGGTAGGAGCCAACATTGAAGGTCTTCGCACGTATAGAAAGCCACCCTAGGTATCTGACGACTGGTTCAAGAGTCTACTGTCAGCTTCAGCTCGGGCCAAACTTAGGGGCAGGAGGCTCATGTACCTTTCTGAGCAATTAGACTCTTGCCTCTGGCGGGCAGACCAACCATGACAACCACGATTCGAGTATCTTCGACCTGTACCCCTTTACTATTAGTCTTCTTGTATGGGGCAGCCATCATGGCTTGTTGACGCTGGTCTCGTGCTTCACGCGATACAGTGTATTAGAAGAGAGAATGCGGCAGGCACAAGACAAATTGAAGATAAATATTTGATAAAAGTACGAGGATCAAATAGACGGCCATGCAAGCAAGGTCTGCTCCGGCCAGAGATGTTTGTAGAAAGCAGATGCAGGTGGCCACGGAAGCAGGGCTTGATTGACCAGATGACACTTGGGGATGGCAGGACCCATGCAGAGCACCTTCCGTGTTGTCGCCCTGCAGTTCCTTTCGTGACTGTACACCAATGGCATCTGGTTCCTGCAAGGTACCTTCCGAAATGGCCGCTGTGGAGGCTCGAAAGTGTCAAAATTCCATGTACAAGTCGGAAAATGACGAAAAGTCTGAGCAGAATTGATTGCATGAGGAATGGCTTTTATTGAATTCTCACGTGCCGACATTTAGCCCGCAAGCCCGCTGGTCCGCAAGTGGAAGCGCTAACCCTCAGCAAAGCGAGAAAAGCCCAATACCGGTAAGGCCTTGAACCCTTATTGTCCGAGGTAAGTAATATAAGAAGGCAGGACACTCCCTGAAATGCGGCTCTCTGCGACTCGATTGGCATTCCAGAGTGTCTTGTAATTACCAGCATAAACCGTGATATTGGCGAGACATGTGCTGGCTTTCCGTTGAGCCAGCATTGAGCATAAGGGGAAGGCCTTGAATCAGTACTCTAGCACAAATTCTTAGATGCTTCCATACGCAGGAAACCTGATAGCCATATCCTGTTGGATGAAGGCTCTTGGAAGCCAGCACCATGCTTTCCCTTTTCGAGGGACGAGTGTTCAATCTCCGGCCGTGGAGCGGTCCTGCCCCCACATATCATCGCAGCGGGGATTGTTCCGGAGGCAAGCACCATGGTGTCTTACCGACTTCTGGAATGAAGCGACAGCTTCAAGAAGAAGGAGGCAGAACGAGAGCAAAGAGTGGAAGAAATATCGACTAACATTGCTCATGGAATATGTCGTCGTTGATGAACGCGCTCTCCCCGTTGGGGCGGCCACTTGCGCTACCATCTTTGCCGTCGGCTTGCACCAGCACCAGCGTTAGCACATACACAACCAAGACACTTGGACACTTCTTTTCAGTTCAATAGGAGAGGAATGGGTATGTTGTCGGTAGAGATTCTTGATGCTCTGCAAAACTTGAAGGATGAAGTACTGTAGGGAAACTTGTTGAGGCTCACCGCCAGAATTGGACTGCCGCACAGTGACATCCGCAATCCGCAATCTGGACCTTATCTCAGCTGCCCCACAAAAGGCAATTCTGTCAACAATTCCACGTCAGTATCTATATGATCCAAACCACGATCTTAAACCTATCATCGCTCTCTGCTACTCTGCATCATCATTATTGTAATGGTGTACACAGTTTTCTGCCTTGAGTGCTGTCAAACAAACGAACGTCTCCTGCTCGCCGTTCCACACATATGCTATCTGTTGCGTGTCCAAGCTCTAGCCCCAATGCGGGAAATACAATGTGCCTCCTCCAAAATACCGTAAGAAACGCCTGCCAGAGTCGTTGAGAGGGTTAACGAAAAGCCTTTCGGAGAATCGCCTTTGCCTGCTCAGTGCGCTCTGCCCTGACAATCTCTCGATCTCTTCTGTCCTCGATGGCAGAAGTTGCAAGTTTTCTATCCGCTGCTTGCGGGAACGACCTCGCGTACCGTGCCCTCAGTGCCCCTTGTAACTTTTCTGTTCTCATATCCCTTGAGCAAACCTCTTCGTCTTTGGTGGTGTCGACGGTACGAACGTCCACTTCTTCCGGCCTCAATCCAGTCCAACCTCTCCTACCATCGGCCCACCTCGGCCTTTTACCATACGACCGCCAATCTGCTGGTCTGAAGTTCTCACTCCTCTGCAGTCGAACCTCACACTTCTCGATCAACATCTCCAATCCTCTCGCGTAAGCTCGAATTCCTGCTCGTAGCCTGTACTGCTTATTGGCAACTTGCACCGCATGCGCCGCTTTCTTCAATTTTGACAACTTGGCGATGTGGCCGTGACGAGCGAAAAGAACCGGGAATATCTGTCGGTACTGCTTGTCATTTTCTCTATGCTCTATCAACTCGCGAGCAATGCAGCATCGAACTTTGTCGATTTGCTCGCAATGTAATCTGTAGTATGCGGCAACTTGATCGACTCTGGCGGTCTTGAGGAGGGTTAGATACGCCATGATCTGTCCCTCGGACGGCAGGGTAGATATCTTGACGGGCCAGTTGCGGATTTCGACCATCTTCATTCGTTGAGTCTGGAAGCTCTTCCCCTCAATATACTTTTTCCCAAAGAACCACCCATGATGCCCGCTTTGCCATCGCGACGGAGAATTTTCGAGTCCTAGTTCTCTCGCAGTTGCTATCGCCTCTGCGATCATGTTCTCGAGCGGTTTTCCTAGTTTTCGAGATCGTTCTCGTTGGGGCTTTCCCTTCTCGAGTACTTCCGTCCATTGCTGTGTCGAGGGATCCGTTGACGCGGCTGGCGCTGGCTGAGATTGCGAAGTCGAAGATGATTCGGGCATTCTTGTCAAAGAGAGCGGCATATTGAGAATATTCACTGGAGATTCTCACCACGGTGAATTGCACCGGTGCTGCTCTCTTGGGACTGAAGCAGTCTCGCGCTTTTTCGTCCAAATCTGGGCATTCTTGTATGGCGAAATGGTGGTTCTGAGAGATAGAACATGTGGTCATAAGCCTTGGTGAGCACAATGCAAATTGTGTTAATGAAATCGGCTACAGTATTAACAACACCAGCGACAAACATTTTGTGATCTGAAACAGTGTGTTGATGACACCAGACTGGAACGTGTCGTACGATCTGAAGGCAATAGTCTATAATTACGTATAGAAATATTACAGGCATCAAACGTCCAAGATGCGAGATCATACATTTTACCAAGATGAGATGATGAGGAGGTGGTTGTTTCCTCCTGAAGGCAGTTCCCTTTATCGCATTTTCTTCCAACGTTCCAGAAAGCTTAGCCTCCACGACGGCCTTTGACAGAGACGCTTAAAACTCGTGGTCAACCCCCAACAGTCGTGCCTCATTCATTTCTGCTACCTCGCAAAAGCAGAAAGGTGTGGACCCCGAGCAGGAATCTCATCTGAGACCAAGATCATGAGGATATGCCAAAGTAGATCCGTAGCGAGATCCTACTGCATTGTAGAGCGTAAGATACTCCGACGAAGCGGTGATAATCTTGCCATGCGTTGGAGGTTTTCATTGATAGCGGCTTGCAGTAGACTTATCGTCTAGCTGATCATTACTCGAGGGGAGGAGCAGCTTAGCCATATCACAAATGTTGGGCAATGAAAGGAGGCTTGAGTACCAGGAGCTGGCTGCATGGAGGGACAAGCTGCCAACACCTCACAAAGCCCGGCAGCTCTTCCGTTGCTCTCTCCATTCTACAATATTCTTGCATCCACTTTCTCCCATACATCTTCCCCTCTCCTCCTGCACTCAGCAACCCCTTTTTCCGTGGCGCCACTAACTCCTGACTTTGAGTGAAGCGCCGATCTGCATCTTCTCATACTCACCAATTCCTCACAACTCTTTCCCGTAGCCACTTCGGCTCTTCTGAAAGCGCTCCTCGTCTCGCCGTAAACCCCTTCCATATCAGCCTTCAACATCCCAAACAACTTCTCCTGCACCCGAGCGAGGCAGTGTATACGTATATTCAATCCGGCATCGTGGGTTTATGAGGAGAGTACGCCATTGACGGAAAGGCCGTTGGGGGGCTTAGCGAGGACGCGGGCGATGATGCGGGCGACGACTCTGTGCTTGCCGAGGACGATGATGGGAAATGGTGGAGATTAAATCCATTCAGAATGTGGTTGTTCCTGGTCAGAAATATTGCCGTAGAAGGTGAGTGTACATGAAGAGGAGCCTTTAGAGGTCATTTGTGCTGCCCTGGTCGAGATAGACTGGGGCTGGTTGGCAAAGCTGCTATGTCGACAACATAGGTTGTTATATAAGTCCAACGGGGATCACCACCCCCAGAAATGGGCCACAAAACCATTACACCATTGTACCAGCGCCATTAGCAATCGAACCTAATACAGAGAAGGTAATACACTGACCACAACCTCCACGCGTTCCCCGTTATGTTAATTTCATGTGCATAACACGTGCCACCTTACTTATTGCCAATATGGACAGTTATCTGTTGCACATTGTTTGGCATCTCTTCCCGTCTTCCGACCTGGGAGAGTCTTTAAAACAAAATCTCCGGCTCCACTGAAGGACGGAGTAGAAAGGTCGAGAAGCCGTCTTCTCAATAATAACTTTGTTCGGGAGTCCATGATACACATTTTGATCTCTCGTCCCGGAAACTATGACCGCACTTGCCCAGGTACGATAGGTCGTTAACTACTTGATCTTTTGATTGCTAAATATTCAACCAATGATAACATTCCCTTCAGCACGGAGCCTTTGGCCATAGCGTTGAATGGGGCGCGCTATGATATGCAGCCGGCGCTGCTGGCGGGATCGATAACTGACAGTGTTTGCACTATAGCCAGACTAAAGCACCTAGAGGCTGCCCTAATAGAGCACGATTATTCACTTGTACGAGGGGGCACAGCAAAAGTCACTTGCTCCAAAAGCCCCCCTAAAAATCAGTTTCATGTGGACCACTATGGATGATCCTTACTTTCTCACTTCAACGACGATGCCACTCTGCCAGTGCTTCAATCGCTGATCCATACGCGGCGTCCTCGTTGTCCTTGCTTTCGGAAACGCTGAAATGGATCCTGGCGCCGGTGCTGGTGTCGTTGTCGCGCCCAACCCAAAAACAGACCCTGCGCTGTACGAGAACCGTAACGGGGATATACTCGGAGCCTCGATAACTTTGCTCATTCTTCCTACTTTGGCTGTCACCTTACGTCTGCTGTCAAGATGGATGTCAAGGGCTGGATTCTGGGTACAGGCTCCATCTGCTGCTACCATGACGAAAGAAAAGAGGTTGACATTATCAATAATAGTGGGATGACGCTACAGTAATTCTGGCAATGGTACGGAGATGCTCTTTATAAACAATGGATTTAGATATCGTGGTCATGATTGACGACTTCGCAGCTATTCGCATGGGGCCCCTGCATCATCATGATCCTCGGTCAGAAGCTCCTGTTACCAATCGCATTATCCCGGGCTGACACCTGCAGGTTCCCATCACGCAATGGGCCATCATCTCCTCTCCCTATCACCAGTGGACCTATACTCGTATTTCAAGTACAACTATGCTTTCGAATTCTTGTATGCGCTTGCTATGGCGAGCGTCAAATATTCCATGTGAGAGCCGGTCTTCGTCCTCGGTCAATCTTGCAGCGTCTAATGCGCACGATCGGTAGCATCTTGTTCCAGTATCGAATTTTCCCCATCGTCCAATTTCGGCGCATCCTCATGTACTGCGGCCTCTTCGTTGTAGCCTTTACTGTTTCAATCATCATTGTCTTCATCTGGCAATGTACGCCAATCTCCGCCTTCTGGACCACCCTTGCTGGCGAACTCCCCGGAACGCACCCGGGCCGTTGCATTAAAGTCGAGCTATTCTTGATCATCATTGGCTCCATCAACGCTGCTACAGATTTTGCCCTCTTGGTCTTGGTGAGTAGCAATCCGCAGTTGTTCGGATCTGGTTGGGGCTGACACCTGCGATCAAGCCTATACCCATACTTTGGCATCTGAAGACCGGCACACCACAGAAGCTACTACTGACCTTCATTTTCATCATGGGCATGACGTGAGTATACGCAGACCAAACGGCCTGAATCACCTACTGAATAAGTTCCTGCAGTGTCTGCGCGGTTAGTATAGTTCGACTGGTCGTAATCTCCCAATTTCATGGAACCGACATAACCTACGCATATGTCTCCGGCTCCATCTGGACTGCCGCCGAACCCTCCATAGCCGTCGTATCCGCCTGCATTCCCTCCCTCCGGCCACTTTTTGTCCGCGTCGTCTGGGGCGGCAGCCACAGGCCTAAACCACCACTCCCCGAGACTTACCCTACCTCTTCATGGCGCAGCGGCACCAAGATCCATCCAGACCGGAGCTTCAACCGGCTGGAGGACAATAGCTTGCCCAATATTTACAGCGGCAACGGAAGCGCGTGGAATCACAAAACAGATGTGTACGGTGGGAAGAGGGGAAAGAGAAGGGGTGAGGTAGATGAAGAGGAGATTGAGCTAGGTGGCAATGAGGAGGCAGGATCACCGACGCCGGTCAACAGGATAAGAGCGCAGACGACGGTAGTGTTGACAATTAGCGAGAGGGTGGAATGGCAGGATGATCTATTCTGATGGTTGACGATCCCTGGGATTCGGTGGACGGCAAAACTTCTTGGTCACTGGATGATACAATGACTAAAAGAACTGGAGTTCGATTTTTGGGTAAGTTATTTGGGGATTTATAAGCCAGACAGGTAATGAGATGACTTCGATCCGAGATATAGACGGATCTGTGAGTTCGCTCCTACTTCTAAGGATTGGCTTTTTGGGATGGGCGCTGCTCTAACTTCCATTCAAATGTATATAATAAGTTTGGGGGCCGTTCATATGAAGAAGAACCTGGATACTCACGAGGGCTCCATGCTCTCAATGGCCACCGAATCCATCAACGACGCTGGCTACGACAGCGTGCCCTCTCTAATGACCGACACATCCTCTAGTAGCCTCCCCACATCCCCAACGAATTCTGTCCCTCCGTCACCGCCTCCACCCCCTCCGATGCCATACCGCTCGCGGGCGCAATCCCCAAACACAGCCCAAGAACCAGACCACCCATCTTACACGGCCCAAAATTGCAAAAGCGCTCTTTTAAACCGGTTGACCTCCGGCTACACGTTAGACCGTCACGGTCTTCCCGAGCCGTGCGTCTTCCGCAAAGTCTACTACTTCTTCTTCTTCTTCTACGGCACACTGCGAGACCCCAAAACCCTGTCGCATACCCTGGGAAAACCCCATCGAACCCTCGTCCCCGCGGCCTGCCTTGGTCGTCGACTACTCATGTGAATTACGGGGCTTTTATTAAGCCCTGGTCGATGGCCCAACGGGCGCTATAGTTGGGGGCGTAGCGTGCGAAGTGGAATGTGAAGAAGACGAGACTCGATCGGCGGCCTACGAGAGGTTCTCACGTCGGCATCGATCTTGGGGTTGAGGGGGGAGGTTCGACACCACGGACGATTTCGGGGAAGAGCTTCAGGAAGCCTTGAGCGAAACGAGATCTTGGATCGAAAGTTGTGGGTCAAGAACATGGCGCCTGATTTGAGATCTCGGCGGTAATCATTCTTGTTTGATTTGATCGTGATATCGGGGGTGGAAGATTGACTTTCCAATTCTACAACGCATGTTGCTGTCACGCTTTACTTTCCTGCGCCTTTTGACTCGAGGAGGACGCCGGGTTGGAAGTGTACTGTTTCATGAGGCCACAAACACCCGGAGTTTCTCCCTTCGACGCGATGGATGTCAGTTTCCAGACCATGGATAACAGCTGTCGCCTCCTCGGCTCATATTCCACGTCCGGCTGCGGAGTGCCTCAGACCATCAAGGACTCCTTTTTGGAATCCGTGCTGTCTATAACAAACGTCTGGGCGAGTGCGGATAGTGATGCGTACTTCGGGTTCAAACATGCCAATGGGGTATATTTCCATAGGCAGAATTTGGTGCGTTTGCCGTAGCAGGAGTGGTACGCTCAATACTGCGACTGAGGGATGTCGGGTTGCATTTTCTGTTGCTGGGGAGTCGAACACGAGAGCGGTTTGTTTCGACGCCTGCGATAGACGGTGGATAGGCTACCGGCAATTGGGGCATGGATATGTCACTGGGTTGAGATATGTTTCTTTCGAAAGACACTGTAGCGGTATGACATCTGGATCATGTACTCCTCGATGTATGCCTTATTGACTCGTGATGATGGCAGATACCCAGCCTAACATATACGCAACGAACGATCCATGCAAGCTCTATCCCATGAATAATCCTACTCCAGCTTTCGCGCCTTGCATTTGAGTTCAGGACAGTGGTTTCACCGCCTCTCAATGCCTCAAGATCCAGGTCTTGTCCTGCAAGAACCCATGACACCTACGTCTCCAAGTCTACCCCCCTCATCACCCCCCTCCCCCACTCCTCCGCCAACGTACTGGCTCAAAGCCAGCCCCCCCTTTGAGAATATTCTCGCACCGCTCCAGCAACCTCATCACCCCCCTCTCACACGCCTTTACTTTCTGCTTCTCCTCGATAGCCCTCTTATAGGCACGGAACGCCTCGTCCACTTTCTCGCCATCAACGCATTCAGTCTTCAACGACTCCGTGCTCCGCTCTGCAACACTCGCTCGGCGTAGATTCTCTATTTCCCGTTGGCAGCTTGTTGTCTTGCTGGCGATAGCCTGGCGGATGTTGGCGAGTCGGGACAGGTGTAAGAAATAGTATGAGGGAATCTTGTGTGCGGGTGCTCCGGACAGTATGGCGTCGTATGCGACATTCTGCTCCGATGGGCGGAGGTGCGCTATCAGGATCGGAGTCTCGGATGTGAAGACTTTGAATTGGGAATCGTTGTCGAAGCCGGGACAGTAGCATTTCTTCATCACATACTTGTCCGGCTCCTGTTCCCAGTGTTTGCCGCCGCCTTTAAAAAGCCTTGCACTCCTCCCTGGTGCCAAGGATCCTGCGGCAGGACATCTCGAGACCGGATCTGGGACTTGATATGCTTGCAGGTCCGGTACTGGATCAGAGAAGAATGCTGTCGTCAGATCAAGTGTTGACAGGGATGCATTTCTGGCGCTTCCTTGGTCACGCTTGTCATAATCTCTTGCTGATGAATGCAAGCAGCCCACTTGCGAGCATGGCGAAGTGAAGCTTTTCTCACACTCCTCGATCGCAGTGCACGAAGCCATTCGTTTCGCTGGGCGTTGGGTGTACAGAGATGCGCGTGTCTAGTATGATTCGAGGTCCTGCAAGTTCTGATTCTGGGACGAGGTTATATTTTTGCATATACCTTTCCTTCGTGTTCGATGTTCAACAGACTTGTTGCCTGCTTGAGTTCTGGATAAAAGTGGATTAAGCCAAGAAAATGTTTTGCATTAAAAATATTGGAAAATGGGACTAAAAGATTCCAGCTGAATATATTGCAATAAAAAGAGCACGTATCAATCCCATCACCTCACCTCGACTCATCATGAAATCAACCTCCCACCGTCCAAATCCAACACGTCCCCGACAAAACCCACCATGGCACCCAACCCACCCACCCGCAAATCCAACACCGACCTCCTCGACGAGGTCCACCAAAGAATCGACGATTTCACCAACCGGCTGCTCGCCCTGTGCATCGAAGTCTTCTCCTTCATCGCACTGCTCGCGAAATGGATCTGGATCGGACTGGCGCTGTGGTGGCGCTGCGCGGTAGTGCTGCTGTTCGCGCTGCTGGTGGTGCTGGGGGTGAACGTGCTGTCGTTGTCGTTGATGAGTATTTGTGCGAGATGTGTCTACAATTGGGTTGTGAATTTGCAGAGGGAGCAGGAAAGGGATCGGTTTTGGGCTGTCAGGGGGTTGAGGGGGCGGAGGAGAGGGGTGCGATGAGGGTCCGGTGGGTTTTGGGTTAGGGGAATCGCATATGTTGAGTCGGATTGTTGCTGTCGGTGCTATATGGCTTGCCATCAATATGTAAGGTAGATGAGAGACATTCTTTACCACCTTACAGAGTGTGCTCTGTCGTGAGCCTTGACCCTCAGGGCAAAAACAAACAAAGCAATGTGAAGTGGGCTTCATTTCAGGTGTCTGACCTCTAAACTTGGGCTTTTGGAGGTGTAGGATCATTCAAACATACCAGCTTTACGTGCTGTTTAGGGGTCCTTCAGGCAGTCGAGCCCGGTTCACCGTCTTACTTCAGAACAGGCGCACTCACTTCATGGAGCATTATGTTATAACATCCAAAATGCCTAGAAGCAATCATTTTCCCCACCTTGAACGATGAAAGCTAACGATTTTGATCGACGGCGAGGCCGAAATGTAAGCGCTACATGAGAGGGAAACCTCTGGATTGCTTGGCACTAGGATTTTTCGCGCATCGCGTTGGTTCAAACTAGAGTATCGACCTTCGCAAGCATCAGTCGCACTGTGTATGTTTCTATATACATACTTATCTCCTGGTCGCTGCGATTGCAACGCTGTCAAGATAATGGGATAATTATAAGAGAAAGACTGACTTAGGATAGTTACAAATATCCTAGGCTTTGAGCGCGGCGAACTTCGCTCGAGAGTAACTTCATCCTTCTTTTGACCTCTGCATCCTATCAAATTAATAGTTCAAAATTAGCATTTCTGTATACTAAATTGCTATTAGATACTCTTTCGATTCTAATTTCAACCGCTGGAATTTCATGATTCCACTTATCACTTATGATTGTGAAGTTGATAAGTTGAAGCAACGCAGAGGCTTTTGCATGGGGGAACTTGAAGCAATATACCTTACGCTAATTTCTCGCGCATCGGCACCCTTGCCCTAATCTGGAATAGCGTCGATATCTCGGACCTCGCGACATCCTTTGGAGCAGCCTTGGAGGCAGCCAGGTAGGCCTGAAATCGCCTTCTCAGCTCGCATCATCCTTCTATGCTTCAACAGCCAAGGGTGGACGATGTTTACCGTACTTCCAAGCAACACTGCGCTTCCATGTTCGCACAAACTGAAGAAAACACAACGACGAGATCGCCTGTCAATCGGACGAACACTACTCCGTACCATTGAAAGCGATATAGTCTGAGATCACATTTCTAATGGTTGGAATCCCGGGTAGATCAAAAGGGTGTCTCACCTGCCGACGGCGTAAGAAGAAAGTCAGCAAATCCGGCCATGCCTTCAAGCATACTATGCATCAGACTCGTTCCTTGCTTACATCAAACCCAGTGTGATCTTCAGCTACCACTTTGCAAGACATGTCACAAAAATGGGCGGATGTGTGAGGGGTATGCTCGTTATCCAGTCTTCCTCAATCGCACCGGACTTGGTATTGCGAAACGAGAAGCGTTTGAAGAAGCAAAACGACCACAGGGTACGGTATCATGGCCGGCCTCTTCCACAGTATCGTTCGCTGCACCCACAACTGCACAGCAAAGGAGTACTCGATATAATCAGAAGACAGTCATCGGCAGCGTGCCCCTCTAACCCAGGAATGCCGCAGCTTATGAAGCCCAGCTTATTTCCTCATTCTGGGAACAGTATGTTCCCCAGCAAAGCGTCCAGAGCGGCTGTCAGTGCCCTTGGCTACAACAAGCATTGGGCCTCCCAGACCCTTCGCCAGCCTTACGCTTATCTCTCAAAGCTTTGGCCATGGCCAGACTAGGCTGGATTCATCAAGACAACACGCTTGTCCTGAACGGGAGAGTCTTGTACGGCCAAGCGTTGCAAGAGATCCAGAAGGCCCTCTACGACGAGTGCACTATGTGGCAAGATGAGACCCTGGCGACCGGTAATATTCTGGCCTTCTATGAGGTAAGCAGCTCATGTTGAAGTTTTGCGCTTGTAATCGAGCTGAGTGTGGTCGTACAGTTTTTGGAACCCACGAATGACTCGATAGCTGGATGGAATAGTCACACGAACGGTGTGACACGTCTCATGCTTATTCGGGGTCCGGATCGACATCGCTCTTCATTTGGACGTGCTCTTCTGGAAGGGATTCGTCTCTCAGCGGTACGTATGACTAACGCTCTGGCTGATCCGGGACTGAGGACCTGTGTAGATGATTCAAGCTTTACAGAATCGCAAAGCGTCTCCGCTAGGGCAATACGAATGGTGGCAGTATCCGAAGAGAGATCTGACCCAAAGGCTATACGATCACGGTTTCGCTTTGGCCGCTTTATTCGAAGAAATTGACAAAGCAAACCTCCTTGGTCCAGAAGTAGAAACCTCACTGCTCACGAAATATTTGCGACGTTGTTCTGCCTTGGACGCCACATTCAATCTCTGGTACCACGCTCTCACGCGTCAGTCTTCGACACCATTGTACTGGCTCACTCCACCGAACGACGGCATTCATCCCAGTGTCGCATCATTGACTAACAGGCGGCCATTTTCATTCCCGGATCTGCCCGCCGCGCACACCGTGACCACCTTCTGGGGTTGCAAATTAGCGCTGAGCAACACAATCGCCATCGTATGCGCATCGGTCCTTTCCCCGGGTAGATTTAACCGACACGAAGATCCCCGAAGCTTCGCGGCACTAGAGCAAACAGCGCGCCAACTGCTCATCCAGCATGGCGACACCGGACGCCTGGAAAATGCCACCAACATCATCCGATCTATGCCGTACTGCTTGCATGACAGTATGGGTTTGCTGGGTCCGCAGAAGAGTCTGTTTGCATTGAGGGCGGCTCTGTTGTCACTGAGAAGAACTCCCGGCGAGGAGTTGGATTGGTGTTTAAGAATGTATCAAGAGCTGGCTGAAAGGAAGGGATTGGGGTATGCGAGGGAGGTTGGGAAGGTGAACGCTAAGGATAGAGTGGAGGCTGGGAAAGCCATGGATGCTATTAGGCTTGCCCCAGGACATGGGGAGTAAGGTCGGTCGCGTCTAGGGATATCAACCGTTTGCGTCTCGCTAAAAGCAATATGAGGGCCAGTGACCGTTGGTCAATATATGCTACGAAGGAAGGGAATCAAGACACTTCATTCAACATTTGGACGTCTCAGAAAGTCTAAGCAGATGACTCCACAGCTAAGCTTTCTTAGCCGTTGGACGGAAACGTCCAAAATCTTCGGAACTTGTACGCGATATTGGCATTTCTTTTCCCAAACATGAATCGCCTCCTCATCTCATGAAATGTAGTAAAAGTCATACTGCATGCTGTCTCCCCTATGTACTTTCTCCCCGATATACGTGTCAGCTTCTCGACCTCCCCGTGAAGCCTTAATAAAGACAAACACATTTGCCCCCATTGTCACTGAAAGATCTGTATCTTTCATCACCAACACAATCATCCCCTGTCCGGTCAACATACCATGACCCATCTTCGACCCATATCGAAGACAGAATCTGCGGTCCCTCAAAATGGCCGTCGGGAGCTCCTACGGAGATCAGCTTCGGGCCAAGAAGCGCGTAATCTTATTGCTCAGCGATGCCATTGACAGACAGGAAGCTATCGAAAGACAGAGAGCCATCGAAAGACGTCGGAATCCGCAGAAAGCATGGCAGACCTCCCCCGTGAACATACTCAACATGCCGAACCCGTCAGCGACGCCATCCCGCCCGCCCCCAGACCCGTTGACCCACCCAGGGCCCGCACTGTCAATGGTCGAATTGACAAAGCTGTTCAGGCGAGCCGCGGCGCGGTACCAACGAGGCCTCCCGCCGTCTCCGGAAACAACAGAAGAGTTCCCGTACCCCGGCGCAAAAGCCCACGGGGAGGCCGAACGCCTAGGGCTCGAGAACGCGCCGTCAAGACGGCGGGGCGGGAAAGACGGGTGGATCGTCTGGACGGGGTACAAACCCGTCATCGCCTGGACGAGCTTCTGATGCGGACGAATGAAGAAGGTTGAAAGGCAGGACCTGCCCGTCAAGATATCCACCCCTCGGCTTCGACGACCGGGGCATCGCATACGGCCGCCTGCTCAAGACGGCGACGCGACGCCGGCGCAGTTGGTCGAAGATGCACTGCGGCAATCTGGATCAGATGCGCTGCTGCGTCGTTCAGGAGAAGCTTGGCTATTGGAAGGAAGCTTGGGTGTTGGAAGGAACGGAGGCGGAAACGGCACACGTCGAAAGTGGCGCCGCGGGCCCTGGTGGCGGATGCGGACGCCCGGACGCAAAAGCGGTACGGGGAGCGAGCGAGGAACCGAGCGCTCGCGCGAGACCTGGAGCGTTTGATCGAAGGATGTGAGACGCTGCTGCAGCAGCAGCGGCGGCGGCAGAAGGGCGAGGGGTTCCCCGCCATCGATTGGCGGCCTTTCACGAGCTGGAAGAGATGGCGGGATGGCGGGAGGGGTTGGACGGGCCTAACGGAGGACGAGGTGCGCAGCACCGAGGTCGTCGGAGTCGGTGGCGGGGATGTGTGCTCCGAGAAGAAGAAGAAGGTGCCGACCGAGATTGCGAAGGCGGTTCTCCGTGCCCGGTTCGCGACATGTTTCCCACGAGCGGCGGACAAAAGGGCGTGCACAGGGGATGGGGATGGGGGTACATGAGTCTCGGAGCGGTGGAGCGATGATGGAGCGAGTTTGAGAAAATGCCACCGATGGTGAGTGAGTAGCGGCCGTCGTGGGTGTGGAATTGCATCTTTTTCACTTTGGACAAAAGGGGTGAAAACATGGCGACTACTCGCTAGGCACACTGTATGAAATGAGCGCCTCAACGGATCCCGTACACGGATGCCAAGGCGATATATATCGGAGTTTCCAGGAAAATCCACAAGGCGAGGAGGCCGTTGGTGGATCGACGGACCTGAAACTTGACCGCTCGTGGGGGGTACCGGTTCGGTGTTGTGTTCGAGTCCCCCCCCAATCTGGATCGTCGGTTGATAAATGGCACAGACGCTGTGATTTACTGATGGGCCACCCTTCACCATGCGGACATCTTCTCTTTCTATGTTTGGAGCGTGGAGCTGAGGCTTTCGCTGCACCTTTGCGGCAAAAAGATTAATTACCACGACTCGGTCGTCTCAGGAATGTCTTCCTCGGACGCTTCCCGAGGCGAATCTAGCCTCTAGGAATGGCCAGCACAAGGTCCGTTGCATGTATTCAGTTAAGGTTCTGCACAGAACCGAAAATATCAACAAAAACATCCGTCGATTACGTGTGGCCGTGGCTCGTCAACAAAGCGCTAGAGGGTATCAATCTACAGCATAGAAACTCGCTTATGCTCATGCAATGATCAAGGCCCCAGAGATTATGTCAAGACCATGGCAAGCTAGCCCACATTTAGGCCCAATGCTTCTTCCAGCCCGTCCCACTCCCCGGGTCTCACGATCTTTATCTCATGTCCCGATATTGTCTTGCCTGACAGATGCACCTCTACACTGGCGAGCGGCTCCCTCTCTCCGGCAGTGTTCCTACTCCTCACCTCTCTCCTCCTCTCTTCTTCCTTCTTGCTCATCGCAGACTTCCTCGCAACGCCATCTCTCCACTCCCTCCATTCTTCCCATTCTTCTTTCTGATTCTGCACTTTCCAATTGCTCGTCTCGCGGGCTGGTCTCCAGAGCAGTCTCTCTGCTTTGTTCCTCGGCTGCAGTCGGACAATTTGATTTCCCGGTTGGGATATGACGTTGAGCATTTCCCTGAGGACATCTTTGGCCTCGGTTTGGAGGCGTGATGGAGACGGTTGTGGCGGAATGAGTGGCGCGGAGACGAATTTGTAAGTGGACGAGAGGGTGCGGTTGTAGGATGCGGAGTGGAGATAGCGGATTGATGATTGTAGAGCTTGTATCTCGGACTTGAGATTATTGATTTGGCGCAGAGACGCTCGAGACGTCGTAGCAGCCGCGTTTTGACCGGGCTGTGATGTAGATGCTGCAACTTGAGGGGTCTGCTTCCAATTCTCGCGCTCAGCTTCGAGGCCTCGAAGCTCGTTCTGAAGATACGTGAGCTTGCCGAGGAGATCCCTCTCCTTGTAATTCGCAGCTTCGACAGCGGCCTCAAGCTCTCTAACTTTCTCTCTCCGTCCACCAGATTCACCAATACGTTTCTCAAGGACTTCGACCTTGACACCCATTTCTTCGGCGATCTTTTCTTTCATAGCCAGCGTGGTGTTGATCTCTGCCACTTCGTCCTTTAATCGCGCAACTTCTGATTCTCGTGCTACCATATCAGCGGTGGCAACCTGCATGTTCTGCGCAAGTAATTTCCAAGGTGGTGGTGGAGGTGGCGATGGGAATTCAACCGTTTGTGTAAGACTGTTTGTTAGGTTGTAGAAATTCTGCAGCTGTCCAGTAGCAGAGTGCAGCTTTGCGGCTAAAGATGCGAATGGCGTTTGATCCAGTAAGACTTCATACGTGACTGGAACATTGCGAGCTTCTTCGGTGAGGACTTGCAGTATGGACATGCCTGCCGTGCAGGTGAAGGAGGCGAACTCAGAAGCAGCATTCTGGGCTGTCTCTACCGTATTGAGTGTCGAAGGCTCAAGAGTAAGCGATCTGGATTTCAAATCTTGCAGCTGACGAATAGATTTACTGCTGATGACTTTTGCGCTGCGCGTCTGCGAAATCAGCGCGTCCATCTTTCGGAAGAATTCCTCCTGGTCCGTATTCTCTTCATCGCTCTCGATGCTCGTTGTAGAAACGTTAGCCTCAGACACTATTTTAATATGAGATAGTGCAGTAGTAGAGTTTTCCAAATAGCTTTGCATCATTGTGGCCCGCATGTTGACTTCATCGGCGTAGTGTACCAAGTCTTCGCCGATGTGCACTTCGGCCAGATGCGACATGAGTGAAACGGACCGCTGCAGCTCCATGGCGCATTGCTCGACTTTGAGCTCGTCTCTTTTCAGGTCGTCAACCCACACATTAAAGGCACGTTCTACTGGCTCAAGCTCGTACGAAGCACCACCAAGCCTCCTGAAAGCTTCAAGATCGCATGTCTTTATGTTTCTGATAAAGCGATTGCACGTTGATGAGACCCAAGTCAACTTGTCCAGGACACCGCAGCACGTGAAAAGGTCATCCTCCTGACCAGGCGTTGCTGAGCCATGCATTCTTTCTTTGATGAAATGGTTCATTATGTTTGCCTTGAAACCAATTCGTCTGAAGCGTAGAAGTGCTTGTACCGAGTCGCGTTCACTCTTGAAAGTTTCAGGTAGAAATAGCTGCACGATTGCTAGATGCTCCGAAGACTCCTGGGCTTCCATCTTGCCAAGTTCGAGATCAATAGCTTTGACTTGAGCTTTCGATGCAGAGACTTGTAAGCGCATGTTGAGATCCATCATTGCTCTGGAGCGGCTGCTCAGCTCATTGGCTTCCGTCTCCGAGATCTGTTGTGAGGCCCTCATATCTTCAAGATCGCTTTGCATGTTTGTGACTAGATCCCGGAAACGCGTGACTGTGTACTCAAGGTCTTGGATCGTCCCGTCCTGAATAGCCGACTTCCTGGCTTCTTCAGCAAGCAAGGCCTCATCATAGTCGATCTCCTCTTGTAGCTGCTTTTCGGTCTCCGTATGATTGATCTCAAGCTCGTCATTGAGCTCCTTCAAGCTCTCAAGGTCCTCGATGGTCTGCCTCAATTCATCTACCTTCTCAGTCAAGGCCATGTTCTTCTCTGCGAGTTCCTCGATCATATCTTCGGCGCCAAGGGCACTATCCAGCTGTTCACGCAACTCCACAAGCGTAGTCTCCGACTCTGAGAGCTTCGCCTTTGTGTGTGTATTCTCGGTCTTGATCTTGTTCAGCTCTTCCAGGTCTTGCTCTAGTTCAGCAACTTGGTCCTTTAGGTCTGATTCCTGTTGTTGTGTTACGTCTCTCAGTCGCATCAAAGCCTCTCGGTAGCGCTCCTTGTCTCTCTCCATTTGGAGCCAACCCTGACTTGTCTTCTCTTCTGGGCTCATCTCCTTACCCAACTCTTGATTTTCTTCTCGAAGCACCTCAACTTCAAGCTCCAGCTCTTCATGTTTTTGCCGTAGCGAGTCCAGTTCAATCTTCAGGTTTTCCGCTGTTTCCTCGGCCATCTCTCGATCCAGAGTAGCCATCTCGTTAATCGTGTCATTCTCTGCCTCCTGTGATTCTAGAGCCTGGTATCTTGCCTCCACCTCTTTGAGCCGTTTCTTCAATTCCGCTATTTCCTGCTGTTGCGGCTGGTACTTTGACTTCATTTTCTGTATGACTCCTTCGAACCTGTCTCGATCCGCCTGAACCTTATCCAGTGTCTTCAGTTTCTCTCTGTCCTCCATGCGCTTCTTCTCCATCAGTCGTAGCTTGGTTTTTAGGTCTTCCACCTCCCTTTGAGAAGCAGTGCCTGCAGTCGGAGGGCGTTGGCTCGTAGAAGGCGGAGATCTTCCCCGACTCAACGTAGGAAGGCTGACGCCTGAAGCTTGGGACAATGGCGAAATGACCGTCGCTTTTGACCGATCATCCAAAGACTGAGACACTGGCGGCGATGAGAGCGCTTCCGGCTCTGGAGAATCTGCGGGTGACTCATGGATACTGTCCATGCTGTGTTGGCTCTCACCACTGACTGAATCAATCTTTTCTTTTGCAGCCGACCGCATTGAAAACATATTCGAAGGTCCTCGAGATAACGATGGAGATGTTTGGCTGGATGGTCGCGCCAAGCCGTTCACGGTGCCTGCTATAGAAGGTCGAGGCGCCTTAGATGGAGGACCCATTGAAGTCCGTTTTGTAGGAGGAAGAATGGACTTCCGGGCTGTATTCGGAGCAGTGGTGGTTCCTGGAATAGACTTACCAGAGGAGGTGGACGAGCCGAGCTGCTTGGTTGGAGATTTGCTCGGAGACTTGGATCAGTCAGCATGTATACACAGTCATAGAGTCTCTCCATAGAGCACTTGCCCCCAACCTTGACACAGGTCCAGACCTCGCTGTAGGCGTGGGGCTCCCAGAATTCATGCTCTGCCTCTTCGTAGCCGCTGGATCCAGGACACTCTGCCTTCTGGCCCCTCCAACAGCCAAACTCGGCGGTCTCCCATTTTTCGCTGCCCCATTCGCCTTGCCATTCGGCCGTGCAGTTGGTTTCGGGGTAGACTCGTCGACGATCTTGAGAACGGAAGGCCTGATGAACATGCCATGTCCCGGCGGGCAATCGAAATATCGTTGCCCCTGCAAAGCTCCATCATTTTTTCCGGAAGCATTCTCAAGCTCTACCCCAATCCAGTCCCCAGGAGCGAAGTGGGTGTTACCGATGAATTGTACTGTTGCTTTGACGCCGGTTAAGAGCTCGACCGTCTGCCCGGCCTGGAAGTCGGAGAGCTCGGGCATTGTACCGGAGAATCATGGCAGTATATATGCCAACCTCGTCCTCATCGATTTATCCGGCTTGGGGCCCTTCTTTTGTGATCGGTTTCATTGTTTGGTCATTGCTCTTTCGCGCCTAAATTGGGGAACGCGCCAAGGGAGCTGCCAAGATTGCACAACGGTCGTTCTAGGTCGCCGCAAAATTCTCTAGCAGACTCCTTGGACCGTCACTCCCGAGGGTCGGTGTCAAAATACGTTGCCGACTTCGCGAAAATCAAAATTGTCGAAAGTCGAACTTTGAAAATTTCTCAACGGCCACCATTTACTTCAAAGGCTTCAGAATGCCTAGACGTTATTCTTCAGATAGTGAGAAATACTGAGTATTAATTTGAAGATTTCAGCTCGTGTATTGGTAGAGGTTTACATTGTTTAAGAATGTGGCCTTCAACGGGGTCTGGTAACCGTCCAGGCGCGGCTGGACGGTGACCCACGCTAAGCCCTACGCTAAGCCCTACCCCCTATCATCAAATATCGAAATTCGATATTTTCGCTTTACAAATAGAAGAATATCATAACAGCACCCCCCGTAGGACCTTCGTAGGGCCTCCGTAGGGGGCTCGTCATCGAGCCCCGAAGCCAGACACCCCTATTTGAACCTAAATATGGACCCCCGTAGGGGTACTGCTAACAATTTATAAAAACGCGAAACGCCGCGAATTTTTCGAGAATATTTATTATAGCGAAAAATTCGAGTTTTGGGGACGGTTACCACCACCAAGGGGACGGTTACCAACTCATATTGAATATATTCTCCACACATACAAATTTGACTGATAAATACGATAAACTCAAATTCAAAGTGATCTGATAACCGTCCCGGACGATTACCCTTAGCAAAAATTTAAGCGACTCAAAATTTTCGATTTTTTTTTATTCGAAATTATCGTAGCTATAATTTCGATAATTTCGATTAATAATTTTAAATAATAATTTCGAACGATAATTTCGAACGATAATTTTAAACGATAATTTCGAACGATAATTTCGAGATAAAAAAAATTTAAATTCTCTAGAAGTAAATATTAATAACTATTCTATATATTAATATATATATAAAATAAGAATTCTTTTCTTTATTAATATACTTACTTATTTTTATTTATTATTTATTTTTATTTATTTATTATTTTCTTTTATTTTAATATATATAAAGATACTATAAAATTAAATTTACTTTTTTATTTTTATTTTATATTTTAAAGCTTTTTTTCTTTATTATATAAAATACTATAATCTATTATATAAAATATTCTATTTTTAAAAATATCTATAATTTATAAATATTATAAACGTTATTTTTTTAGATAAATTTAATAACTTAGTTATTTATTATATTTTTATTATATATATTTTTTTTATAATAAATTTATAAATAATTCGAAAAATTCGAGATTTATAAATATTTTAAAATCTTCGTTATAACTCTATAATTATCTTAAATTTTTTAAAATAATTCTATTATTATTAATTCGAAATTTTCGTAATAATTCTACTATTAATTTAAAAATTTCGAAAATTTCGAGACTTTAAGAGATAATTCGAAATTTTCGCGATAATTCTATAATTAACTTAAAATAATTTTAAAAATACTATTATTAATTAAGAAAATTCGAAAATTTCGAGACTCTAAAAGATAATTCGAAATTTTCGCGATAATTCTATAATTAATTTAAAATAATTTTAAAAATACTATTATTAATTTAAAGATTTCGAAAAATTTAAGACTTTAAAAGATAATTCGAAATTTTCGCGATAATTCTATAATTAACTTGAAATAATCTTAAAAATACTTCGAAATTTTCGAGATCTTTATAAAGTATTATTAAATATTTAATATTTAATCTTTATAAGTTATTTAAATCTTACGCGAAAATTTCGCAATTATAATATAAGCGCGGACGCTATTCTATTTCAGGGTGGCTGACTAAGCGAATGTTCCCCGTCCCGCGCCTGGACGGTTACCAACTCACGGGAATGCTAGCGCATATCTGAAGTCGGCAACCTCTTTTGACACCGACCCTCGTCCCTAACAAAGTAACCGGACACATCCAATCACGAGATTCAATTATAGACTTGCGATCATAGATTGCTCAATTCACTGACTACCGATTGAAATCTGGATACATATAAGCGCCTCTCAACTCCCGCCTCGCTGCTTCGGAAGCGTTTTTGACGACGTGAGCGAGACCCAAAGAGAACCAGGTGGGGAGTCAGAATGCTTAAGAAGCAAATGTCGATAGAGTAGGCTCATTGCACAATTAAGAGTGGTGAGCATCCACTGGGGCCCGAAGCCCATCGCTGCGACAAATTCCAAATGGCAGTCTCTGGAATCCAGGACGTGATTCAACCTCTCATTGTCCTCCACCTTGAATCTTTCAACTACTCTTCTTCCTTGAACATCCCTGGCTCGTCATCACCTTGTTATCCCAGTACCAGCCATGAACTCTCCCATCTGGTCGAAATTGGGAGCAGGCTTTCCTGTCATAGTCGGAGCTGGAGGGGGGGGCTACATCAGGGTGAGCATGAGTTGTGAGGGTTACGGGAGCCGTGCCTAAAACAGTCCCATCCTCCGCAGAAGTTCTCCTTTTGAATGTAGAAAGTTTGCGTCCGCTCGTATTCCAAACCCTCCATCTTCTCCATCCTTTTCCAGGCTATCAATCAGTCTGTCCAGCTTTCCTTCGTGCCCGCCAATCAAGGTGACAGCACAGGACTCGCATAACAACAAGCCACACCCTTTCTGATCCCCTAGATAGAGATCCTCCTCTTGCCCAATCATATCGATACCTGGTTTCGCGGAGCAACAATAGAACGCAGGGCTAGGGCATATAGAGCACCATGCAAACGGCGCCAACGACGCCATGCCTGGCATCATCCACTCCATAACGCCTTTGTAATCGAATTTGTCTGGGTCCATGCTCGCGATGGGCTCGATTTCATGATTTTTGCAAGCGGTAACCTTGAGGCGATCCGTTGTGCAAAACTCGCACATACGGCTATGACCATACGTTGCTGCGTGGCCGTCCACGATTTCAATGAAGCCTTGACCGTCTTCGTTGTCAAAGATTCCAACTTCAACCTCCCCAAGTCCAAGAATCCCGTAAATCGCATCTTCACACCAGTGACACGGCGCTGTTCCCTCATCATCATCATATGCATAGTTGAATTGGATAGGGTGGGCAAGCTTAGTAGTAATGGTCCGGTATCGATTCGACTCCGTTGGCTCTGCAGCCGCAGGCTGGCTTCGCTTGTGGCTACAGATTTCATGCTCCTTTTCCCTCCCTTTGCTAGACATGGGGGCTGGGGATTCCGGTGACTCGACGGTAGAGGATGTACCTCCCCTGCAGCAACGGCCGCACTCTGCCTGCTCCATGTAAGATATGTGCGAGCACAATTCCTTGTCTCGTAGGCGTTGGGTACAGCCAACGTTTGATCTTCGGGTCTGAGCACACTGTTTTCGGGGTTGAGCGTTTTGTTTTCGGGGTCGAGGGGCAAGTCGAGGGGCACCTTGGCCCAGCGATGGCCCGGTCCTTGTCCTTCCACTTGCCGGTCCCGCCACGCACTTTCGAGAAGCCTTGGCACACTGCTGGCATGGTTTACTATGGTCGTCTCCCTTTTCTCTGTAAGAACATTGCTGTCTCCGGCTACGACATCCTTCACACGTGCGCTTCACAGCCGGTTCCACAATGAGTTCGCACTCTGCATCGTCAGCAGCGCATTCTGCGCATGGGTATCTGGACCCTTCGTCCAGCAAGGGGCAACGGAATCCCCAGTCAAAGCATCCTTTGCATCCTCGGTAAGCTGGGTAGCCTAGCGTTATGTCTTCCAAACGGAGGTCATCATCCCAAGCCGCATTTGCAGGATTCGAAAGATCACATCTCCTACGTTCGCGAAGATCATATGGTTGGGCATGGAATTCTAGCCAGTCAATCGGGCTATCATCACTGCTATCTGGATCCGGCAAGCGCTCTGGCCAGTCGTCTAGTGAAGTTCCGAAGTCCTTCAGTGTTGCTCGTCCATTTTCAGAGGTGAATTTGAGCACCACTGGAAGTTGACGTCCCGTCCGTCTTCCTCCCTGCCACGTGTTGGTCTTGAGTTTCTTGGGTGTCCCGTCATCGATGCGCTCTCTCCTTTCCCGCTTTTTTCTGTTGATAACCACGCATTCTGGTGGCTTTTTGCTAGCTGGATCGAAGGTACCACTGTCGTCCTGGTCGAGATATGTAATGGGAACATTGTTGTTCTCCCGAACACCTATGCGGAAATCGTATTTCGACCTCAAGGATTCCTCCAAAGCATCAGGCAGATCTGGTAGATCTGCATATAGCTCATCGTACCATTTTTGAAGGTCCTTAGGCGGTGGGGTATTCTCCGTGCAGGCCATCTTGAAAGGCGAGAGAAGGTTCAGGTTGAGGTGCAATGAGGTGGAGCTTTGCTTGCGGTGAGTCAAGGCCTGAGATGTGTCCGCAGTTGGTTTCAATACACGGGAGTCACAGGCAGAAATCATACATCTTTAGGATCCCTACTTTTGGTAAAGATGATGCCGAGTTGGCCCAAAGATATCGACAAACCCAACATATGATGAGCGAGCAAGATTATCTGAGACGTACGGCAAGAGGTTCAGAGTCTAAGGTCGGCCACTGCGAAAGGTGCGGTGTGTCGCGATTTCCCAGCTGGCACGACTGGGACCAGGTGAGGGCCGTCGCGTTGATTGAGCGATCTGTGAAGATTCTTGTCAGAGACAGGGTTGGAAACCATAATGGACAGGTAAGCTTCACAAAGCGAAGCCAACGTAGACTAGCATGCGGTGTAGTGATGCTCGTCAGCGTCTGGAGGAGTGCTTTGGAGAAGTGACTGAATATGGATCATGTGAGTCCGAAATAGCGGTGCTCGAGTCTGTTATCTCAATCGCGAAATGGACAGCATGTAAAAGCCTGAATTGTATGTAGCCTATGTTTCAACGAAGGTATGGGAAATTGGTAAGTGACAAAAGGTAAGAGATTGGCAGGCGCGAAGATATAAGTGAGTGACTAGACCCTTGCCATGAGGAGATCATGGAGAACAGTACGGGAACAAGCAATGTCTGGACAGCGGCAGTCCTTACCAGTGTAACAAGCCCAGGAGAAGGCGCCGTACGGCAGAGCTTAGATGTAAAAAGCGTGGATGGAGGTGCTAGATCAAAGGAAATATTGGAGCAAGGCTTTCGGCCTTGATTAGCAAAGGTAGATGAGTTGGTGAACACTGAAAGCCAGCAATGGAGTACCTGTCAATTCAATGAAGATTTTGGACTGAAAGTGTGGTATGACCTTTCTGACTTCATGATATGTGGTGGTCGAGAGCAAGAGAGAGAGAGAGAGAGAGGGAGAGAAAACCCAGCCCTCGAGTGAAGATGAGGAAGAAAGAAGAGTGTCGTGCTTGTGGACGTGTAGTGAACCCTTCGCTGTTTAATTGTGGTGACCCCCAACTCTTATCCACGAGGTCGTGCCCTCCGACTCGGGTCCAGTGCGTTCTACCCCCAGACCATGGCCGAAGGCTCAAACCTGTCTCCTTTCGTGACGGGTATCTGCAATGTCTTGCTCATCAGCTTGGTTTCCCCCGGGGCATTCTCAATCTCCCAGAGCGATTCAATAAAGGCTGTACGTCCATGGTCCTAACTATTAGGACCTGCTACTGCTTTTGCATACTTATGGTGATCCTCAATCCATTTGTGCGCGCGCCTCCCCTTTGCCAGCCTCAGTCTCGGGTTGTTTGTTCGTCATGGAGGGCAGTTCGACGCTTGGCAGCAGAATTGACGAACGGGGGAAGCGATGCGTTGGCGCGCTTCTGCTAGCTCCACATTTCTTGAGATAAATTCCAGGCATTCCAGCTTTGGCAGGCGGGTCAAGATCCGAACGCTCAACGAGGTTTAACTGTTCTCCCAATTGTCCGCAGTTCTCCTGACTCCTTTCTAGAGATACAATGGCTGCTCAGAAGCTGACCCTCGCCGTGCGGCCGCGAGGTAAGCAACTGCCAGCACTCACGCACATACCCTCCAAAATCTAACTGAGATCTAGGTAGACCGGTCAAGAAGCTCCCCGAAGAAGTCTCCCTACCAACCAATGGCCCTACTTCCGAGCTCTACAACCAACTGGCCCTCAAAGCCGGCACCACCATCCACCGCCTTCGCGTCACGAAAGGCAGCGATGGCTCCCTCGTCCCCAATAGCAAAGACCTCTCTATCAACTCGACTGGGTTGCGGGAGCAGAGCACGATCTATGTCAAAGATCTGGGACCACAAATAGCGTGGCGGACTGTATTCTTAGGTATACAATCATCACAATCTCAATTCGGCACCCTTAGGTACCAATGCTAACAGCAACGCCATCCAGTCGAATACCTAGGTCCCCTCATAATCCACCCCCTCCTCTACCTCATCCTCCCCTCCACATCCAACGGCTCCGGTCCCTCCTACCTACAAACCCTTTCCCTCACACTAGTCTGTCTCCACTTCGCCAAACGCGAACTCGAAACCCTCTTCATCCACCGCTTTAGCTCTGCCACCATGCCCGTCTCCAACATTTTCAAAAACAGCGCCCATTACTGGCTCCTGTCAGGCTTAAATATGGCTTACTGGATCTACCTTCCCTCTGCTCCCGCTGCCCAAGAGTCGAGTCCCTTGATCACATACCCTGGACTAGCGATGTTTGTAATCGGGGAATTAGGAAATTTGAGCAACCACGTGACACTCCGAAACCTCCGCTCTTCAGGCGGTGCGGAGAGAGGAATTCCGCAAGGTCTGGCCTTCGGATTAGTGACATGTCCAAATTACATGTTCGAAACGCTGGCATGGGTGGGAATAGCGCTAGTATCGTGGAGCTGGAGTACGGTTCTATTCGCAGTAGTCGCGGCTGCGCAGATGGCTGTCTGGGCGAAGAAGAAAGAGATGAGGTACAGAAAGGACTTTGGGGAAAAGTATCAGAAGAAGCGGTTCAGCATGTTGCCTGGGATTTGGTAGGCATGGCATTGGGGGAATATGATTACCGGTTGAGTTTGGTGGCAGGAAGAGTGCGGCGCGAGGAATGATGTGTGGAAATATATCTTCACTTAAGGGTGCTACAAGGCTGGGTTCAATGACTTTGTCACCTACAATCATGTTGTTACCGTTTCAGAAGCGACGTAGTGGGCTTCACTCCGCAAGGGCACTTGTGTTTGATGAAAAGTTGGAGCGAAGTGAACATGATTGTAGCATCAGCAAGCGATTACATGGGAGTTGGTGTATTAGATTGTAACATATAAACATAACGTCCTGTTTGCATATATCTCATGGGCTCATATCCACAGTGAAAGAATCAAAACGTACGCCACAAGTCTTCCTTTTCGCCATGCTCCTTGCTCAAACAGTCCCTGGAAAATCGAACTCCAGTACGCAAAATGGTATCATCGCATTATGTCCTTTCACCTCCCATATGCCCATCTCCTCAAATAAAGAGCAACAATACGACAGACCCGGCTACAGCACCCAGCAACCTTCCAGCAACCTTCCTTCCCATAGCACCCGATTTCGGCGCCGCGGTACTACTCGTGCTTGGCGCCGGGGCAGTTGATGACGAGCTCGAAGATGCTGGAGCAGAAGAGCTGGAGGGGGCGGCTACTGAGCTCGAAGTAGTCGAAGTGGTATCAGTAGTTGAGGTCGTCGAGGTCACCATACCTTCTGATGTAGAGGTGACACTCGCGGTAATAGGAGTAGGCGTGAGCAAAGATGTCGTGTCCGCCACAATTACCTTTGGTACAGAAACCGTGGACGCAAACCCTTCAGTAGCCGCCGAGGCAGCGCCGTTGGCGGCAGAAGATGCGCCAGTACCGGCATTAGAGGCCGCCTCTGAGGCTGACGCATCGGCGCTCTGGACAGCGGCAGAGGCGTGAACGAGGGGTACGATGGGGATGGGAACGTGTGTTGGGATCCCAGTAACGGCGGTGCTGACGTCTGCGACAGCGTTCGAAGCTACGGTGACGGCGGCGGTAGCGGCAGGGTCAGCACCTGTAGCAAGTGTATTGGTGTCTCCGGCAACATTCGAAGCCACGGCGCCCTCTTCTGACGCTGCCGACTGAGCGTTGGCGGCAGCTTGGGGAGCATCAGCTCCTGCAGTTGACATTGCGGCCGGTGTTGCGGCAACGATATGGACTGGCGAAGGTGTGTATGTGCCCTCTGGGATCGATGCGCTTGCGGGTATCTGCACTGATGCAGTATAGCCATGTATCACCACTGGGACCACGGAGCCTGGCGCAACAGATGGCGCTACCACTTGAACGGACTGAGGTATTGCGCCTTCTATCGATGCGATTTCGGGTGCAGGTGCTGTGATGGTGAAGGTATGTGTTTCAATCATAGGTGCTGGTGTGAGGGTCATTGTGTAGGCTGCTTGAGTGTATGTGACAGTCGTTGTCTGAACGGTGGGTATCGTAAAGACGAGGGAGGTTGGAGTGCCATTTGCGGTGAATGAGTAGGTGGTGACTGACTGTGTGAGGATGAGGGATGGAGCTGAGAGAGCGAGGCCTAGACGAGTCATGGTGAAGAACATATTGCAAGACCAATTGGAGGGAAAACGAGAGACTAGAGATTGTGCGTGTAGGATTGAAAAGGAATGTGAAGAAGAGGAGAGTATGACATCAAATATGTGGTTCATGGGGAGGTGGTTGGCGGTCCCAGCCTCCCTAAACACGGCGGTGGCGGGGACGCGACAACATGGTGGAAAACAGGAAACGAAGACAAATGGGAGGTCGGACACCGAGAAGAAACATGGATACTCCCATGCTTTGTGTATGGTACTTTTTGGCGCGCTTTTGGGCCAGCATGTTGCACACTTGTTGTGCCTTGGTTTCTGCATGGCCAGCGAATGCGGCCGTCTCTTTGCAATTGGTCTTCACCCAGATCTGCAAAAGAGGATCTGCTGGCATCAGCTTCTATTTGGTACCTATCGATAGAATTGCCACTTTTGAAAAATAGTGGGCATTTTGTGATTGCGTAGCGGTGTCGCCGTGTCGACGAGTGGTCAGACTTAATTAATGCGCAAGATGAAGATTCTTGGTGCAGAAAGCCGTTGCCAAGGCATTCCGTGGGGGGAAGAAGGGGGAGGGGCCGCGCTAGTGCTCGCTAGCGCAGAACGCGCGATACGAGCAATGTCTCGATCTGTGTATCCTGTGTATTGTGATGACGATGACACTGTTTCCCAAGCGCATTCTTGTACGCGAATAGCTGCAAGGTGAAGATGCCGCTGACAGACTTGACGAGTACACGACGGTGAAAAGCTTTCTGAATAAGACTTCAAGGTTCGGAAAGGACTCTCATTAGAGTGCTTCACACGAAGAGAGGAGTCCTTTGAACATCGAGGTGCACGGTAGAACCTCATTCCAGATGAAGATAGCAGAGGCTTATTATGCAGTGATAAATGTCGTGTGCAGAGCTCGGGTCTTCTCAGCGGAACGTGGTAGATTCGGTGTTGGACCTCGGAATACCCTGGCTAGTGATTCCATTTGTATACCAGACAATGGCTATAGACGGTGCAATTCACGATCAAGACAAAGAGAAACCTAATGTCAATGCTCTTGTTAGCGAAACATATGTTGGTGGGATAATGTCTGGGAAAGCGTTTATTTATCGAAATGAAAGAGAATCTTTAAATGATATCTACGCTATTAGCCAAGCCACATCTCGTATGAAGAGTAGCTTTCGGATTCTTCTATTTGAATCATGAGAGTAATTATCCAACGTCCCCGTAGGATGTAGAATCGCAGTCCAGTACCATGCCTGCGGCAAAGCACAAAAATAGTCAAACCCTGCAGTTTTTCCAATTTTCCCCACTCCTCTGCGTGCATTCTGCCGAAATTATGGCTGCACTGTTCTGTATACTCCTCTCCTACATTAGCCGACTTCTATACAAGAGCAGTAGTAGAGCTAATGATGATCCTTGTCCTCAGACAGCAGTTGGTACAATAGTTTTCTCGACATGATATTTCCGATCAGGTCTGTGATATGTGATAAGGTGCTTCATCATGGAAAATGGAAGGAGATGAAGATAGTAATATGGGTAAGCTTACCACGACCCTCATATGCCTTGGAAGTCCGACATCCTTAAATCTTATAGCAGCTCTATCATCCGTCAACTGGGTATTTCATTGGCTGAGTGGGGCTTTGCAGTGGCCATAAAATTGATAATATGGTTGCTGGTGTCAGCGTGTGCAGTCGGTTGGAGCTGAGCAGCGTTGGCTAACAAGGTCTCGATGGAAACGAGTGATATCTTTCCGCGGACCTCCACGCCAGCAGACCGCTGTACGCCATCAATGCCTGTTCTGCTCTTGTCTCAAATCCATGAGCCCCAAATGTCGTCTGTCGGTGTGAGTTTTGACTGGTTGTCTGCGAATAGTCTTCACACTTTCCTCTTCTTGAAGAACGACTCAATGGATTTTTGGCTCTCGTCGAACCTTGAGCTGCCAACGCCCCTGGTGCGCTTTAGACCCTTCAAATGCTCTTTTCCATTAACGGTCTTGATGACAGCCTTGTATTGGTGTAATGGTGAAGACGCGTCGTTGTCGGCGTTAGATGAATTAAAAGTGTGCGGCGCAGCAGTAGATATTGCCAGCTCGCCTGTAGCGGCTGACTCTTTCTTCAGAATGTCGAGCTCCAGGTAACCGGTGTTTGACCATCCGCCAAGATGTTCAAGGGGCGTGATTCCACCAGTGCCCACAGAGAGCCCTTGAGATAGAGTGATGCTATTTTTTGCAAGGAGCGTGAGTAAGCATCTCCATAGCTGGGACAAAATTATCCCATGGGATACGACCACAATGTCGCTGGTGAGCTCCACTGATTCACTCCGTATGGCGGGCACTAGATGATCGTGAAGGAATCTCGACATCCTCAAAGCCATCGACTCCTTCGACTCGACATCCTTGAAGTCGGGATCATCCTGATGTTGAGATCGGTGGTTCTCCTTTCCTGACCTAGTAGAATCCTTAGAACGGGCATAAAACGGTTTCCCTTCGTAGAATCCGAAGTCCTGCTCCCGCAAGACCGTAAGCGCAGTGACTTGTAACTTTGCCTCAGGTGCCGCATCACAGTCAGGCAGGGGCTGTGCCAGGCGTATCGCAGTTGCAGTTTTCAAAGCACGCTGCAGATCAGAGGAAAATATTCTTCTGAAACGTAGCCCGTTCTCCGCAAAGTATTTCCCCAATCGTTCAGCTTGCAGATTGCCATGGACGGTCAGGGCGGAGTCTTTGACTCCAGCACTAGATGGCGTTAGCACACAGAGATCTGGCCGTAGAGACAGAGACTCTCACTATACTTGGGCTACATTATCGACTGTTTCACCGTGGCGGATGAGGAAAAGTCTCATTGCAGAATGAAGGGTACGGTGTCATGAAGTGTACGATGAAGAGTAGACTCCTGATGCTGTGTGGGTCTGGGAAGTAAAGTATGGAACAAATGGCGCGCCAAGACCAGAGCTACGGTGGCCGAAGCGCAGAAGAAGCGCCGTTTCGTTCCAGGGGGCAAGGCGGATCTTCAGGGCAATTGGGCAATCTTAATTTCGCACGTAATCTTCAGCCACTCAGCTTCAAAGACTACACCATCAACTTTGAAACGTTGTCCGCCCATCGTCGTTACGATGGTCGTATTTTCGTATGTCTACTTTGCTGCGCATCATCATTATCCTTGCGCACTAGAACAGATTATGGTCTACGACCGCTTTGCCTCTTCAGAAAAGGCATATGCCAACCAGTGAGATTGCAAGCCGAGGCGTTCCAGCTTTTGAGGCTGAGCTCCTTTGGCTGCATTGGTCGGTCACGCCGCATCATTCGAGCCATTACATTGAAGTATGTTGTGCATTCTATGATTATAGCTTCGGACGAGACCAGCGATGCCGCATGCTGAAATCTAGCCGTTCTGCTGATGATGGTGGTGAGAGCGTCGATTCGATTATCTGTGGTGTTAGGGGTATCCGGCGTAGCTAAAACGTCTCCACTGGATGCTACCGCTTACTCCAGCTGACGCCCAATAGACGCAACGGCTTTCTCAGAATATTTTTAGATGCGGAGCTTGATACATATGTACTGCGCTCCGTCAATGCTTCAGCAGCTAAGTATTAAAAGGCTTCCTCAAGCTCGGACTATCCGAACTCCAAAGCCCCCTTCCTCCCTCGCGGTGCATCTCCTCTAATATTATAATAACTCAACTATATACATACACAGTCACTGCTCTCCGCACCCTGAATTCCCCAGGATCTTCAGGATTTCCAGAAATTTTATAGACCGTGAAAACATCCACTCATTGCTAGCGGCAAAACCGAAGCCTGTCTTCCATCAGCGAGGAGACACCTGCTCCACCCACAGCCCGACCTCTATATATCTCTGCTACCTCCTGATCTCTCACATTTCCTTCTGTCCTATAGCCGGCACTCTTCATACTCCTATACATTAACCCCCACCAATCAGCACCATCAAGTCGTTATCCCATTGTCGTCCAGGACAAATCCACCTGTAACGAAGTTCCAGGCACTTCAAAGATGGCAGCCAACGAATCACAGTTGCCCGCCACGCCCCCAGAGCAGCATGTCACCTTCCGCGAGAAGGTCGAAGACGCGTTTCAATCCGTGGTCGGCGTGATCAAGGCTACTACAGCACCCCTGCCAACCAAGACTGGCGATGGATCTTACATTGCAAATACAAAGCCCACTGGGCTTCTGACGGACCTGGTAAATCTACGGCCCGGCGATGTCTCGACCTTGATAGCTCAGGCTAAGTCCACATTGACCGGTGATCCTGTGAACGACAAGACTTACCTCATGGAAAGGCTCTTGAAGTTGGCAAGCGAGCTACCGGCGAATAACAAAGAGGCCGGTATACTCAACAATGAGATTGTCCAGCAGTTGTACGATAATCTTCAGCACCCTCCACCTGCACAGCTTGGCAACGAATACAGGTATCGAGCCGCCGATGGCTCATTCAATAACACTATGGCCCCTCAAGTAGGAGCTGCAAATACCCATTATGCCCGCAGTGTGCGTCCGCAAACCGTGCAAAATGCAGACCTTCCGGATCCCGGAGATTTATTCGACAATCTGATGGCTCGGGACCGATTCAAGCCTCATCCTGCCAAGCTCTCCAGCATGCTTTTCTATCTCGCATCTATCATCATACATGATCTATTCCGTACGGACCGCTGGGACACTACCAAGACGAAGACATCTTCATATCTGGATCTGGCGCCCCTGTATGGTTGCGATCAGACGGAGCAGGATGCGATGCGTACCTTCAAGGACGGCAAAATAAAATCTGACTGCTTCAGCAACAAGCGCATTCTGGGATTTCCACCTGGGGTTGGCGCTATGCTAATATTGTTTAATCGCTTCCACAACTATGTGGTGGACCAGCTTGCGTCAATCAACGAAGCCGATAGATTCGCAAAACCCAAAGATGATGCAGACAAGACAGCCTACACCAAATACGATAACGATCTGTTCCAGACTGCTCGTCTTATCAACTGTGGTCTATACGTCAATTGCATCCTGAAAGACTACGTAAGAACGATATTGAATCTCAACAGGACCGACAGCGACTGGGATCTTGACCCTCGGACAGTCACACTTACTGGCCCGACCGCCAATGGTACTCCAGGTAATCAAGTCTCTGCAGAGTTCAACCTCGTCTACCGATGGCACGCATGCGTATCCGAAAAGGATGACAGGTGGACCCAAGAGGAGTATGCGAGACTATTTGACGGGAAAGACCCAAGCCAAGTCAACATGATACAATTTCTCACAGGCCTTGGCATGTGGGAATCTGGCCTTTCGTCCGATCCCCAAGAACGCCCGTTCGCTAACCTCCAGCGTTCCGCAGATGGGAGCCTGGATGACGATGCACTGGTCAAAATTCTCGCCGACGGAACCGAAGACGTGGCTGGTGCTTTTGGCTCGACAAACGTTCCGGCCATTCTCAAAGCCGTCGAGATCCTCGGAATCAAACAAGCGCGATCGTGGAACTTGGCTACTCTTAACGAGTTTCGAGCCTTCTTCAACTTGGAAAAGCACACATCGTTCGAAAGTATCAACAGTGATCCAAAAATTGCTGATGCGCTCAAGCACTTCTACGATGAACCCGACCTCGTCGAATTGTATCCCGGTCTGGTAGTTGAAGAGGCTAAACCTCTAACGGATTTCGAAGCTGGCAGTGGCCTTTGCACCGACTACACTATCTCTAGAGCTGTACTTTCTGATGCTGTGGCCCTCATACGTGGAGACAGATTTTACACAGTCGACTATACCCCCAATAACCTGACCAATTGGGGCTTCCACGAGGCCTCGTCGGATGTGACAGTGGACCATGGCCATGTGTTCTACAAGCTCTTCCTGAGAGCATTCCCAAATCATTTCCAGCCAAATTCGATTTACGCGCACTACCCCTTGGTCGTCCCGGAAGAGAACCATGTCATTCTGTCTAAGCTTGAACAGGTGGACAAGTACGACTTTGGCAGACCAGCTCCCATACAACAGCCAACGCTGATCACATCTTACGCTGCTTGTAAATCCACTCTCGAAAATCAACAGAATTTCAAGGTTACCTGGGGCAAGGCAATCAAATATCTCATGCACAACAGTGGTAAAGAATTTGGAGCTGATTTCATGCTCTCTGGAGACGCGCCTGTCAATGCCAAATCACGCCGTGTGATGGATACTGCCCTGTACCACAACAAGTGGGAGGACGAGGTCAAAGTTTTTTACGAGAAAATCACGCTACAGCTTCTCCGCGAGAAGTCTTCCAAGGTTTCTGGGACAAACCAGGTTGATATTATTCGAGATGTCGGCAATCTAGCTCAAGTACATTTTTCTGCAGAGGTGAGTCAATACCATAGCCAGACTGTTCTGGTGCTGGACTGACAACATTGAACAGGTCTTCTGCCTTCCATTGAGGACGGCGAAGAATCCGACAGGGGTGTATACTGAAAGCCAGCTCTATAGCTTAATGGCTCTAGTGTTCATCTGCATCTTCTTTGATGTAGATCCCGCTAACAGCTTTCCTCTTCGCCAAGCCGCACGTACACTCACTCAGCTTCTTGGTGAGATAATGGAAACGTTGGTCATACCCGAGGCCAAGGAACCAGCCGTTTTAAATACCATCCTCGGCTTCTTTCACAAGCACAGCGCACTGAGTGAATATGGCTTGCACATGATTCATCAATTGTTCAAGAGCGGCCTCTCGACGAAAGACATTATCTGGTCTCAAATCTTGCCAACTGCGGGTGGTATGATAGCCAACCAAGCCCAGTTGTTCGCCCAGAATCTTGACTTCTACCTCGAACCCGAAAATGCCGGACATCTGAAAGAGATCAATAGGCTGGCTAAGCTCGACACCCCGGAAGCCGATGACTTGATCCTTCGCTATTTCATGGAAGGCACTAGGATGAGGGCCACGGTTGGCGTGTATCGCGATGTAGCAACAATGGCAACCATACAGGACGGCGACAGAAAGGTCCATGTGATCCCCGGGGACAAAGTCTTTGTAGACTGTGTCACAGCATCTCAAGATCCACTCGCCTTTCCAGAGCCAGAAACTGTCAAGCTCGACAGACCCATGGACTCGTATATCCACTACGGCCAGGGACCACACCAGTGTTTGGGGTATGGAGTGAGCAAGCTAGCTATGATGACGATGCTGAAGACGGTGGGCAAGCTCGACAACCTGAGAAGAGCGCCAGGGGAACAGGGAAAGATTAAAAAGATTGCCGGCCCAGGAGGCGTCACCCTATATATGACTGCGGATCACTCGAGATACTTTCCTGTCCCAACTACGATGAAGGTGCGGTGGGATGGAGATCTGCCACCGGTGAAAGCGTGATTGGACTGGTCTATATCGGGAGGAAAACGATGAAATTATGCCTTGATGTAAGAATATGTTCAGCTATCGGAAGAGCTCTCTGCCATCTTGACGACTGTAGTCTGAGGAAGGGTATTGGTAGAAAAGCGAGCCTGCATGGATTTGTGTCCCTTTGCTGTATGGACCAAAAGCGACCCGGACTATGTATTGTATTGCGATAGCCCTTATTAGACATAGACTTCTCTATTCGGCTTCTTTTGCACCCTGATCCGACTCGTAACGAACAGTGATCGTAAATCCATTTTAGGCTAGCGTTCTACACGGGAATATCGAAACTTTGTTCCGGTCCTTCACCTTGCGGTTCTACCTACTAGAGCAAACTCCTCAAGGCTCTGCACCTTCACGCGCATCTCACCTTCCTCATCACACCCATCACCCCGCTCTCAGTTACAAGGCAGCATCTTACAACCTCATCTACTACTCTCACATCTAAGCCGGCGACCTGCACCGCTAAGCTTTCTTCAATCTACCACAAGCTTCCGCCTTTCCATCCTACCTCCCTGATCTTCAACACGTTCTTTTTTCCTTCGAATCTTGACGTGGAGTCTGGTGTTCCAACGTCTTGCACATCTTCCATTATAAGAAAGCCTACAACATACAAACATCAGGGTAACACCACCTTACACTTTGCTTTGCTGACAAGGCAGGAGCGAACCCCTCAACAGCTCCCGAACAAACATCTGAGCGTCTCCAATATCACACATCATACCATCAGACTTGAACCTAGAAACTCGCCTTCATACACCGGGGAGCTCGGAATCGGTTCCGGACATACACATGAGTGTTCTACAGTCACTCAGCTGTCACGATGGGGCGAATTAAGAAGGAAGCGGGCCCAAAGCATGACGAGACTCTGGTACTTCTATAGCTCCACCTACATTATGAAATTAGCTAGCTGCGATGTACTAATGCGTTCATTTCTATAGCCTCCCGCCATAGCGGAGTTCGTGAGTACAGCAAGTATCCTCCCGATATCCCAGCTGCCACGACACTTCAGAAGCTTTCCTATTCGATGGGCATTCCCAAAAGGAGATGTTTACCACTGGATTCCTCTCTTCAATCGATTCGACAATATACTTGAACAGTTCGTTCGGGAGTATGGCCTCAATGTCGGACCTCAGGTACGGCCTTTTGGATGCGTCTTATTGCTTCAAGGCGTTGCCGAAGAAAACGAAGCTGCAAAAGGTACACCAACCAACGACGCAGAGCTGAAAAAATTGGGCTTCGGACCAGATGGAGATCGACAACTTGTGGAGGACATGTTGAACTTCTCACGCAAATTGCTGGAAAATTGTGGCAATCGAAGTTTGTATGCCAGTAGCGAACGCCTGGGAGACCTCCTCAACACAACCAGTTTATCTTTGCTTTCCGCCACTCTCCAACTTGCAGCTCGTCTTGCCCATCGCTATTACGCTTCTCGTCAAAAAGGAGCCCAGACTAGCCAACACCTGAATAACAGCTTGCTACAATTACATTACAACATCGATCTTGAAAAGATGCAAAAGCTTGCAAATCCTTTTACGAAGTCATCGTCGTCGGCCTCTGCGTCTGCTAATTCAGCTACGCCTATAGTGAAAGGTAAAGAAAAGGGACATGCTTCGAAGGCAACATCTTCAGTTTCCGTCAACGCCAATGACTTGTCGACTTTGACTCAAGACGTGAAGACTTCGGTGAACGGGTCAGCGAAGTACGCTCCCACTGCAGAGAAAATAGCACACCACTCATCGAGCTGGGAAGACTGGGGCTCAGTCCTCTTGACCTACTATCAGTCAGCTACAGTACCGAATGATGATCAGAAGCCGCCTCCGACCCCTACCCCTACAAGACGACCATCAGGCTTGTCTCGGCCTAGCCGATTGTCAAGCTCTGATGAGTCTCCTGAAGCATCTACAGCTCTATCCAATGCAAAGTCCGAAGAGCCGACCGTTGGAGGGATGAGACAAGTCGAGATTCCTTACTCCCAGATAGCATCTTCGCAGGTGGAGGATGTCTTGAAGGATGGGCTGCAGAACCTCCCTAAGGACTCGCACTACGAGCTGTTGACTCGGATCAGGAATGCCAAGGCCATCGCCACCTCCGTTTCCATGCGGCAGGAACTCGTGAAGATACGCTTGCTGGCAATCACCAATCTAGCCTACATATATCCAGATGTGATGTTTCAACAGAAGATACTGCAGCAAGACTCTGATCAACCACGGAGATTCCAAATTGCGTATCAACTTGCGGACTTGGTGCATCCGCCGGGCAATGGAACATCGGGTATTCCGCTCAAACTGCAGACGGTGGCACTTGGAACACTGGAGGCGCTCGCCAAGCAGAAGACAAAAGCACCTGACGTGTGTGCCGCTTTGAATGTCAACGTCAACCATGGCGTGCTATTCTACCTTCTTCGCAAAGCTGTGGCCGAGATGGCGAGCGAAGAACCTGAGTCTGACGAGAGCGAGGAACGACGTGAAGCTGTCTTCTCATTACTCGAATGCTTGCCACCATCTGCACCTAGGACCGGAGAAAATCTCATCGCTGCGGGCCTCCTTGACATACTCATAGAGATCCTCGGTCTTCGGACTAACAAAGCAGAGCGTAGCCAACCCAAAATCCTGAGCTTTCTCAATGCAATCGTATATACGGTGCGAGACGCTCTGCAGTCGATTGCCAACTCAAAAGGTCTGGATACAATTTCCGATCTGATTGCCTACGAGGTCCGTTCGTCCTTGGAACGTGCGAAGAATGGGGAAGGTCTGAATCCAGGATATCGCAGCCATGTGGTTGATTATCAGACTCCTTTCTTCCAGCAACAGACATTGCGGATGTTGTTCAAGCTCATCAACCACTTGATGGCAAATAGCCCAGCGAACTTTGACAGACTGCTCAGAAACCTTATAGACTCTCCCCAGCTCCTAGCTGGTCTTAAAATCGTCATCACCAACCCCAAAGTCTTCGGCTCGAGCATCTGGAGCGGAGCTATCAACATCATGAGCAGCTTCATACATAATGAGCCTACGAGCTATGCTGTCATCTCCGAGGCAGGACTCAGCAGCGGGCTGCTTGACGCCATCACTCTGAATTCAAAACCTCAAAGTCCCATGACCATTTATGAGCTCTACATTAGCAAAGACGAAGTCATTAGGCAAGGAGTCGCGCATGCAAACGCTGGTGGCATTGCGAAATTCATGAAAGATGATCATTGCAAGGAATTGCGGCAGGCTGTCTATCCCTCGACTCATGATATCCTTCCAGCCTCCGACTCGATCACGGCTGTACCTCAGGCTTTTGGTGCCATTTGTCTTCATAACACTGGTTTGGAATTGTTTCAAAAGTCCGGAGCTATCGATAGCTTCTTCAGGATTTTTGAAAGCGATGAGCACATCAAAGTAATGTTATCTCCCACAGAATCAGAGCTGCTAAGAATGCTAGGTAACTCTTTCGATGAACTGGTGCGACATCATCCCACTCTGAAGATGGCCGTCGTCATCAACATCATGACTATGATCGAGCGTGTTGGAGAGATGTGCAAGTCACGAGCGAAGACCAAGGGCTGCGGAGCTAAGCTTTGGCTTCAAGCCGGAAATGGAAAACTTGTGCCAGCGGGGGAGCACCAAAGCACCAAACAAAGCACTACCGTGGAGCCAAAGGTGGAAAATGATGATGATGTGGTGATGGGTGAAGCATCTCCCATTCGTGAAGAATATCCTGTTACAGCAGTCCTTGACCCTGAAGCAATGGACGAGATGGACGAGAAGAACGGGCCCAGCACTGCTCAACGCATCGAGGTAGTTATGCGGTTCCTCGAAGGCTTCTTCGAGAACTCTTCGCTTTGCTCCTTTTTCGTCGAAGCAAATGGCGCAAACCTCATTCTCGACCTCGCGACATTGCCAAGTCTTCCCTTTGACTTCAACATGCAAAAAGGTGGCGAAGAGGTCAGCAAAGTTGTCCACATCATGGTCGAGCAGAAGCCTCATCTCGTTCTCCCCACTCTGCTCCAACGCGCACAGAAGACTTTGGATGATCTGCAACCTCTATACAACTACACTGGGAAATATGCATTTTTCTCGGAGTTCACATCAGTGGCAGAGGGTCCCACCAATGATCAAAATGAAGGCCCTTATGCTCCAATTGGGACCACGGTTCTCAAGTCTCTTGTGAATGTTCACACTCTGACTTGCATTCTCTCCGAAGTGTTTTCAGCGCCCATCTTCGGTTCGCGATCGAGCCAGACACCTTTCAGTCAGGTCAATCTCGCGGACAAGTATCGAAATGTTGTCACGAGCCTTGGTTTACTGCACCGAGTCTGCGTATGGGAAGAAATCTTACTACTCAAGAGACTTCCCGACGCATGGAAGATGGGTACAAGTTTCAAAGGTTTCGGCATGGGTAGTGAAGAAGCAGATGCGGTCTTTGGTTTTCTCAACAATGGGAATGAGATCCCTGGGGATGTCGAAACGACCTCAGCTCCCTCGCGTGCCACAGCACCAGGCTTACCGAGCAGCAATGCCCGCTCTTCTGACTCAAAGAAGCCAAAGTCACCTTCCATGGAAAAAGACGAGAAGACCGCTCATTTCAAGAACGTGAGAAGCTTGCGCTATGTGTTAAGTCAAATACCATCTGCGGTTGTCCTTTTCTTCCAGAACCTGGGCAAGTCTTTGGTAGCTAAGAGGCGACCGGAGGCTTACGCTCGACAAAACGCCTACTTGGTTGCCGAAGCAATGTCGAACGCCAGCCTCGAGCAGTTACGCTACGAGCCAGCAAAGAAGTCTGCATGTGCTGAGGACCGTTACGCCTACTGGGTTGTCGTCCTGACTTCTGTTTCAACGTTGATCATTGAAGGTATGTTTCGTGGTCGCGAAGGTCAGGAAACAGATTATAACAGATTTTCAGGTTCTTCCACTGATCGTCCGTCGGCCCAAGTCCTGACCCTTCTACTTCAAGCTTTCACAAATGATGGAGGTCTGAAAGCTTTTAAGGAGGTGCTCGAGACATTTTTTGAGGCAGCGAAGACCTTGATCAAGAGTACAGATGAAACCGATCGCAAAGCTAGAATAATACCGATTGCAGGTGGGATCAGGATCATACTAAGCTTCTTCGCCCAAATCACCATGTCCAAGTCAATCACGGAGTCTAATCAGACGCACGCGATCACTTCACATGAGCGTGATCGAGGACAGTTGACTTACTTCCTACCTTCGCAGTTTCTTGTGGAACTACGTATGACTATCCTCCCTGTTGTCAAGAGAATGTGGGATTCCGACTTCGTGGACAAAGCGGATGTCTCGATCATCAAATGCCTGATCGAAATCCTTCGAACCGTCCTTGAAGGCAGTGATGAGCAGGGAGCATTCAAGCGTGGGGACCAACAACCCGCTCCACGAAAAGCTCCTATCAAAGTTTACAGCATTCACAGCGACAAAGTACGGTCTCTGACGGATCTCGGTTATGATCCTGAGATAGTTCAAGAGGCCTTGTACCGATGTCAAAATACACAGATACTCGCTATCGAGTATTGCCAGGCTTTAAAGCACTTTCCAGGGGCAGCGAGAAACCCTATCCCAGAATATGACCAAGAAAAGGCGCGCCGACCAGTAACTGCAACTCCTCAACGTTCAGAGTCCGGGGCCACTCTACCTGAACCAGATCCAGCTGCCCCATCCGAGGCAACTGTCGCTACAGATCGGCGCTTTGCAGGATTTGAGATGGACCCTGAGACCATGAACGAAATCCTTGCTCAAGCGGGCAACGGGACGCTATCGCAAGAGCAGCCTCAGGCGCCAATGCCCGCAGCTCCCGCGGCTGATACTCGTACTGGAGATTACACAGCAGCCCAAGGTGACACACATGTCGAAGTCGAAGAAGCAGACGGAGAAGATTCAGCTTCTAGCTTGAGAGCCCCACCGCCTCCAGCACCAGGCGTCCCACCTGAGACTGACAGCAACTCGAACGACAACATGGCGATGAGCAATGACAGTTTGCGGAGTATCCTTTCGGAGATACCTGGCAGGCCTACTCCACTTGAAATGCCCGAGCGTGGGGGAACGATGACAGGTACTCAGAGGCCTGACGAGCAACCTCAGTCAAGACCAGTTCCGACGGCGCCGGAGTCACCCAAAGCACCAGATCCCGTGACGGTCAACGATCTTGACGATGGACGCGCTACGGTTCGAGAGAATCTCATAGATAGAGCCCTCGATGTGCTTAACGTTCATGACGACGTTACTTTCGAGCTTGCCGACTTGATCCAAGCCGCTGCACTAAAGTCATTGGATGCGAAGCAGTTGCGCAGCGAAATTGGCGAGACTTTAGTACAGTCTTTGATATCACTTCAGATGGAGGAAGACTTCCGGCCTGCCGGCAAAAGAATCGCGTCATACGCCAATCTATTGGCTTTAGTCCTCCAAGAGAAGAGTTTCTTTGAAGCGACGACAGAATTTCTCATCGAGAACCTGGAGCAGCTTATGGGTTTCATCAAGATTTACTCTGACCCACCTGAGCAAGCGTCTCCTTGGATTGGCCAAATCCTACTAGTCATCGAGAAGGTACTGGCAGAAGATGTACAGCCATCGAAGATCGAATGGTCAATTCCACCTAGTGGAGAGATTCCCAAAGGCGCCATAATTGACATGCCGCCACCACTTGTCTCCCTGGATGCGAAGCTTCAGTTGTTTGAAGCCATAGATGGTATCCTGCTTGGAATTGGGAGAGATGAATCGCTCGCCCTTTCCGTGGTCCGCGTCCTGGTTATCTTGACTCGTAATCGGGAGATTGCTTCTAAGCTCGGCGAAAAGCGAAAAATAGATCGCCTTTTTATAATGATCAAGCTATTGACTGGTATGACCATCGACCGACTCCCAAGCACGTTCATGCTGCTACTTCGCCATATCGTCGAGGACGAAGCTACCATTAGACAGATCATGCGCAGCGAAATCATGTTCAGATTCGAGACCAGAACCGGCCGTGCCACCGACACTCAAAGCTACGTGAAACAAATGTACGACCTCATCCTCAGATCTCCGGAAATCTTCGTTGAGGTCACAAATGAGAAGCTTGAGATTCCCAGATATGATTCATCTCAGCAACCACAAATTCTGGGCCTCAAACCAGAACTCAAGGAACCAGAAGAAAAGGAGACCCAGTCTACCCGAGATCTGACTGCTGCCAAGCCTAGTGAAGACGTAGTTGGAGAAGTAGAGGGTCAGAAAGAAGAAAGCAAGCCATTGAATGGTGAGGATGAGCAAAACCAGGCACAGAAGCCCAGGGCAACCGAAACCAAGGCTCCTATCGTCGAGCATCCTAGTGGCGTCATCCATTATCTCCTCTCCCAGTTATTGGCCTACAGAGAAGTCCCAGATCCCCCAGACCCTCAGCTGGCTAAACCACAGGAGCCCTTGACCGAGGCTTCTTCAGAGACTTTGGATATTGCAGACTCAGCAATCACATCTCCAGCATCAGGTCCTAGCGCCTCGAGCCCAGCATCAACGGCGAACGCCAACTCTAACGACACCAAGAAGGCCGAGAAGCCTGAATTTAAGCCTGAGCAGCATCCCATTTATGTCTATCGCTGTTTCCTCCTTCAGTGCCTGGCCGAACTCTTACATTGTTACAACCGTACAAAGATCGAATTCATCAACTTCTCGCGCAAAGCTGATCCCAAAGCAATGACTCCCTCAAAGCCTCGATCTGCGATTCTCAATTATCTCTTGAACGATGTAATCCCTGTGGGCACTCTGAGCCACGAGGACACCATCGAATACCGCAAAAAGAATCTTACGTCCAACTGGGCCATGTCAGCTATTGTCTCTCTGTGCCTCAGGACCAATGAAAACGGGTATCCCAACAAGCGTGATGCAGTAGACGAGGACGACGAACCCGATTTACTCTTTGTGCGCAAGTTTGTTCTAGAGCACGCCCTCAAGGCTTACAGAGATGCCAACGCGTCAGAAGAGCATCCTGACGTCAAGTATGCTCGCTTGCTCGATTTAGCAGATCTTTTTAACCGCTTGTTGATGGGAAGACTCGTCCCTGCTAGTGGCACGCCTTCTCCCGGTGTGGAAGGAGGGTTTCAGAAATCCATAGCCAAGATCATGTTCGAAAAGAACTTCATCGCAGCTCTTACAGGCTCCATTGCAGATATCGATCTCAATTTCCCACCTGCCAAGCGCGCTATCAAATACATCCTCCGACCACTCAAGCAACTCACAGCCACAGCTATCGTGCTGAGCGAGAGCTCAAGCATCTCTAGCATTCCAGGTACGACAGATGAAGATGAAATATCTTCTGCCACCTCAGTTTCCGACATGGATGACGACCGAGAAGAGACTCCAGATCTGTTCAGACATTCCACCCTCGGTATGTTTGAGCCAGGTAGAGACCAAGAATCAAGCTCGGAGTCCTCGGAAGGTGACGAAGAGATGTACGACGATGAGTACGAGGAAGGCTTGGAGTACGAGGAGGGCATGGAACGTGACGATGAAGTCATTAGCGATGAGGATGAAGATCTTGGAGAAGCGGGCCCTATTGAAGGCCTTCACGGAGACCCTGGGATGGACGTCGAGGTGGTCATCGATGCGGAAGACGATGAGCCAAGTGACGACGATGAAGACCAGGACGATTCCGAAGATATGGACGAAGACAATGAAATGGAAGTCATCGATGAAATCACTGGCGATAGCGAGAATGCTAGCCTAGCCGAAGGTGAAGACGAAGACTGGCAAGACGAGGATGGAGAAGACATCGCACGCTACAATGAGGAAAACGACCTTGACCGGGGCTTCAGTCAAGACACCCAGGATGCCGAGAGTGCTGTGAGAGATATCGTTCGAGAGTTTGGAGGCCCAGAAGCTGCTCTTCAGCGTCTCGAAGGACTTGAAGATGGCCCCGGGGGTCTCGCCATGGACCTCGAAGAAGGTATTGGAGGTAGATATATGGACGATGTCGTCGGACACGAGCATGATGAGGAAGATGAAGACGACGAAGGCGAGAATGACGATGAAGTCGACGATGAAGATGTCATGTTCCAGCCCGAATATGATGACGAGGAGCCTGGGATGCCTGAGCCTCCTTTTGGTTGGGATCCTGATGATGATCCAGGCTTGCCATTGCCAAGAGGGCATCACCACCATCATCACCATCCTCGTCGCATGCCTGATCTTTGGTCTTCTTTCCCTGGCTCATTGAACGACCCTCGCACACACCTTACACACCTGTCATCTTACCGTTCTCACCGGCCTGCGGGCGTACCCCGCTCAAATGACGACAATAGCAATCCACTATTGCAACGCAGTGTGGTGCCAGAGCCCTCGCGCGGAACACGAGGTCAACGCTCAGCCGACTTGTCAGACGCTGCCGCGAATTTTGATGACTACTGGGTTCACGGAATGGAGCCTGGTCGACGACCCCGTGGTATGATATCTGCTGACAGTCCTGTCTCGTTTCTCAATAGCCTCATTGCATCCGTGGGTCGAAGAGGTGATATTGGCGGAATGGGCTTTAGTGCTGTTGGTGGCCCGGGTGGGGCTGTGCAAATATCTATCGGCGGAGGCGCCGTTGGAAGCGCACTCACATTGCCACGTGATATTGAGAACCTCCTCGGTGGTGTTCGGGGACACGCACACCACGAGGCCTCTCGGGTTAACCGAGAAGGGAACCCTCAACAGGCAATGGTCTCACCGGCGGTCACCTATCAACGATGGCAAGAAGAATCTCGACTTCTCTTCGGCAACACTCATATCGAAAAGGCTATGCGCATAACGGAACACCTACTTCGCATCCTAGTACCTCCGGCAGTTGAGAAGAAAAAGCGGGAAGACGAGGAGAGCAAGCGTCGAGCGGAGGAGGAGAGGCAAGACCGAGAGAAGTTGAGGGAAGAGAGATTAGCGCTGGAGAAGGCTGAACGAGAGATGAAAGAGCAGCAGGAAAACGCAGAACGCGAAGCTCGGGAAGCAGCTGCCGCCCAAGCAGCCTCAGGGGCTGAAGTAGCGCCTCCTGAGGGCCAAGAATCAGGACTTACCGAAGACGAAGGGGCCATGGAAGGCGTGGAGAACGCACAAGTAGAAGAGCCTGCGGAAATTGCGGAGAATGCAGAAGGCCCAACGTCAGTGGAGGAACCTGCAGCAGCAGGCCCATCCGAACCAACAGAGCGAGTGCGGACGACCATTCGGGGGCGCGAGCTTGACATCACCGGTCTGGGTATCGACATGGCTTACCTTGATGCATTACCTGAAGAGATCCGCGAAGAGGTTCTTATGTCCCAGCTTGCGATTCAGCGATCTGAGGCCGCTGCTGCCGGCGAAGAGCCCACTGACATCAGCCGCGAATTTCTTGAAGCCCTTCCTCCTGAGATTCGAGAAGAATTACTCCAGCAAGAAGCACAAGATCGGCGACGACGTGAACGAGAAGAAGCCCGTAGAAGACAACAGGCTGCTAGCGGTGGTGGGTCTGCTCGTGCGGAAGAAATGGACCCTGCGAGCTTCTTCGCTTCCCTTGACCCAGCACTTCGACAGAACGTTCTAATGGAGCAAGACGAGGAGATTCTCGCTCAGCTCCCCGAAGAGATTGCAGCAGAAGCTCGAGCTCTAGGTGGGAATCGGCCTATGCATCGTTTTGCAGGAATTGCTGGTCGTGGTGGTCGAGCCAATGGTCTGGTACGCCAGATACTCGACGGACGACCTCCGCAGCCCGCTGCAAAGAAGCCTCCGCGAAAGCAAATTGTGCAAATGCTCGACAAAGCCGGCGTTGCAACCTTGCTCCGCCTGATGTTCGTACCTCAACAAGGAAGCTCCCGTCAATCCCTTAATGGTATTCTCCATGACGTGTCTAGGAATCGCCAGAATCGTGCAGAGGTCATAAGCCTTTTACTTTCAATTCTCCAAGACGGCAGCACCGATGTCAATGCTATAGAGCGAAGTTTTACCCACCTTTCGCTTCGAGCCAAACAGCCAATTACCCCGAAGACGCCTCAGCCACTAAAGCGGACCCTTACTGGACCAATGGCAGCCGTTGCCAGCAACATGGAGGCAACCCCTCTGATGGTCATCCAACAGTGCTTGAGCGCACTTGTTTCGTTGACGCAATACAACCCTCATATTCCAGCGTTCTTCCTCGAGGAGCACGAAGTCACATCAGGCATGAAAACGAAAGCCAATCGAAAAGGCAAAGCCAAAGAAAATAAGGCGTCCAAGTTCGCACTGAACGCCTTGCTTAGTCTGTTGGATCGTAAGCTCATCATGGAGAGCTCTGGCTGCATGGAGCAACTCTCTAGCCTACTGCAGAGCGTTACTAATCCGTTGACAATGCTGCTCCGGAAAGACAAGGATAAGCCAGAAGAGCCGAAAGCTGTGGGAGCTCCGCGAGAGCCCACCAACGGCTCCGAGGGAGTGATAGCCGATCACGCCGTGCAAGACCTCGCCCAGACAGCCGAGCCTTCAATAGAGGAGAGCACGTCCCCTATGATGGATGTTCAAGCAGACGGTGAGACACGCCAGGAAACCAGCGCAGGGCCAACGGCGGGTCAAGCCAAAGAGAAGGAAATGAAAAAGCCAGCGGACGAAATGACAAAGAAGGCTCGAGATCTGACACCGCCTATTGTGCCTGAGGAGAATCTTCGACTCGTGGTCAACATCCTTGCAGCTCGTGAATGCAGCGCAAAGACATTCCGAGACACGCTATCGACCATCAACAATCTTTCGGGCATTCCAGGGGCGAAGGAAGTCTTCGGCAAAGGATTGATCGAACAAGCTCAAGATCTGGGCCACTCTATTTTGCAGGATCTCGACGAGCTGGTACCACAAATCAAACAAGCCACCTCCGGTACTGACATCCAAGGCATGGCTCTTACCAAATTCTCTCCTGCATCGTCAGATCAAGCCAAGCTCCTTCGTGTACTCACTGCTTTGGACTACTTGTTTGACCATAAGCACATCGGTGGCAAGACAACGTCTGCTGTAGATAGCGAAGGGGAATCGGCCGAGAGCTCCACTCCGAAAGAGGATCTACTTACGATGTTGTACGAGAACCCGACTTTCGGCTCGCTCTGGAACAAGCTCAGCGAGTGCCTGAACAGCATTCGTCAAGGCGACGGTTCGCTTAATGTTGCCACCATACTCTTACCACTGATTGAGGCACTCATGGTCGTCTGCAAGAACACGACACTAAAGGACATCCCAGTGATTAAAGCCGCCAAAGAGTTCGCCATCACAAGCCCTCCGCCAGAATCCTTCATGGAGAGCCTCTTTTTCAAATTCACTGAAGACCACCGTAAGATCCTCAATGACCTTGTCAGACACAACCCCAAGCTCATGAGTGGCACGTTCTCACTGCTGGTTAAAAACCCCAAAGTCTTGGAGTTTGACAATAAGCGCAACTACTTCACTCGACGCTTACACTCTCGCGGCACAGAAGCGAGGCATCCTCAGCCCCCCTTACAGCTATCTGTCCGTCGTGATCAGGTCTTCCTTGACTCGTTCAAAAACCTATCCTACAAAACTGGTGACGAAATCAAGTACGGCAAGCTCAGCATTCGCTTCCATGGTGAAGAGGGAGTTGACGCTGGTGGAGTGACTCGAGAATGGTTCCAAGTCCTTTCGCGACAGATGTTCAACCCAGACTATGCTCTGTTCATTCCAGTCGCCTCCGATCGTACCACGTTCCACCCCAATAAGCTCAGCAAAGTCAACGAAGAGCATCTCATGTTTTTCAAGTTCATCGGTCGCATCATCGGCAAAGCTCTCTACGAAGGTCGAGCATTAGACTGCCATTTCAGTAGAGCTGTCTACAAGCGAATGCTTGGCAAGACGGTGTCAATCAAGGATATGGAGACTTTGGACTTGGACTACTACAAGTCCCTGCTGTGGATGCTGGAGAATGATATCACGGAAATCATCACAGAAACATTCTCCGTTGAGACTGATGACTTCGGCGTTACCGAGGTCGTGGATCTTACTGAGAACGGTCGCAACATTCCGGTCACCGAGGAAAACAAGCATGAGTACGTTCAGCTCGTGGTGGAGTACCGTCTTACGGGATCTGTGCAAGCACAATTAGAGATGTTCTTGCAGGGTAAGATTCCTTGGCTGGCGATCCTAATTCCTATACTGACGATAAACAGGCTTCCACGACATTGTCCCGCCGGAGTTGATCGCGATCTTTAATGAGCAAGAACTTGAGCTGCTCATCTCTGGTCTGCCCGATATCGATGTCGACGATTGGAAGAACCATACTGAATACCACAACTACCAAGCTTCGTCGCCACAGATTCAATGGTTCTGGCGCGCAGTCCGTTCATTTGACAAGGAGGAACGAGCCAAGCTTCTACAATTCGTTACAGGCACCAGCAAAGTGCCTCTCAACGGCTTTGGCCAGCTTGAGGGTATGAATGGCTTTAGCAGATTTAACATCCACCGGGACTACGGCAATAAGGACAGATTGCCTAGCTCGCACACTTGCTTCAATCGTAAGCACATTTACCCCACAAGACCAACACCAGTAGCTGACTCCCTCCTCAGAACTTGATCTTCCAGAATACGAGAGCTACGAAGCCCTCAGACAACAAGTCTACACGGCCATGACGGCTGGAAGCGAGTATTTCGGCTTCGCATAATTCACGCCTCTCAAGACTTCATGACGATACCATGCTACATACACTAATAGTGAGTCGGGCATTTGCAAAAGGCGCTGGATCTTGTCGTATGCACTTGAGCGAAGGGATATCAAGCGAAGGGTTCACAGCGAATGGTTCCAAACGATTTAGAAGCGGATCGTGCAGCATACTCTCTTTCGTTATGGTTAGGGCGAGGTAGTGGAGACTCGATGGCAGACGTGCAGGTCGTCCATCTTGTCTTCGCTATCCTTGGCTGAGATTGATATCGTGGCATTGCTTTGTACATAGCTGGAAATACGGAGAAGCAATGCAATGCCTCAAACACAATGAACCCTTGTAGACATGAAATATTGCACGCCGCCGAAGAGAGATCTGAGCCAGCCCTGCACCAACGCCTGATCAATGCGAGGCGATCAGTTCGGAAAGTCTCAAGTCTCCTCCCATCCATAGTCGTCGTCGTATTCAAAAACCAAACCACGTCGAGCACGAACCGAGTCTACCTCTCCCGCCTCCGTCCCCTCATCCACCGCCTCCGCCCACCAATCCCACCAGCCTCAACCCGACTCATCCGTAACCCCTCACCCCCCATCTTCTCACTCCGCGGCACCTCCTCCGCTCGCAAACAGCGCACGGAGCCCGTCGCTCAGCCCACACTTAAGCGATGAGAGTTGCGGTCGCGAGGATGTGGGGTTCGCTCAAGCCTCATCGCATCATTGATCACGGCGCGCGGAGGCCTTTTGGCTCTGGATGTGAGGGCGGCGGGGGGGGGAGAAAGAAGTCTCCTCTTTGACGGATGTTCTTCTGCCTGAATGGATGGATGCATGACGGATGGAATTCCCCGCTCTCGCTCTATGATCCAGATGTGGATCATCGAATGAGGCAAAAAAGAAAAGAAAAGAAATCCCAGACAACCCGACCAACCAACCAGCGCTGCTCGTCGCTTCGGAAGCGGGGAAAAAAATCAAAACCATCATGATTGATTGTAGATAGAGAATGTACGCCATGCCCGTCCGACCGTGGCATCCAGCACGACCGTCGCAGTCGCTAACCGCTGGGCTAGGCGGGTACGGACGAGCTCGGCAGCGAGCGACATCGCCGTCGTGGTCGCAAAGCGTGGGTGCGCGCTCGATGCCTTCCTTGGCTGTTTGTTGTGTTAGACGTGTGAAGACCGTCCTGAACGGTGGCAGGATGTCAATACCACCCCCCCCCCACCAACCCCTTCCTCTCATCGCCGACCCCTCCCCAACCACGCGGTCCTCCACCCCCGGCAAGGAAAAAAATCCCAAACACGGCCGGGTGTTTATCTTCCTCGCGTCCGTAGTCCCTCGGGGCTATTGATTGGTCGGGGGAGACGGCGGCGGAGGAGGGAGTTGGCTCGTTGACCTCTTTGCGCGTTGCACCCTTCCGGAGATGAGGGTGCTTGCCTCGCTAGTTATGAGATCTACCGGGGAAAGTTGGGGTCTGGATGCGTTTTGGTGGTGGTGACGTGGGGTTTGGATGCGGCTGGAGTCTCCGGGCTGTCCGCCGCATCTGGAGACGTTGGTATGGAGTCCGGTTTTGAGTCGGGCGAGCGGCTGAAGAGCAGGTTGTGGGATGCATGGGAGGGTCTGGTGGGTTGATCTGTTTTTGTGGAGGTTGGGTAGTTGATGGAGAGGTTTGCGGTGTGCTTTGGTGAGAGCGAGAGACGAGGGATGAGGATGGGACGGAGGAGAGGATTGGGACACTCGCGTGGACATTTGCGGTTTGATGCTGCGTGCGAAGAGATGTGTGTTGTACACAGGACTACCCTTCAGATCGGCGACGTCTTTGTGCGGTCGAACAATGCAGTATTGGATCAGACTGAGATTCTGAAGATTATCTGATCTGTCAGAGTGAAGAGCTAGCCTTGTCTGTTGGATTGAAATACGAGATCGGTCTAAAGTTGTGGAAAGAGTATCTCATCATCAGTGCTATCTTGAGTTGTTGATTTCTTGTTGGGGGCGGATGACGCTTTGTGCGATGCCCGCCGCGGCTGCTGAAGGTTGTTGGTAGATGGGATCGATTGAGCCCTTGGAGGGGGGCTTTGGGTGCTGCTGGTGATGGAAAGTGCTCTTCTATGCTAACATGGCTGCGTAAGAAAAAATTGAAAAATGATGCGGGAGAAGCATCCGGATGATTGGCAGGAATGGAACTCTTTGGAAGAAGAAGAAAAGTCTAGGTATATTTATTTCCAAGCACTTTGCACGAGACCAGATGGCGCCGCTGATAGTTGAGCTTATTGACATGTGAGAACTGGCGCTGACTATATACAGTGAATCAATGACACAGATGGACTCCGACCGCTATGTGTTCAAAATCAAAATAGCAAAGACAACAGGCTTGCCAACGAGCCCGAAAACCAACACCAGAATGCCGCTAACAGTACAAGCAGAAAATCAGGATGAGAGCATGCCATCGTGCCCAAGCCAACTAAACAAAAAGGGCAGAAAGATCGGTAGAACGGCAAAAGAATGACGAGAGATCCGGGAGCCAGTCCCAATGTTCGAGGAAAATGGGTATGAAGTCGAAAGAGTGTCGATGGGCATGCCAACGTGCCCGAACCGAAAGGGACCCATTTCGGATCGAAGAAGAAGGAGGAGGACTGAATGAGTGTACTGAGCGCGCCACCGTGCCCGGCCAAAGATCGACAGGACCAGCCAAAAAGAATGTCGAAAGCGCAAAGTAGGGCATGCCGGCCTACCGCAACCAAAGTGCAGCCAGTCCGGATCGAAGAAGAAGACCAAAGGAGTGTGGTGAGCATGCCAACGTGCCCAGCAATGTGAAAAGAACCCAACCGGCAATACTGTACGGCAGCGCAGCTGCTCACCCAGCCATCTGGCTATCATCGCCATCACCCTTCTCCTCCCTCGCCACCTTAGCATGCGGATGATGCGGCTCGCGCTTCCCCACCGGCCCGACCGTCAACGTCTCGAGGCCCAAATCACGTTTCCCGCCGACTCCGTTCCCTCCCCAATCGACAATCTCCCAGCCGTCTCCGTGATCCAGGGCCGGATCTGCCACGGCGGCGAAGACGGCATCGCTGGCGTCGATATCGTACATGGCGCAGCCGCGGCAGGAGTCCACGACTTTGACGTTCTGGGTCAGGACCTGCGTGTCGGGGTTCCAGATGCTGATGTAGGTGTTGCACTTGGGGTTGTCGTTTGGGTTGCCGGGCCAGCCTTGCTGCATCAGGGAGAGGGAGAGGGCGACGACCATTTCCGAGTCGGCGTGCGTCGTTCCGCAGGAGGTTAGACCGGCGGAAACTTGGTAGTTGGTCATTTTGCCTTGGTAGGCGGAGGCGAGGGGTGCGGAGAGGGCGAGGCCGAGGGCGAGGGTTTGGGCTTTCATGGTCGGTAAGTGTGCTCGGTAGGTGGGCTGGATATGGTTGGTTTAAGAGGTTATATTTGAGTGATGGTGCTTGTCTGGGACTCGATTTGGCGGGTATAGTAGGCTCTTATATATTCAAGGCATCATGGTAGTCTCGCGTGAGGGAATCAGAGGCGGCGGTGTATGGGAACGACAGCCAGGCGGAGGGAAAGGAGGTCATCCTACTGATGTAAAAATCAATGTGATACTGCCAATACTCCCATATCATATTTAGACGCATTGTTCAAAATTCCGACAGCAAGGAAGTGGAAAGCCTAATGGCGAAGTCAGAAGGCAGCAGTCAGAGCGCAGAAAAAGGAAGCCATCAGGCCCTAATATAGACCATGGGAGCCTCACAGGAGAGCGCAACAAGAGTTTGGATCTGTTTCAAACATCAGTGTCCAAATCAGCACAGAATGGCAATGGCGAAGCAGTGAAACATGCAAAGCCGCAATTCAGTCGACTGAAAAGAACATGACTCAAGCGGTGCCTGGGATGGTAAAGAGAGTTACGAGACACTTGGTTTGAGATTTGATGGCTCTGGGAGCAGAGGATGAATGTTTGAAGGCGTCAGTATAGACGGTAGGAATATGAGTCATCAGAAAGGAAGGGGATTTGATTTGCGGATTGCGCCACCTGTTGATCGAAACATAATGTTTGACAGGACAAGCCAAGGATTTCATCTGCCACTCTTTTCTATTAATTAATCTAGTGGCATGATCAGAATATTCCTGACCATTCTTACACCTATCTCAAGGCTCAACGATTAGTACCTTCACCGACCATCTCTAGAATGAACACAGTCATGCAATTAATCGAACAATCACGAATGGTGGAAAAGGCTGGTGTGTTCATGATGGAATGAAAATGAATAAGGATCCCAGAATAGATCACCGTCGCATCGTCCCCGATCCTGAGGCTCAAAAGTCGGTTGATGGTGAAGGAGCTCGCTACTTTAATAGAGTAAGTTTGTTTCATCCTTTTCATTGGCTGACAAGCCCGTCGCACAGCCACAATAATCAATGCCATCTTTGCTCAATTCTCACCTCCGCCAACACCCACCAGGTGTCGACAGATTTCTCCACCCCGAGGTTTACCCGGCTACTGCACGCATTTGGAGAAAACTGAGAATCTACCATATATATTCCTTCTGAATATCACCATAAATCAGATTTAATACGTCTACCACCTGTTTCTGCTAGTTGACGACATCGCCAAGGCATTTCAGCGATACGGGCCCGGACTTCGTACATAGAAATCCCCTCAAATTCCTCATGAATGACCCGTAGCAACTCCGCCTTAGTTCGACGTTGTAGCCGGGTAAACCTCGGGGTGGAGAAATCTGTCGACACCTGGTGACCAACATAAAAAGCCTCGAGGCAGGATGAAGAATAATGCCACTCTGAGAATTACGATTTGGAAGGGAGGTGTGCATATCTCTATGTACTTCGGGCTATAGAGTATCCGAGTATAGCTATAGGTAAGAGGAGTAACCGGACGGCGCCCACCAAAATTAGACAAAGACCAATGCGGGCGCACATTTCATCATTTAACCTGGACCTACAACATAAGTATTTTCGTCTGCTTGGATTATCCTCAGCTGCCAATGCAAGTGCAATCCGCCTCAAAAGAAATTCCTTTTCTTTCTCACCGCCTTTTGGCCGCCACGTGCCACGACATCCCACTTCAACAAGGTCCGTGTTGTGAACGTACAACTCACCACCTCACATTACTTCCGCAATTGATCGTCCGAGCATCAAGCAGTTACCAATAAAATGTCTATAGCTCAAAATGAAGACGTTGATCTCATGGCGAACTCAGCAGCGACAAATCTCACCACATTCGAATCAGCAGACAACATCCACAATAATCATGGCGTCTTATTCGATCTGATGAAACGAGGGTGATTGCATGTTTCAGCGTTGGTGGAATCAACACAAAATATATTGAAAGCGACACCTACTTCATTCCTCTAACCACTACTCTGGCAGCGTCCATTCACTACGAGGGGGATCGCGGCCGCCAAAACTCAGAGACCAAGAGTCCAAAATCTCTTCCTCCAGATCTTCTGGCCACCACTCGTCGCTGAACCCGCCCTTCTGCTCGTAGAGAAGTCTGGCGGCTTCAACGTTCCTTTCCGCCGAGGCCCGCAACTCAAAGTGGTTAAGAGGGTTTCTTTGTATGATCCTCCAGAGACGAAAGTTCATGGCCGGGTGATTTCTTTTCCACCAGTTCGATGGCTTTAGCCAATCAGTCGGCTCCTTCCAACGCTGGATAAGTTCAAAGCTACGTGTCATAGATTCGATTGAGAGACGTACCTTTTCGTTCTCACTCGCAGACTTTTCGTGACGAGACAGGTCTGTGAGCCGGGGAAAGGAGGATTCGGCGTTGGTATTCGTGCGAGGGCGATTTACCATCTCCTTGGCTTTTGCGACCAAGGAAGGCCCTCGTTTTCGAGATGGTGCATCATTTGCTGCTATCAACGAAGCATTTGATAGTCGTCGGCCAACAGGAGCATCCTTGGAAGACCCTCTTTTCCGCGATCCCTGGCCAAACACCGCTGAGGGCTTGGTCTCTGATGGGCGTCGGCCAGCCGCAGCACGCAATTTTTCTACCAAGGAAGGCCTTCTCTGGCGTGATTCTTCCCGATTTGTATCCGTAGGCTTTGACACTGACGGTCGTCGTCCACTAGGAGCACGATTTCGTCTCGGAAGACCTCTCGTGAAGTCACTCAAAGGCGGGCCCTCGGATGGATCTGGCTCACGTTCGGTCTCAGGCTCCGGGGTCCACCCGTATAGCATGCTGTGCGCTTGTGAGGAAGAACCCACTCTGGAACGGGTGGCGCGCAGTTGATGAATCGCGGACCTGGAAGACATCTTGGTGTGAGCTTCGAAGTCTGGTTGAATGTTTGATCTGTAAATTTTGGGAAGCGGTTGTTGAGTGAGCTAGAATAAGTTGAGGAAGAGTTGCTAGAGCTGAGGAAGCGGTTGTTGAGTGAGCTAGAATAAGTTGAGGAAGAGTTGCTAGAGCTGAGGAAGCGGTTGTTGAGTGAGCTAGAATAAGTTGAGGAAGAGTTTCTATAGCTGGGAAAAGGAAGGGTGAAGACGTACATTTAAAGGTGCAGGGACATTCCTCGTTCCCGGACAAAGACACGAACCCACGAACAAAGATATATGTAAGAAACAACACTGTTATTGTTATTGACTTTGACAATGCAATTGTAGTGAAACACGTCTCAATTATCACACACCCTCCCCAAACTCCAGAAATCAAAGAAAAGGGTCTCAAATACCTGTATCACCCTTCCACTGCCAAATCAGCGCGTTCAAAAACTCCTCCTCCAAACCCGACGGCCACCAAAGCGTCTCTTCCGCATCCCCTCCACTGTTCAGAAACGCAATCGTAGCCCTATCCTTCTCCTTACAAGCCCCCAACCTAGACGGTCCCCACAGCTCATGCTGCTCCCTGTGCCTGATCCTCTGCAAATGGTAATTCATCTGCGGATGCAGCGCCCTCCACCGTTCGCTCGGGACGCCGAAAACGGGGTCGTCGCCGCGCATCCAGCGCTCGACGGAGTCGTGCAGGTCGAAAGCCGCTTCCGCTTCCCGGCGCAGGGCCTCGACCCGGTCGCGTTCCCTCGCTTCGCCCTTCCGCATGCTGTCGAAGCGGACGAAGGAGGCGGCGCCGACGAGGTGGCGGAGGACGGGTCTGCGGCAGGGTTTGAGGAAGCCGGCGAGGGCGATGGTGGATTGGGTGCGTTGGACGGGCGAGGTGTTGCGGTCGGTTAGTCTGTCGACCATGGTTTCGGGTTGGTGGTGGTGTGTGGGTAGGTGTTGTGGATTGGAAAGTGTGAGCTGCCGGAGTGTACTGGAAAAGACGCGGAAGGCGAGGGAGTGGGGCGTGGTAAGTTACTTATGGGGAGGGAAAATGGAGCGGGCGAACACAATCGGCTGGAGTCTTTGTTGCGGAGGACAAGGTATTGTCTAGACAAGGCGACCGGTGTTTTGACCAGCAAAGGTCCTTTAGGGGACTAAGAGTCTCATGAACAACGACGCATCACAAACAATGCTTTGTCTATTTCTACCAGCAAAGCCTTTGTAAAGTGTCTAAGGTCAACTATACTGACGTTTTGGATTTTCAAGGGAGGTCACTCCCTTCTACAACAACGCTTTGTCAATTTTCCTTGTCTGAAAAAGCTTTGCAAAATCCCTGGGGTTAACAACGCTTATGTAATGACTCTGAAAGGCACATACTACGTAAAGTAGGAGGAGGTATGGTCTGGGCGAATTGAGAGTCTCTCCTTCACCCACACTGCATCATATCATCTCCACGAGCAAAGTCATCGTGAATAATCTGAATGAAGTGTCTTACTTAAAGATCTCACAAGACGCGTATAGAAGAGACCCTTCTGGACCGAAGTCGTAATAAAGACATCAAAGACACATTGCCCCCCCCCCCCCAAAGAAAAAAAAAAACACACCGCCCGAGCATTCAAAACCCCCCCCCCCCAACCCCCTCGCCTCCCCCACCCCTAAAACCCCAGCGCCTCCACCCCCCGCTCCACCCGCACCACCGTCGCCACATCCACCCCCTCCGCCCCCCCCACCAAACCCCTTACCATCCGCCAATGCTCCCCATCCACCCCACGCCGCCACTCACCCACCGCCACCACCGCACCCGTCACAAACTTCCCCTCCCCCCCCCGCTCCCGCCCCGGCACCGGATCCACAAACCCCGTAACGTCATCCAGGACCGTGTTAGCGGGCGCCTCGTCCGTCGCCGAGAAGGTGAAGACCTGCTGCGGGTTGGCGTGGAGCGGGGAGCCGTCGCCCCGGGTCGGGCGTTCCGCCCCGAGGTACTCCTGCAGCTGGGCTTCGCGGTCGTTGAGCCGGGCCTGCGGGGGCAGGTGGGCGGTGCGGATGGAGAGGGTGGCGGTGCGGGCGTGGAGGCGGGTGGGTCGGAGGGGGGATTTGGGGGCGGGGTGGGCGGGGGGGTGTTGCAGGGCCCATTTTTGGTGGGGGTGCGGACGCATTGTTGGGGGGGGTTTGGGTTGCCTTGAAGGGTGGGAGGCGGGGGTCGAGAGGGGGTGGGGAGGGGCTTCTGGGTTGGGGGGTTCGTGGATGCTTGAGTCGAGAAAGGGGGGAGGTGTTGGAGGGACCCAGGGAGGATGTTGGGAGACGGCCTGGAAGTATAAAAGGGAGACGTGAGCAGGGTGAGTGTGGAGAAGACAAAGGCGGTTTGCGGTACAGACAAAGCCTTTCATATCGTTGATCATGCTCCATCTTTGTATGAACAAAAGGGCTTACCCCTACAAAGGCCATTGTCAAGATTGACGGAATCCTCGTTTGGGAGGATGATGTTGTCAACGTAGATCATTCTCACGTGCTGCATGAACTTGGACACTTTGTATTGAGGCTAGAGCTATTACTGTGCATGTCTACTCATTAGAGGAAATCAAATGTAGCACTAGCGCTCACCGAATCACGCTTGAGTATTCAACATCTGCCATCATCCCGAACCGTTCAGAGGTACTCCTCCAAGCGCTTCCGAAAGCGCGCAGTCCTAGATTGCCTCATCGTCTCCTTGGCCTTCTCCTGCTCATCTGCCTCTTCGACAGGGGTAGCGTCCAGAATCAGAGGGTTTTCCAAACGCTCTAGTTGACGCTGGCTCCTCGACAGTGTCCTTGCTCGAACGACTATTTCCGGAATTTGAAGGCTAGCTTGCTTTCGTTCCTCTTCTGCCGGTACAAATAGCTGTGGGTTCCTGCTAATGAACCCTACCAGCTTGTCTTCAGCTGACTCATTCTCTGCTGGTAGAGACGCTCCCTTTTCCTTGGATGGCTTCACCCTCTTGGTCAGCTTGCGTACCAGTTTCTTTATGTTGGAAGGTGGGGTCTCTTCAGGTTTGGCTTCTGGAAGCTGTTGATTACCCACGCTAGGTGACTGCACGGAGGGTTGGGCGAATTCAGTTGCGGCGTCTGCAAACGGTTGCTTCGCCATGGATCCTAGTTGCAAGATTGCTGGCATATTAGATGTTCCAGATAATTATATTCAAGAGAGCGTGCCTGTTGATGCTCTTTGTTAGAGCCTTGTGCTTTTCTGTGTGTATTAATGCTCTTGTCAGATTGCTGTGCTTTCTCGCGCGTGCTGAAAGCGAGAAGTGATGGAAGATGAAGGACTTATGGTTGAAGAGAAGCTTGGAGTATTTAAGGTATGATATGATAGGTGTTGAGGGCGAATTGACACAAAGAAGTCATTGTGTGCAACAAATGTGAGGGTACAGTGGACAATACGAGTGTTACAGTAAGCGAGGGCTTACGATGTAAAGTCTTGGATTAATGTCTCACAGAGTGTGCGTGGTCTAGTACGACGCAAGACCTTGAAAGGACTTGTGTCAAGTCTATAGGGAACTAATCGGCGGGAACTAGTCGGCAATGTAAGTGATCCGGAATTGAAACCAAACTCCCAACGCCTTAGGCTCTGGGACAACTGTGCAGGAAGTAATCATTTTGCGTAGGGCCTTGGTCCCAGAGCCTATATCAAGCTATTGCGGCTCTCATTTGCCAGTCTGCCGTAGACATTTTCTGGGAGATCTAGCAGGCTCCAATCCAGGTCCGAGTCATCGTCATCAAGTTTTTCATAATCTGCGTAATCCACGATGTCGTCCAAGGCAGCCGTAGCCGAGTGGTCAGACGTCGCTTCAAACACGAAGACCTGCTGCGGATTCCTACGTAGCGGCGTGCCCGTCTCTGTCGGCGAGTGCATCGTCTCAAAGGATCTCTGAAGGTGAAGCTCAGGGTTGTTGAGATCTGCTTGAGAGCGCGGCACAATAGAATCATGCGTGTATATACGTGCAGGTTGTGGACGGTTGTTTTGCCTTATCGCCTGGAGGTCGACAATTTGAGGGGCCGCTGTTGGACGTATGAAGGTCGCAAACCTCGCCACTTCTATTTCGGTGGAACCGAGTTCCTCGAAATTTCTATCCTCTTTGCTCTTGGGAAGCTTCATCTTTTGGAAGATCTTGCTGGCTACGCCTCGGAGCTTTTGAGTCATTGACATAGTCGTTTGGCTTGCTGTGACTTGCTGTGACGAGCTTGTGGAGAGCGACATGGTATTTGCGCTACTACGAGAAATGTTGTGCGAGCTTCTCGACGTTTGGAGAGTATGTATTCGAGAGTCGCTCTTGCGCCGTTGGTGTAAGTAAGAGACGAGAAGATGCTGGAGAGGGAAAGAAGCTCGACGAAGGCCGAGAATATAGGGGCCCGTCGTCTCGGAGTGTCGCGTGAACAAAGAGATTAGGTTCTATAAACAAGGTCATTGTGTTTTTAGCCAGATTTATTGTTCCGAGACATCAAGAATGTGTAGTACTTGTTCGAAAATCGGCTTTTGCAAGTTACGATCTCTCACAAACGCTCAAGCTCGCATCGGTCTCCTTAGAGAACCCCGCTGCCGGTTTCAGTGTGTCAAGAGGGAGTACCCTAGCACCCACATCAGCTTTTCGTCTTAGCGTCATTCAGAATGAGGATGATGAACAAATTCCACTTCCAAAAGGTTCCATGGGAAGGTGAAAACCCTTTTTAAACTTTCCCGACAGAGTTCGATTTTTGAAACGTCATCGGAGACGACGGTTGTTGGATGCTCTTCATTGGCTTTGAGAGATGAGAACTCGCTAAGCATTCTTGTGCAATAGTGTTACGGTTTCTTCTGCAGGTAGTATAGCTTGAGAGGAGCCCTAGAGATGTCGCTCGGGGCAATCCAAACCCAACCAACTCTGTTTTTCGTATATGTATGTCTGTGAGCAGATGTTGGAGTCCCGTCAACAGAGAGGGAGTAGGTGGTATGTCAGCATGGGGAAACCAGTCAACGTTCAACACCACTACGTCGGCACAAAGAAATAGACTTCAGACTGTAAGCAAACTTGCAGGGACCCGGCAGTTTCGCTGCTAGCGACCGAAAGGATCTAAAGCTCTGACCTGGACACAAAGAAAGGGTATTCCAAACAGACTGTATCGCAATACGCGCAACGGGCCTGTGAGGAGTCAGTGAGGTGAGCATAAAAGTGAAAATGATGCGAGAGATGTTTTGGGCGTGCAGCGCGACAAAGAGACATTTGTGGAATCAGGTGCTTGGAATTAGCCTTGCTATGTAAATGAAGAGAGGTCTGCTCCAAAGCCACGCACAAGATGGAGTCCAGCAGTTCAGCAGGTCCACTGTACGAGTTGTCAGTGTTTGGGACGCACCTTGGGCCCTGCACGTACATTGGAGAGTCTCCTGGTAGCATTGTTTCGATGTAGCACTCCTTCACCAAAGGTGCTATTCCTCCGTGACTTCTCCGCCATACTCGGGAGACCTCGAAGACCGTTCTGCTGATACTCTCCTACGACTTTTGCACCTTGGCAGTTGATAGCCACGGAGTCTTTGACTTCAACGTGGATGATTGGGGTTGAATACAAGGCCCCTGAGGGACCACCCACGCGAGCTCGCTCAGAAAATGTTGGCAGCCGTTTTGGGTTGGTAGATTCGCTGTTGCCTTCTCTCCCTGAAACTTGTAGTTGGCGGGCAGGAGAAGCGTCAGTCTGTTGACCTGTTGCCTCAAAACTTGTAGCGAAGCCAGGGATGAACGACTGAGAATGATCCTTGTTTTCCACAACGCGTGCGAAACTTGTAGGAAAGCCAGGTAGCAACGACTGAGGATGGTTGTCGTTCTCCACATCACATGCGAAAACCTTTGGATTTTGGCTGGTAACTCTGATGCTTCCGTTACGCAAGAGGATCCCCGCGGGGGGGATGGATTCTAAGAAACTCGCTACCTCTGCGTTGCGCTTGTTGTTGTATTGCTGGTATGTTTCCATATCACCACCGTCAGAGACACTGTTGGATGGAGGTGGTGTATCCTGATGGGGGCATCGCAGCGGTGGCACACCCCACTGATCCAGAGGATCGAGATTGTCTTGGTCGACGGCATCAAGCCATTTCCAGACATTCTCAGCGTGCATTATGGCTTGCGGTGAATCGATACAATAGGTATTCGGTGATGCAGTTGAAATGTGGGCAGTTGCGAGAGGTGTGGGATGGAGAAATAGACCTGCGAAGCAAATGAATAGATCCTACCGGGGCAAATTCGTATGAAGACAAGCGGGTTTGACGTATTGATTAGCATTATAACGTTAGAATTGTGTGGCGAACAAAGACTTTGATATCGAGACAAAGATATTGTCTTAGACAGCTGAAACAATCGTGTTGTGTGGACTGGCCTAGTCATCAAACGTAACAAAGAACTTTACAATCGGAGGTCATCCGTACTTTTCTCCCTGGGGTTTTCGCCAGCCGTGTCACTGCCTTTCGAAGCGCTATTCCCATACAGCTGCCGTATTGAATGCCGCTCCTATATCCCACCCAGGCTCAGTCCAAGAATATGGGATGTGGCTGACCTCTCCGAATAGTGGTCTCCTGGGTACTAAATTCATCCAATAAAATGGATTAGGAGCCATGTTAAGGACTTCTTGATTCCGGTGCTGTTCCTGATACCTGATACGCAGAAGTAAGCCGTTGGCTGTCTTACGCAAGAAACAAGAGAGAAATTGACTTCCAAACCACCGCAGTCATGTACTCCATCCACTTTGTATACGCGGTCTGCGCTTTTGCCCGTGCGGCTCCAACATCAGCAAGAAGAGGGAGTATGACCTGGCCGGTCATTGCGCTAGGGTTTGCATTCCAAATATACTCATACAAGCCGGCGCAGTTGACGGGCTCTGGAGATTTCCGCTCATGCTTTATGATCTCAGAGACAAGATCAACGTCTGCACTCATCTCGCGTAGAAAGCATATGAGCTGGCACTCCTCAAGGGTGAAGTAGATGCCGTTGAGATGTATGAAGGTATTTGAGTGTCTAGGGATATAACCCGCGTTAGTCCACTAAGGTCAAGCTTGGGAGTGGGATGCGGAATGGCAGAGGCGTACGGGTAGGAAGAGCGAGCATGTCCGATTTCATAGTTGATAGTAACGGGATCGTTTTGATTAACAGCGTTTGTAGCAAGTCTAGGGATAGAATACAGTTTAGTTCATCCAGGTCGAATTTCGGAGTGGGATGCGGAATGGCAGGGCCGCACCCGTAGGAAGAAGGATTATCTCCGGCAATGGTGGCCAGTTTTGGTTTTTTGGAGAGTGATTTCCTAGACTTAGTGACCTTGAAGGAACTTTGGGGGGCCATCACAACGTCACGTCGTGTATATTTTGTTATTTTAATATTTGTACTGATGAGCGTTGACTGTTAACGAAGGGTATGTTGGAGAAGATGGCATGCTATTCTTATTATCGCATGACTTAATACTTAACACAACACCTCTTTGACATAGACATGGCGAAGGGTCTGAGCGCAGACTGGATGGCTCCGACGCCAAGAAATTCGCTCATCCTCGGCTTGTTCGCTCATTCATTTGACGAATCATGGAGAAGGCCTGCATAATTTCGGGCTAGTCCTCCTGGCCACGCGATATCAAAATGATCCTTGGCTTAGGTGACGGAACAAACAGGCAGGAGCTATTCCTCTCATGTCGATCAGCGCTTATTCTCTAATGATGATGAGCTTCGACTCACGTGCTTAAAGACTTAGGGTGAAAAGCGGGGTAACAGTCGTGACCCATATTGCCACTCCGGCTCGACATTTGCTGTGACTATACTTGGTCGCTCATTTGTCTGATGCAAAAGCATATGGAGTTAAAAACCTCAGTCTTCATTTGATTGAGATTGTGCACAAGCAGATCCCGGTTCTGATTTTTGTAGCAACAGCGGAAAGCCATGACCAGTCACTGGCCGTAACAAGTCAAAAACGCTTTCCTAGCCGAGCTGCTGACTGGGTACGTAAGCGACTCAAGATTAGCGCAATGTTAACGCCGCCCAGCCGGGTCCTCCAGAACACAGTGATAATGGCTGTTCGGTATTGGTGTAGTATGTAGCTAGAGCGAGCCCCACGGGTGACTTGTTGCCATGGCTGGTTTGGTCTGCTAAAATAATGAGGATGGAGACAAGCCCTTGGGCTGTGGCATATCCTCCTATATGCTTGCAGGTCTCTTTCGAGCTCTTTGAGCATTGCCAGTTGTTTTATTTTGACATACCATCAGTGAAATAGCACTTGATGATGCGCAGATGTGATGTGTCGGATTCAACGTGTTCTGCACGTTGACCGGGCTTCGTGGCTCCAAAGCCAAGCGAGTTTGCTACCATGTATGAGTCAGATCTCGGGACTGCATAAATGAGAGCCAATAGGGGTATGTTTGTACGGCAAGCCAGCTCACGGCGCATAGGACAATTGCATTTTGTTAACGTGTGCAGAGCAAAGCAACGCACGTCGTACAAAACTAACGATTCCGGTTTAGGCGCCAAGGCTGTAATCCCTGCTAGTTCATTCTTCGAGGGAACGATAGAGGGAACACAGCACAAATACTGCTCTTTCAAAAGAGGCATTCTTTAGGGCTTTTTTCCTTCTCCTTCTCCATTGCTACGCCGGTATAACTTCACATGAGACTGGCCATAGATCCCGCCAGTCTTGCGATCATCTCCTTGACCTGTGAGGATGTTCTGCACCGTTCGGCCAACCACCCTTACATAGCCTTCTTGCCTGTCTGTGTGGACAAGCACAGCGACCATCGCTTCCTCTAAGGGCTCCGGATACCTTGCATTTTGAAAGCTTCCAGGCCCATACACCCACTTAAGATTGATTATAACGTTGCAGATCTAGTCCTTCTATCATGAAAGGATACACTTCCCTGCGAAGTCAGCGAATAATTCTGCTCATAGCGATCGCAAGCTAGAAGAGATAGTCAGGAACCTGATACACGTCCCCTGAACCGCACCAGAAATCTAGCTCCCGGTCACACAAATCGGCCAGGAAAACATGCTTGAATTCGATGAGAGCCTAAGGGTAGGTGTCGAACCGATTGAGACTGACGATATCTGCGCTGTTCTCGTGGAGAGAAGGAGCGGGGCTGGAGACCTGATGATTCATGGCAATAAAAGACTCGTAGCTATCATGACGGGACCGACCCAGACCGACGAGTACATCATCGTGGCCATGAGGGTCAATGAAGACTGCAAGACAAACGGCAGTCCGTCGTGAGATTATTCCGCAGATCAGCAATGTTTCCGGCCTCCGCGGCAAAGATCAGAGTCTCTGGGACAATCCGATGGACAGAGAATGGCGATTGATGTTACTGGTATTGCGCACAGTGACCAGAAGCTCGTGGAGATTGTTGAAAACATAGGTTGTGGACACCTCAGTCCTCCTCATCAAGGATCCTTCGACATACTCGTTCGTAGTCATGGGAACGCGTTGGAGAAGAGTGCAGTTGGAGAACAGTGACAGTGACTCACGCTATCGACGCCTCCGTGGTCGTGGCTATCCTAGTCAACAAGCACAGCTCCGCAGGTGGCCTGATTTTTGGTAGCCCGCAAGGAGTAATCACTCTGGTAGAGACTGATCCTAACCTACCCCGGGAGAATGTTGTCGCACTTTTGAAAAAGGGGAAACTTGCGGAAGTACGGTGCGTTTTTTTTCGCGCCGGGGTGCTCCTGTTACAAGTCCGAGTATTCAAACGGAGTTTATGGAGACAGGAGATTGGTCAAAGTCACTCGCTTTTGCCCTCGGCACGCACTCTGCCAGAAAGTGGGGCAGGGTTTAAAGGGTCGGTCTCCCAACATTGTAGGATTTGCTACAAGTAGAAGGATTCGCTTGTCACACCTCTTCGATACCCTGCTTCTACTGAATCTACGCATTAACCGCCAGCTATCTTGGGCTGTACAAATTATTGTGCAGGATCGAGGAGACCGAGCGCTCAAGGTTGCCACTTTTACCGGGAGTATGCCAGGCTTTACGCCGTTACCGTGAGCATATTGACAATCTCCAAGCCTGTCCAGACCTTTACTGTTATCGCTTGACATGAAAGGGTTGCTAGAAGAGTCTCCGACCAACCTCAGTCCTCCCAGATGCGATTCTCGTCGTGGCAAATGCAAGAAAACTGCCCGCCTAGTTCCCTATGCTGCACATCAAAATTGCCTTTCCGCATGAACGGCAAGAAAAGCGCCTGCCCAGTCCGCTAACTGCACATGAACCTGGCTTTTCGCATCGAAGGCAGCAATTTTACCTGCACTATGCAAGCATTGACACCCATTTTAATATAGGAACGACACTTCAGCGGTAAAGGCGAACAGACCCTCAACGCTCGTTACGAGTTCCAAAGTGTCAGACCCACACAAGCATAACACCATGAGCCCCAAATACGTCCTTCATACACCCCCTCCCGCCAACCCTCATGAAAGCCAACCCACAAGCACCTTTATGCCACCAATTTTTATTGAGATGGGGGACGAAGGCGGCGAGTTTCTCGAAGCAAAGATCAAAGACGAGGTTTGTCCCCACCCCTTCTTGCCCTCAGTACCTGTTAATCCCCTACCTCTAGACCGGCGAGACCGTCCGAGCAGACGTAGACTGGACCCCCCTATCTGGCACCCGCTCCATAGACACCTCGGTCGTTGGTGGATTTATGTTCCAAAGCGATGCGGGAAGTGAATGTTCGATTCAAGTAGTCGAAGATGGGAAGCTACCTGTTCAGATTTTGATAGATCGGGATCAGGATTTTGGCCAGTTCCTCGTCGCTATTCAGCGCCATGAGGAGTGGAAGACATCTGGAGACTTTCATCTGCGATTCTTGCGCCGAGTTCCGATCTTGGACAAGCGATGCACCGCTTACATCAAAGATGGACCGTTTGCAGGACCTGTCCCATCATTATCAGATTCAGGCACGAGTATCACTGAGGCGCCAGGGTCGTCCACTGCTGACGCAATCACTGTCGAGGATAAGGAGGAAGAGCAGAAAGCGGCCGATCGGGCTACGGGTACCAGGAAATCATTTCCAGGGCCTACATCGTCCGACTTATCGTTCAAGGATGCTTACATTGTTCCCCTTGCCGGCCCAACAGGAACTTCCGAGAAAACCGAGGAATCAACGGACGAGGAAGACCACCTCGGGATCGGTGCAGCAGCCTTGAAAGGCACTGGGGGAGGTATTATCCCACCAGGAATGTTTCCGCCCCCAAGATGAAACCTACAATCGACAAGCGGAGAGGGAGGTCTTGAAGGCAGTATGAGGGGCATTTGCGGGATTGCCAAGTGGGAAGTGTGCATAATCCTCAAACACGTCTACCTGAGACGTGGCAGGCGCTTCGATCTTGAGAATGGCCGTAGAATACTGTTCCTGTGGTCTAAAGGTATGAGAAAGTGGAATCATGTTCCCGTACGTAGCCAGATTAATTGTTAGAGACGAAAGGCCCAGCTGTCCATTACTTGATGAGCAATCGCTGCCTAAGAGGACTTTGATTTCTTTCCTTTCAGCCGCCTGTGCGATGTTAGACAGCTTTCATACTTACACAGCAAGCAATGGTTTCCTCTTCCTCCACGACCTCACCGGTGTAAGATTACAGCGAGTTTCAAAGTCGCCCCGGAAAACACGGGAGCCGTGCAGCGAGATAGAGCCAATCGTAGACTCTTACAGAAAACACCGGCAAAAGACCGCTGTATGCAGTAATAGAACCCGGTCATGGGACTCGCAGAACACGGCGGATAGACCAGAAGAGAATGATCAATCCGAAACGAACCGAATTCATCGAGAACATTGACGATATCTCCATAGCCTGTCGAAAGTAAAAAAAGCATGTACGTAGCATGCCTCTCACTAACATTTCGGAAATACGTACCGTCCAGTGGGAACTGCGCTCTCATGCTCAAAACACCGTCACACGACGACTAGCAACGACTAAGCAATGCCTTCCAGGCTGCACTAATGTTTTCTTGTAAATTCCTCAACATCAAACATTATCAACAAGTAAGTATTGTGTTTGCCATCAAGACGGGTAAATTACCGAATCATACCCCTACACCAAATCACACCAAATCACACCAAAAATGGGGTATGATTTGACGAGGGTCTTAAATGATAGCTTTCTGGTATAAGATAGTCTAGTGAAGGTGACGGTAGCGGTAGGCTTACTGAGCGTCTGGTAGTAGTCGTCGACTCGATTATCAATGACGGTGGTATGATGGGGTGTGATGACGGTCGGGTTTGATCTTCGAGGAGTCGAAATTTCGTCTACTCGGTTTTCGTCTGATATTTTTAGACGCATAGAATTCAAATACGGTCGAAGAAATTCTTTTACTTCTATAATCGAATAGGCTAGATCGCGGATTATCTTCTTTATAATTTGAGGTTACTTTGATAACTTACTAAATCATGACCCAGGCAATGACAAATGATCGCGTTATACCCCATATTTGGGTGAATTTGGTGTAGGGGTATGATTCAGTAATTACCTAGGGGTATGATTCGGTCGGGATCCATACTTTTGGGGTATAATTCGCCCCCATCAAGACGGTTAAGGCTGAGTGGCGAGATCTTGTGCATCATGGCATCTCCGAACATTACCCGTAGCCGAGAGGGATCGGATTCTTCATTTGACTCGGACTCTGAGCTCTTCAAGCACGAAATCATCAAGCATGATCCTGCCGGCTTAGGCACCTCCAAAACACCATGGCAACAAACTCTAGTATGTATTGCTTACTGCTCCAGGTTCAGAGAGTATAATGAGGCTGACTATTACATAGTCAAGCTGCTGACTGGTATGCCTCATTTATGCAGGCTCGTCTGTCGAAGTTAACCAATTCACACAGGCAATTCCCATCCTGAGTTGGCGAAACTGGTTGCTGATAGGTATGTATGTCCCAGCATGAGAACGTACGTAGATACTAAATGTATCCACAGGCTGCAAATCGAGTTGGTAGGTTACCTTTCCAGTCCCTTGGGTAAACCATCTGATTGGGCTTGTTCTCGAGACCAAAGTGCTTGTCCTGCAATACTCGAACAACGAAACTTCTGTCACCATTGGCGAGAGGTAATCACCAAAACCAACATCGAATCCACAAGCCATCTGTTAATCCATACTACCCCAGTGTCCGAGACGAAGATGGTATGCTTCACGCCCCCTTTTCCTCCCTTACCTCCGTATCTGATACCGCCAGTCTTCATCCTACAGAGTACTGCGCCTGGCGACATCAACGACGGCCTCATGGAGCTCCTCATAATGATAAATGCCTGCAAGACCGCTTCAGCTCGTCGAATCACAGCGGTCATTCCCAAGTAAGTCCTTCGCGTCTTATGATAACTGGTCTGCCTCGCTAATACGTCTTTCAGTTTCCCATACGGTTTGTCTGCTCTATGCGTCTCTCCCTCTTTCTACTGAGATAATGTCTAGCCCGTCAGGATAAGAAGGACAAGTCTCGCGCTCCTATCACTGCGGTCAGTTCCTGATTGCCAAAGTACTACGGGTCATCTACTGACGAATGTTGAATATCAAGAAGCTCATGGTGAGGCTGCACAAAGAACACGTCCGGAGCTTTGGCGTTGCTAATGATTCCTGAAGGCGAACATGCTACAGACAGCAGGCTGGTACGCAGCCCTACCCCTTTCCGTCAACTTCTCCTAACACCTTCAAGCTCTCACGTCATCACGATGGATCTACACGCGTCGCAGATACAAGGTCTGTCCATGCCTCAGACCCTACATTCAAGCAAGCTTCTGATCATTGCAGGTTTCTTCAATGTACCGGTATGTTAAGGAACGGTGTCTACAAGCTTGTTTCACTAATCATCAAGCATAGGTCGACAACCTGTATGCCGAGGTGAGCCGCGCTTAGATTTCTTATATGGAATAAGACGCCAGAGCGACTGACCGTCATTAGCCAAGTTATCTCCGTTGGATCCGAGACAATGTCGACGTCCGCAAAGCAGTGATCGTGTCTCCAGATGCTGGAGGAGCCAAGAGAGCGACGAGCTTGGCTGATAGGCTTGATTTGAACTTCGCTTTGATCCAGTAAGCAATGAGCACATTGTGTCCACCTCAGCAACAAACTGACAATATGATTGTAGTAAGGAGCGTAGCCGACCGTAAGTGCGCCTCTTTATCTTAGAGATGCCTTCTGATACCGAGAATTCTAGAAACGAGGTCTCGAAGGCAAGCCCAAGCCCAATCTCACTACCGAAGAGCTAAAGCTAACGTAGTGTCGCCACAGATGACCCTTGTGGGCAACGTCAAAGACAAATGCGCCATCCTAGTCGACGACATGGCCGGTACGCATCCGCACCACAAGTCCTCCCCCCTCAACCCTCCCTATCAAACTAATCGAACCCGCCACCAGACACATGCGGAACCCTCGCCAAAGCCGCCAACACCCTCCGCGAACACGGCGCTTCCTCAATCGTAGCGCTGGTCACGCACGGCATCTTCTCCGGCAACGCCTTGAAAACCCTCAACGACTGCGACGCCCTCAGCCGCGTCGTCGCCACCAACACCGTGCCCTTCTCCGAGAAGCGAAAGCAGTGCCCCAAGTTGGAGGAGATCGATGTTTCACCCACGTAAGCTTCCTCCTTCCCAAAGCCCAAGCATGGCTACTGACCCTTTGACAACAGGCTCGCGGAGGCTTGTAGACGAACGCATAATGGCGAGAGCGTGTCTTTCTTGTTCAGCCACGCGCCTATGGAGTAGGGAGTTGACGGGAAGGGACCTGGGATTTTACGTTGTTGTGGATTTCGTACAGGGCGTTGTGGGCATGGTTCGAGGGCAACAGGCCGTAGAAGAACGGGTTTTGAATATATGATGAAGGACAAGGCGTAACAGAATAATCGGAATCGATGGTCACAAACTCAATGAATGATGCATGTTTGCTGAGAACGGACTTTGATCTATGATGTCTGTTCTACATGCATTTTGCATTCAATCCAGCCAGATCAACGCACGCATGTGCCAGCTATTCTCCTTCTCCTCTCTTGGACACTCCCAGCAAACATGTTCCAACCATCGACCTTTTTCGCCATTCGCTTGCTCGGTATCTGCGATCGACCATCTACTTCCTCATCGACGACGCTCTTCGCTCTGTTGCAAATTAGCCACCGTTCAAGCCCCGCCATGTAGAAGTAGAATCGACTTACTCCTCAACTCGGACTTCTTCGCCTTCTCCTCATTGACACGCTTGGCTAAGATAGACGCGTACTCATTCTGCCAGCACCGATCAGCCATACACCCTAAGAGAACCATGCCCATATAGATGTAGATGGATGTGGGTAAGGACTTACCGCAGCATCCTTGGAGGATTCGGCCTGGCGACGCTTGAGTGCCATTCGGTGACGCTTGTGCTGGAGACGCTGGGGAGTGACGAGGCGCTGGATGCGGGGTGCCTTGGTGTAGGGTTTCTTGCCTTCGCCCTTGGGTTGAACTTCGCGGCGGATGACGAATTTGCGGACCTGGTGGTTCGCACCAATTGATCAGCATGAACTCCGACATCAACACCAATTTCCTCGGTACCACCAGAGAAGACCACGTGCACGGGAATGGTCCGGGTACAGCGAGATAGAAATTTGGAGCACTCACATCATCATCCTTGCCCAACCCAAAGAACTTGCGGACCTTGGTCGCCCTCTTCGGGCCCAACCTCTTCGGCAACACCTTGTCCGTGAGACCCGGGATCTCCTCCTCGCCCTGCTTCATCACGCTCAACGCCAGCACCGCCAGATCCATGGCCACGATGCACCCCCTGACGCTCTTCCTCTTCCTCTCCCCGGTCCTCCGGGGCCGGTAGCAGCTGTGTCCCGCACTCAACAGCAAGCGGACTCTCGTAGGATGCATGATACCCTGCTTCATCGGGAAGCCTTGTTTGTCGTTGCCGCCGGTGATCTTGAAGACGTAGCCTTTGAACTCGGGAGAGACGCCGTCGCCGGGGACTTCCTGGCCCATGCGCTTCTCCATGAAGCTGCGGAGTTTGCGCTCGTCTTCGATTTCGACGAGTTTCTGGGTGCCGTTGGCCGGGTAGGAGATGTTGAGCTTCATCCTGACGGTTGGGGGGTGGGACGTCAAGATGGTGGAAGTTGATTGTGCGGTGGGGAATGTGAGGTCGAGCTGTATTTTCGCCTAGCGAGACTTTGTGCGAGCTAAGACGCGCTAGCTGCTTCATAGGGCTGAGGCAGAGACTCAAAATGCCAAGGCTCGAGTGCCAAGACATGAGAATCTCACTGCACGTATCAACGGCAGCGAGCTGGAAAACATCGCTATCGCATGTTTCGTTGAAAAGTGTCTTTCCGAGGATGGGGCTATCGTCTCTTATGGCCCCAATGCTTTGTAGCTTACTGTGCCGTTGCTTTGATGTGCTCTACCTTTTATTGCAGTTGACAGTTGCTGAAAAAGAAGACGCACAGACCAGCCAGTTGTCTGCATCGTTCTGCCTTCGCCCAAGAGCGGCCGCGCACTCAGCTGGTCCCACCTTCGCATAGATCACGGAAGATGGAGGCTAATTCTTGTCTATGTATCCTTCACGTGCTTGGTCCACTTCTACAAGCTTACGAAGGTATCCCTCGGAGTCTTCATCCGTGATAAGCCTTCAAAAGACCATCTTCCGCCTGCTTGGCTTAGACTCTATTGACCAAAAATGGCTCAAACATCCTTCTGATGTCGGTTGGAACGCTGAGCAATGGACTGATACTTGGGCGTTGTGCTTTCTCCTCATCAAGGTTTTTCTTTGAGCCTTTGGGACCCATCTACTCATGCGTGTTGAGCACCATAGGCTCCCTCAAGTGCAGCAGACTCCTCCGGATACAATGGCCGAGTGAGTGAAGCCCAGCCACGACCAAGATGACCCAAAATCTCCCGGGACGAGCACATCGAACAGGGAAGAAGCCCCTGGAGCACCTTTACGCTATCTAATGGGCTCTTTGAGAGGATTCTATCTGCGGATCGTCACAGAGAGCTAGGCTGGGGACTGTCATGGATAATGTGTATTCACAAGAACGTTCCCAATAGGATTGTTGATTGCTTGAGCCCATAATTTTCAGCCCTAACGATGCTTACGGATTCGAAACCGTCCTCTTCGGAAGGCCACGGGACTTTGACCATGAACTTTTTGAATTCAAAGCCTTCCGCTTCAGATCAGGGTTTGTACACGTCAACACAGACGAATGACTGTGTTGGGCTGCTAAGCTTATTTTAGAATCGAAACCAAGAGCACAATTGCGCTCGCGCTCTTAGCAAAGCAATGTCCCAACACTATAAAACACACTCCAATTCTCCTCCGTCTTCTGAAATCCACACACGACCCAAATCCTAAACCCCACAAATCTATTCCCCTACCATGGGCAACATCTTCAGCATGGCCGCACCCCCTCTCGACACGGATTCGAATGCCGCTTTGAATATCGCCATGTACATAATCTCCTACCTGCTCATCATCGGCGTCGTCCTCGGTATCGGCATCTGCATCTGCATATACATCGACCACCGCCAACTTACAAGACTTTCTGCGGCAGTGTCAGACGAGGAACAAAATCTGAACGCGAGGGAAAAAGAGCGCGAGGAGAAGGTCGAGGAAGCGCCTCCGCTCCCACCTCAATCACACCAAAACCAAACGGCTCAATTCATCTCGGACCTACAATCCTGCACCTACATAAACGAGAGACTACCCCTCCTCAACACTGAACACGGCGCCACCGCCCCTCTTCGTGTCCTCGACGAAAGATCTACACTGGAACACACCAACAAGCCAGCCATCTTCCCGCGACGTTCGACGACAAATGCGAAAGCGCACGTTTGCAAGTACTTTACCAAATACGGAATGACTGAGGCGGTGTGATGGGATGAGATAGAAATCCAAAGTGGAAAGATGGAGTCGGTGCGGATGGATGGGAATTGATATTGTGATTGAACATCCGTAGGTGGAGGATGAGGATAGCCATTCAGGGACCACAGTCTAGTATAGCATGAATTTGAGGACAGTTTTCTCTGAGGTGCAGAAAGTGTTGGGAAGAATGATTTATACGCTTGCCCAGCTATTGTGATGAATGGACACACCTTCACAGAAAACCAGAAGACTCAGCCAGCGCCAAGTTCATGAGGAAAGCAGACGGGCCAGCCTTTGGCAAAGTTTCAACGAATGACTTCATTCCCCTCCTTCTCAATCCCCTCCAATCCCTCCAGAATATCACTTCCGCCCAACAATCCCATATGCACACCCGTAGACTTTCTTGGCCCACTCCACACCTCATGAAACTTCACCGACTCATCAGAGCACGCTACCAAAATGCACCCTTCATCTTTTGTTCTCGAGTACCATGCTTCGCCCATACTTGTGTCACAATTTGTCTCGCCGGGCCCACCAGGGTAAGGAATGGCGTAGAGAGCACGCATGTCGCTCGCCCAAGGTATGGCGATGACTTGCTGGCACTCGGGCCATGAGAAGACAGCAACGCGGTAGGGATGATCGGGTTGCGCGTAGCCAAACGTAGCTGCAATCTCTCGGCGTGTTGTTGACCAGATCAGCGATGTAATCTGGGCATAGCAGTTTATGGTAGCAAGGCAGGCTCCTGAAAAAGTATGGTAGAAATGGATTGCTCGGTCGTTGGAGCCACCGCCCGTGGCAATCAATCCACGCTGCCACGGACAGAAAGCGATAGCTTTAATAGCAGCGCTGTGGACCCATCTGTGCTTTTGGCGTCCCTCACCGATGAGGAGCGAGCCATTCTGACCAGGAATAATCCTGGTGCGTTGGACGTGTACGCCGTTGGCTAAGACGCCCATGACCTCCGAGGGAGTCTGCGTTCTTGCGACAAAATTTGGAAACCCGAAGCCACCGATAATGGTTTGGAGCGGACTTCTGAAGTAATTCGAAGAGACTTGCGGGGGCTCAGGAGGTGCCAGAACGTCTTTGACCTCGAATAAGCAGCAGACGTTGTCATTCGCGCCTGTAGCAAAATAGTCTCCATCAGGTGACCAAGCAAGGCCACATAGCTGTTGACTGTGAACCGATATTTTCGCCATCAGGGTCATAGCTCCAGTCCATCCATGTATGTCGACCTGCTGCTTGCTCATCCACTCGACAGAGTAATAGTAAACATTGCCGACTTCGTCGCCCACAAGAAGCTCTTCAGTGGCCATCATACAACCAAAGCGCTCTGATGGCCTGCGAGTGGTGACGGGCTTGAAAGATACACACGCAATAGCACATGGCTGCCGAGACTGGAATCTGATATTCTCGGGATCGGCGAGACTCCACAAACTGATATGGCCAGTATTACGCCCGATGGCTAGGATACTGTGGCCGCCTTCGGTGGAAGAGAAGGCCAGCGACGTGACATAAGTTGACTCGCGAGTATCCGGATCCTCTGGTGGGTACCGAACTCCAAACGTTTCCGACCAAAGAAAGACTCTGTTACCGAGACCGACGGCGAGAGTACGAGCAGTGTGGCAGTAAGCGAGAACAGTGCAGTAATAATCATCTCGCAAATTGGGAGCATCCAGCACTGTGGGGCGCTATCAGTCATGCTCTCTCCTGGGTTCAGTCGAGGACTTATCTGAATGGTGTGGTTGGGACAGCTCTAGGCTCTATTTCCGGATGCTTCCTTGCTGCTTATCCTCAGCAAGCTCAACAAGTCGTGAAGTACAACAAGTCACGATAGCACTTTAGGAGAATGGAAAGCGCTGCTGGGTGCAAGGGCTAATAAAACAGTAAGCAAGAAAAAAGGGTAAACTCACGCGACTGCGAGCCTTCCTTGATCCACTGATCATTCATCCATCGAGTCCGAGGTTCGAGATAAGGATACTTCCGCTTTGTTCCAATCGAGCCGGTGCTGATACTCCTGGCTTGCACGGGAGACCTAGAGATATCCAGTATTCTGCGTGTCAGATCAATGCCCAAGGCGACAGCCAGTCGGCTTTCCAGCTGGCTGTTGTCTTGATCCAGAGTATCATCATCAAAAAAATGAGAGGTGAACATCGGTGCGTTCGATCCACTGCTGATAAAGCCGCCTCGTCCGTCGGAGATGCCTCGAACAGGGCCTAACGGAGTGCCTTCAGAGCCTCCGCCAATGTTCCATACTGCACCTGCACTGGCTTGCCTGTTCTGAATTGCGAGGGGGTCCTGAGGAGGATGTTGCACGTTCGTGGTTCCGATCGTGCGGGGGCGAGATTGGACGACACGTGGGTCCACATTGGCAGAGGCGTTGATTCTTGCCTCCCGTACACGTCTGACACTCAATGGACTGAATGGGTCTGGCGTAGCTGACGGGTGCCGCAAAAGCTTCTCCACGTTCGAAAGCTGGTGGGGAAGCTTGCTTAGGCGGAAAGTTTTTGAGGCATCCTGCGGAGTGTTTCGATTTGAGATGTACCGATCAGGTGATATCGATGGAGTCCGGTATCCTGCTGTAGCACTGATGCCTCGTCCTCTTGGTGTTCGAGGACCCTCATCGTAAGTGGCCAAGGTCGGACTAGATGTTAACAATGGTACTGGAGTCAGAGGGAAAGGAGAAGGATCAACGTCTTCGCTGGTGCGGCTTTCTATTGATGGAGTGCCGGGAAAATCATCTTCCGAAGCGGGTGGTGACGGATACGAGCCTCCACCATCGCTCAAGCCGTCAGCTGGATTTGGAACGCAGCTCCCGTAGTACTCAGAAGCGTATAACGAAGGAGAATTGTCGGTTGATCCGCTACGATCAGACTCCGAGCTGGACTTGCAAGTCTTATTGCTCGTTTCACTCAAGGCAAGGGAAGCAGCACCACGAAGAGAACGTCGGCCCTTGCACTTGCGAGGTCTGGCAGTAGCATATTTGGGTTGCCGAGAGCCCCGAAGCTCAAGGGCTGACGCAGCATGGGACAGTCGAGTGAAACGAACTTCTGAAGCGCAGAGAAGGTCTGCAGAGTAAAGATTGTCGTCTACAGAGGCAGAAATGATACGGGGCATTGCATTGACAACGCGTATGCCAGTAGCAAAAGAGTGGGCGTAATGAATGTATTGAACAAATGACTGCAAGTACAAGTGGGTGTACTGAAGGCCTAGCAGTCCCTGTGAAGCATGTTAGTAACGAATAGTGTACGCCTGATCCTCGACGTCAATTGTCGAGGATGTAGGGGAAAGACAAGTGTCTGGGCGAAGAGAAGACCAGTGCCAAGACGGTAGGGCTGAGCTGAGGCAGCAACGTCATCGTGACTTCCTCCAGCATCCTTTCCTACAGCACTGCAAACTTACAAGGTGTAGCAATATGGCAAGTGTATGTCAGGGCAGTTGCCCAATGAAGCTCATAAATCTCGTTCGCTGACGAGCAAACTTGCAGCATGGCGTACCTCGTGTACAACCAGCAACAGATCGGGACCAGAAGAAAGAGCAACAGAAGATCAAGGACTACAAGGGATTAGTAGATTCTGTGAACGATGGAGTAGGCATATAAACCTGATTTCCGTATCGATACTCACGAGTATCTAGATTCGAGGATGTCAGTGCACCACCAAGACTTTAGAACTAACATCCAAATTGCTGAAATGGAACCCGGAGTACTATACAATCTGGAACCATCGCCGTCTGATACTAAAGCACCAATTTGAGCATCCAGATTCCCAAGTTACAAACGCTGTTGCCGGTCCCGACCATGAAACTGTCATGAATACCATCTCCGATGAACTTGCTTTCCTCATTCCTCTGCTGCGAAAGTTTCCAAAGTGCTACTGGATATGGAACTATCGTCTCTGGCTCCTCAAAGATTCCACCCGGCTTCTTTCAGTACTTGAAGCACGCAAATTCTGGCAGCAGGAGCTTGCGCTAGTAGGCAAGATGCTGAGTCTTGACAGCAGGAATTTCCATGGCTGGGGCTATCGAAGGACCGTTGTTTCAGCTTTGGAGGGTATCGCGCTCCAAGCTGAAGGCTCAGTTACGAGTATGACAGAAATAGAGTTTGAGTACACGACGAAGATGATCAACTTGAACCTGTCAAATTTTTCTGCCTGGCACAATCGGAGCAAATTGATCCCTATACTTCTCGATGAGAGAGGGGCAGACCATCTTGCAAGGCGAAATTTTCTGGACGAAGGTGAGTAGGTTTCCCAGAAAGTTTCGTTTATCGACCTCTGATGTGCTGGCAAGAACTCGAGCTGATCGAGCGAGCGCTATGGGCGGGTTCTGAGGACCAATCTCTATGGTTCTACCACCAGTACCTGATGTGTACGTTCGACCCAAAGTATGCTGCCGAGTCGATGGCACCGGATCTTACAACAACTGAAAGGTCAACCTATGTCCGCGAACAGATCCTCAAAGTCCGTGATATGCTCGATGGCGCCGAGGACTGCAAATGGATCTATCAATCGTTGATTAGTCTAAGCATCTTATATCGCGATCTTGGAAATGAATCGATTGAGAAAGAAGTCGCTATCGAGGACCACATTGCTGAGCTTATAAATTTGGATCCTTTGAGGGCCGGGAGGTGGAACGACTTGAAAAGCCAGACAACCTGATGAATGTATGAGAATGGCCGTGATGAACATAGAGTCAGCCTTATAATGGGTCTCAGATGAGTATCAGAGTAGTGATTGGCTTGGTAGGGGTTCATTCACTACTCTATGCTTTACTCATCGAATGTGATCACCCCAGATCTTCAAATCTTGTAAGCCTCCTCCATACGGTCTATAATCATTCGCACGCTCATTTATCTACGATTACCATAGCTACTTGATCCTTCTTTGCTCATCATGACGACTTGTAAGTCAGTCGCAGTTGCGGGGTAAGGCTCCCCACGGTTTGCTGGTTACGTGTTTTCTGATAGTCAGCGCAGCATGCCTACCTATCTTCCGATCCGCAATTTTCTGCTGCAGATACCGCTCCTGAAAACCTCAAGTCCTATTCTCACCCGGCTGCTGTCAGTACCTCTGACTGTTACTTTCTTGGAGCTTAGTCAAGCTTCGGCTGTTCTCCTGAGGACAGGATAGACAAGAGTGGCCTATTCCCGACTTTCATTGTCGTGAAAAGAAACCCTTTCGAGGCCAAGGAAGCAGCGCGTATGGAATTTCTGCTCGAGCTTCAGCCTGACGGAGACGGTGCCGATGTCAACACGGAAGACATCGACTACTTCTCCACTCAGGCACTTGTTGAAGTGCGAGGAGTATTCCGAAACTTCCGCTTCTGCGACCGATTCATAAACTACGTCTACGATGACGGTTTCATCCATGTGATCCAAATGCTCGGACGCTATACCGATCTTACTGATGGTAGCATCGAAATTCTTGGTGGGCAAGGCCATACGACGCAGAAAGCCTGGGGTCAGTGGCGCACTGGGCCGCCTATGATTTCACTCAGCAGTCCCAGTACTTGGGCGCTGGATCTTGATGGGGTCCAACCCCGCCTTCATGGGGTGGAGTTCCAGCGAATGAAGATTGAATTAGGATCAAGAGAGATTGAACAAGAACGATAGGTCTCTAATTCCATTGTCAGCCGCTCAGGGACATTTCAGTGTGGAAAGGAAGGCCGTCTGGGAAAGCAGCGTCCAAAGCCAGGTCTCCTGACTCTTGAGGAGTGAGTTCAAAATAGATTCACAAGCAGGAATTGTCCTTGAACTCGTCATTCAAAACACTAAGCTTGATTTTGTCAACCTGAACGTTACTACAAGAACAGTAATGCCTAGAGCCTCCTCACTTCTCCACTCCGTCCTTACCAAGGCGTCCTCAAGTGCAACCTCTATGGCTTATCGCCCCCGTGTCAGCAAAGTGTGACGGGTTGTCGAGTACCTATGCCGAGCCAGCTTGGTAGAACGTCTCTGGAGTAAGTGGAATAAAGCTTTGCGAAGGTCGTTTGACTCCTGGAGAAGAAGCACCCAACCAAACAATCTTTTTTTCCATTAGCCCATGTGTATATCAATACCCAATGAATCCACTTTCCTCTACCCAGCCCATAGGTACGAAGTCAATGCTCAAATGACCATTAAGCTCTCTGCCCTCAAATCCTTCGCTCTCAAGCACATTTCGTGACACAAACGTGACTAATCCGTGGGCGTACCATCCAAAATGTGAGCTTAAGCCAATATCTTTTTGTCAGAAGAGTCCCGTCTGCGTTTCGGCCCCATGTCTTCAGCACAGTATGTTGATGATCGCCCGATCTGTCTTTCATTTCATCCAACTAACTAACATTTGATTCAACCCACATGCACCCTAAAATCCATTATACACCTTACCAGCGGCTGCAAAATATGGCAGTTTTGCCGAGCGCGCAGGTCTTGAAGCCGAGGTGGGGGCTGGGGGTGGGACGTGGTTGAGTGACGGACATTACGGCGCTGGATGCCGAGGTGGGAGAGATCCGGGGGGGGGGGGTTGAAGGGGAGGAAAGAAGGGCAAGCCCGGGACGAATGCTAGGAACGAGCGGCACCTTTGGGGGAGGGGGGTGTTGGGGCGGATGGTGAGAAGGGTGTGGAGAAGAACCGGGTTTGTGGGGCAGTTCGGATGGAATCTGAGGTCAAGGTTGAGAGAAAAGGAGCGATTAGCAGATGAGACTCCTTGGTTGAGCTGTGAATCGTGAGTTCATAACCAAGCAGGGGGGAAGAAGGGAGAATAGTCCAGATGAAACGGGGCGATTAGCAGATGACTCGGGCGTAAGGTGTGAAATATATGCTGCAGAAGAAGATCAGTATCTACAGTCCATTAATCCAGACGCCTGCTGTCAACGAACATGCTATCAACCATGCATGTGTAACGATACGCCATTTTACCATGCCTGTACAAACTGCACAAGTGTCCTCTTGCATATCCACCAGCTCCTCAGAATGGTTTTCCCTCTTCCCCTTCTCCGCCCCCATCCTCGCCATGCCCGAACCCCAGCACCCTTTTCACCTTTCCCACACTTCTCCTGACCGCTTTTCTCGGGTGCGCACCAATACCCATACCCATACCCATACCCATACCCATACCCATCCCCTCTCCTGTAGCTGCGTGCGCCAGGCCAGCTTTCTCTGCATCGCTTTTAGGAGGCCATTCTCCATCCTTCTTCCACCCAGCAACAAGAGATTTGACGACGTCTTTCAGGTTTATGGGAACGGTAGGTGCGAGGCCTTGAATGATGATTTTGCTGTATATCTGGGGGTAAGTTGCTGGTTGTACGGTGGTGCGAATGGGAAGATCCGGTGACATTATAGGAGGAGCGACGGGAACGACAGTACGGGGAGAGGGTGGGGTAAAGGATGTGCCGTTTGGGGGAGGCCGCACTTGTGGATAGGGCGCTTCAAATGGAGATTTGACTGTTGGTGGCGGAGTCATTGGCTGTGTTCTCGCTCCAGCCCAGGCATCCCTGCGCTCAACGTATGTTCTAAGACCTTCATTCCATTCCATCTCCTCTTTCAGACGCCGCCTTCTTTTGCGCTTCCGGGAGAGTACTGGTTGGTGTAACGAGTCTGGGCTGTCGTATTTGTATGGATTGGGGTTGGGATCTTGTGGTGTGGAAGCAAGTGAAGAGTCGGAGTCACGCTCGCGCCATTCAGCAATAGCATCCGGAGAGTCCAAAGCGTCTGGAGGAGAGGATGTTGGGGGCCAAGACCAATCTTCTCGTAGCTTGGAGCGGATTTGCTGTTTGGCAGCTCGGACTGCTTCATCATTCACTTTCGAAGTGACAGGTCTCTTCGTAGTCCTGTTCTGGAGATGGGATACTTGGTTTGAAAGGGAAGGGGTCTCGTGACCCCCACTGGACGCGTTCTCCGTGGTATCCGTCGTTAGGGATGTGGAAGACAAGGTAGGTAGGTTGTCCGCTGAGGAGTTCTGCATTGGTGGGGATGATTCTTCTAGGGAACTACCCCAGTGTATGTGGACGTTCACCATTCACAGCGGCGCCCGTATCATGCAGTAAGATGCAATTTATCATGTACGAGCAAGGGTAATCTAAGTAAGTCGGTTGGTTTCAATGACGGCATTCCGGCCACCCGGAGACATCGCAGCGACCAGCTACCAGCACCAGCAGCGGGAAGCAAATAAGCTTACTCTCTAGGGCTTCCCAGGAGGTCCTTGCGGGCCTCATAGTGCTTAGCTTAGCCTTGACATGAACTGCCTACCTTAGAACCTGCCCTGGCAGCTGGTCAAGATTCAAGAGTCCATCCTACTTGTCCCATAAGATAATTAACGAAACATCGCCCAAGGGCTGTAGAATGGCTCAGGTAATGGGTCTTTGGAAAATTGATCAAAAGGAAAAAGACAGTCAGGCAGCTGCTTTCCAGAAGGACAGCCTCCTTGCCTGCCTATTAGCTGAATGGATGAATGACAAGTGCAACACTTGAGATATGGATATTGACTGCAAAGCGTCTTTATCTTCTTCTCTTTCTCAGCATACTCTCTTCGGAGCTCTGGTCAAAGCAAAGTAGATCGATCAATCTCTGCCTATCGTTCAATCGCCGTCTCCCGCTGAAAGGTAAGGCCGAGCGGTTAGTCGGCATCCCACGGCCTGAGGTGTGGAGCGCTTGAGGACATTTGAGTAGCGGTCCTCTTCGACCTGAAGCATTTGACAATCCCAATTGGATATACACCACTTATTGACCGCACAAAGCTTGATCAGGGACATTGACATCTCAATTACAAAGGGGAAAATACCTATCAGCCATGGCGGATCGAACCTTTGACTACATTATCGTCGGCGGGGGCACAGCGGGGTGTGTCGTAGCATCTCGCCTCCACCAAGGCGACCCATCCAAGTCAATCCTTCTTATCGAGCGAGGCCCAGATGAACAAAAGCATCCACAAATAACTAATCCCGTGGCGGCTCCTCTCATCCCAGTAACTACAAATCTAGTATCTAAATATAATACTGTCCCCCAGGCTGGACTCGCCGACCGTAGTATCCTAAACTTGGCCGGCAACATCCTCTCCGGCTCCAGTGCTGTCAATTATGGAATGTGGTCTAGAGGCGATAAAGCCGACTACGAGCAATGGGCAAAGTCATCCGGTGATAATCGTTGGACTTACCAGCGAATGATGCTCTACTTCAATCGCAGCGAGCACCACCATGATCCTGATGCTGACAAAAAATTCCATGGATTTGATGGTCCAATACACACCGTTTCAGGCCGCCAGTATCCGCTACGTGATACCGTCTATAATGCCTTCCATGCCGCCGGCCACAAGGACAACCCAGATGCCAATAGCGGAAACCCCCTCGGCCTAGCCAAATACACCGAAAATTGGCACAAAGCAATTCGTCAACCCGCAGGCACCGCTTATCCCCTCAAAGGCGTCGAAGTCATGACCAACACCACCGTTCGCAAAATCAACCTCAAAGACCATTTCGCTACCGGAAACATGCTCGCCACAGGCATCGAACTTCTCTCCGGCCGCCAAATCCATGCCCGAAAAGAAGTCATTGTAAGCTGCGGAGCTCACAGAACGCCGCAGCTCCTCATGCTCTCAGGCATCGGTCCCGAAGACGAATTGGCCAAGCATGGAATCCACCAACTCGTCAACAGCCATTTCGTTGGACACAATCTCTTCGATCATCTCGCACTCGGCATAGCTTGGAAGCTCAAGCCTTCTGTCCAAGAGCAAGGTGCAGCACTGGGCCATCCCGAATGGAAGAATAAACCTTCCAATGCAGAGGGCATGCCAATGGAATGGATAGTGCACTCCAGCGTCCCTCCTTCAGCCCTCTTGCCGGCTTTGCAAGCAGATGGAGAAACACTTACTGCGTCAAAGCAACTCTTGTTGAAGGAGCGTGTGCACACCATGATGCTTGTAGCCTACGGCCCCATGGCAATGGGCCCGAATCGCTCTGTTCCCATAGACGGCTCGCACATCTCCACTGCAGCCCTGCTCTACCAGCCCACCTCCCGCGGCAGCATAACGCTCTCGTCCGCTAACCCAGAGGATCCTCCGGTCGTTGATCCAGCGTATTACTCCACTCAAGCAGACAAAGTCATGCTACGTTCCGCAGTCCGGGGCGTCCTACGCGTTGTTGAGACACCAGCTATGCAAGAAGTTATCGAATGCGAATCACCGCCGGAAGGTTACCCACCATTAACAAGCAAGTCGACTGACGAAGAGATAGATGCCAGAGTAGCCGGATTCGGAACCACGATCCATCATGTAGCTGGTACGTGTGCTATGGGCAACGTGGTGGATGGGCAGCTGAAGGTCAGAGGAGTGGATGGTTTAAGAATCGTCGACGCGAGTATCTTCCCAGCGCCCGTCAGTGGTGCGTTGCAAGCCTGCGTCTACGCCATGGCAGAGCTGGCGAGCGACTTGATTTTGGGGGATGCCAAAAAGGACGCCAAAGATGCCGCCGGCGCCATAACGCCGTCTGAATTGGTGTCGGAAATGGCCGATACGATCCGCAATGCTCTCCCGGCCTCTATCAAGGTACTTGACCTTGTCAATATGATCCGTGATGCTCTCCTGAACTCCGCTAATCAGAGGTTCAGTCCTAGAGGTATTCGAATGTAGATCGCTGGGAACAAGCTAGGGGTTGGGTATGAAAAGGAGCTTGACGCAGCTGTTTGGATCCTGCATTCCGAGCGATTGTCTCCCGTTTCAATCTTTTCGAGACGGGGTGGAACGTTTCAGCTCACGCCATAATGAGAACGTGTGAATAATGTTGACGAATTTAGCGGCATGGCGGGAGCTTGAAAGCATTTTTCCAAGGAGGCAAAACACCAGCAACGGAAAATTGCTCATGCAGTTCTTCTTATACATATGGCTCTTCGAGCCCCATGCAAGCGCTCTCTATGCCAGAAAGAAGAAGAAAATTGTAGCCCTTTCTTACTACCACTCAACTCTGATTCCTCACCCTCGCCGCATCACTCCCCGCCTTCTCCCCCTCACTGACCGTCCTATACCCAAATCCACCCTTCTTCCTCCTACCCCTGCGATCCCCATATTTCTCATCGAACTTCCTAATCGCGCTCAAACTGCCCATATCCTCACTAACACTCGCGCTGATCTCCTCCATCGCCTTGTTGAAGTGTCTCGTGTGCAGAGTCCGCTTTTCGGGGTATTCGTACTTTTCGGTCTTGCTCGTGTCTTTGGCGTGAGAAGCAGCGGCGTCGAATTCCTCCCGCACGCAGGCCAGAGCGGCTGCGACGCAGAGATTTTTGAGGTCGGATCCGGAGTAGAAGGGTGTCTGGGAAGCCAGGTCTGAGACGGATACATCGGGGTCGAGGAGTTCGGTTTTGAGGTGGATCTTGAGGATTGCTTCTCTGTCTTTCTCAACTGGGAGATCGACGAGCAGGCGGCGAGGTAGTCGACGGAGTGACGCTTCGTCGAGATCGAAGGGGCGGTTAGTGGCGACCATGATGAATGCCGAGAGCTCTGTCATGCCATCCCATTCGCGCAGGAACTGGTTGATGAGTTCACGGTGACTGGTGCGATTGCTGCCGCCGGAGCGGGCGCCGAGGATAGCGTCCGCTTCGTCGATGAATACGATGCAGGGTGTGAGCTTTTTGGCCAGGGTGAAGATGGCCCTGACGTTCTTTTCGCCTTCGCCGACGTACATATCATAGACATCTGTATTTGGTTAGTGAAGGATTCTGGGCAAGGTACCAGCAACTTAATTACCGGAGCCGCTGACTTCAAGCACTGTAGCTCCGCTCTCTTTGGCAACGGCTTTGGCGAGAAGTGTCTTTCCAGTACCAGGAGGGCCATAGAGTAGGAGACCCGGAATCCTGTCAGTGGCAAGTACACCGTATGTGAACGCGTCTGGTCGTGCGAGTGACAGAGAGGTCAGTGTCTTCAGTGCTTCTATGGTCTGTGGTGAAGCCTGAACATCAGCGAAGGTGGTCCTAATATTCTCAGGATCCACGACGCCACTCAACAGCTTCATCTCGTGCTCGTTGCAAGTCTTTCGTAGTTTTCGCATACGATCCTTGGAGTCTATTTCGGACGCAGAACCAGTGGACTTCGTCACGTTCTCTCGCTGCTGTTTCTCATTCGCCACCCAGTCAACCTTCGCGTCATCGCTCGATTCAATGATCTCCAATGCTTGTTCGATGTGCTTGATTGTCATTTCTTCTGATCCTTCAAGTAAGCCTAAACTTGTTGTCGCAGCTCTACTGACTCTATCGAGTGGCCATACAGACTCTTCTAGACCAGATAAGAAGGTCGTCTTAGAATCGACGTCGATGGTCCTGTCTGAGATAAGAGACGCGACCTGGGAATGTACTGCCGCCGTTCGACGCAGCATATCTTTGAGATGACGCATGTTGATGCCTTTAGTTTTCTCTTTGTGATACCGTGCGAATGTGTGCTCGGGCGACGGTTCATTGATAGGAGTTATGATGGTCCGCGTTGGTATATTTCTAGGATCTCTTTGCTCTTGGTCGATTCCGAGCCTGGAAAAAGATGACATGAGCTCTTTAGACGATACGGTTCCAATGATGAGCAGTCTTTGACCCTCTCGGCGCCTTGCCTCTACTACCTCGTGTAGCTTGTCGAGGAATTTGCCGCCGTTGATTGTCGCTTTGATCTGGAGGTAATCTTGAATCAGGACAATCAAACCCTCAGACCCACGTTCGGCGTCACGATATAGACTTTCGGAATTCTCAGCTCGCGGAGACTGGGAGGTAGAATTCAAAATCCCTGCCGCTTCTGGTTGCTCTTGGGTGGTCGAAGCCTCCTCGGCAGGTTTTTCTGCCACTCTCTTGCTTTCCGCAGCGTTGAGCAACGTATCCACAAGCATGGTCATTTTCAATTCTGGAGTCGTATCCTTCAGTTGCAAAGCAGGCTTCATTCCAACTACTTTTGGCTGCTGAGGAAAACCAGCTTGCGACACGAAGGGTTTGAAGAAGTCCTGCAAGCTGTTTGCTGCAAAGGTCCCAACGTGGATCGCGTTGAACCCACCAACAGGACCATGCACGGGATATTTCGATTTTCCCGGACCTTGATCCATGTCCTCCTCCTCCGGTTCGTCGAAGTATTCTTCCTCAGGGGGATCTTCTGACCTTTGTGGGAAGCGCATGGCTGTGACCAGCTGAGTATCGTATCCTAGAGAGCTTAAAGTGTTACCCCGGAAATCTGATGGATCGTCAATGTAATCGCCTCCTATTTCGGCAATGTCTTGTGGTGTGAGCCGTAGAAGGTCTGTTAAGTTCTTTTCCGCCAATTGAAGCCCAATCACGTCTAAGAAAAAGGAACCACCGTTTTTGGGGCAGAAAAGCACGACGTGAGGTTTTGGAGAAGCAGCAATTTCTGCACGCTGCCATGATGAGACTTGAAGTCCAGCTGATACAACTGAGGATATTTCGCGCATGATGATGTTATCCAATAGGAGCGTGGTAAGTCGAGACTTCGAGGACGGACCCTCATTAGTCTCCTGCTGACGGCCATCAGACTTTTTATTTTCTGGAGCTCCATTTCTCAAGCTAGCATCCTCAGCAACAGCTTGTTCTTCGTCATGTGCAACCTGGTCCGAGGGAAGCCCCCCAAGTCGTATGAGTGTCCTTGGCCCATCTTTTGTCCGCGCATGAGCGCGATCTCCCCGAAGTATCACATTCTGGTCTAAGAACCATGGCGGGATATGCACTGGCGGTGACTTTTCTCGCGGCTTGATGTTCCTTGAAGCCCTCCTTGAAGCCGAGCCGTAATTGCTCTTGTCTTTAGGCCTGGGGGGATTGTCTGAGGCGCCATTGGGGTCTTCCGCTGTAGTTTCTAGTACGACAGAAGTTTGTTCTGATTGGGTTGCATCTATCGGTTGCTCAACGGAGGGGTTCCAAGGCGCATTCGGAGGATCTTCTTCGCGTTGAGGACTCGGGGAGGTATGGAAGGTGCGTTGTGGGAATGGTAACCGTCGGCCGGCGACGAGGCGACATACGTGAGGACGGGAGCACCTAGAAGTTGCCCGCAGTGTTGTCCATAAAGAGGTACGCATCAAGTCGAGCTTGTATATGAATGAAGAACAGTGAGGACTCGTCCTCATTACTTGCTCCCAATGGTTGTGTAATATTGGGTCAGCCGAAGATCACCCGAATTCATTTATCCTCTGATCATGTTTCAGACGTCTATTTATTGAGGAAATTCTTGCTGTAATTGTTGTAGAACTAATTAAGCGCTATATTTGCATCGTATCAGGATTCATCACAGCTGTTGTCGCTGTGGAGATATCGTGACTTGAGGATTTTCATGATCTGCTTAGTGGCCAGTTATTTAAAACCGCCCTAAAGTAAGACTAAGCTCGGGCTTAACACACAACCGGACATAAATGCAGAGACAACCTCACTCCCATTTGAAGGTTGCGACTCACAAGTAAGATCATATCCGTACCACGCACCAGAACGTGAAACGCAATCCACTTTTGCTCGCCTGGACTCCCCCAAAAATGTGGCAAGAAAAATGACCTTTGACTCGACACTCTCGCTGGAGGCGCGGCACAACGTCCTGCTGGTGCAATACAGTCGCCGAAACGTCGCTATGACTTGAGGGCATGCAAAAGGTCGAGGAGACCAGGACGAAGCGGGAGAGGGTTTCCTACAAGACAAGCGTGAAGGGTGATAAGGAGAGGCGAAGGCTAGAAGATGCCAAGTTGGTGGGAGAACACTCACCTCCTTCCGCCAGCGTTGAGAGTTGTGAGGATGTACGCGGAGGGAAACGACAATCTACATGATGGTTGAGAGTAGGTGGAGAGCGTTTCTGTGAAGGGGGAAACAGAATATCCCAAAGAGAAGGCGGAGGTTGATTGTTGGACTTGGCCCAGAGGACATGATAACGGATTCGAAGGCACTTGCAAGGTTTGAGGAGGATAACACCACATTGTGATGGCCCTTTCGACTTAATGAATTCCAGTACCGTGATCAAGCACATGGCCATGTCGACTTAACGAAGAAAAATCCATCGCAATCGTAATAGAGGCATTCTATGAAGCACCTAGCGCTCTCGGAATGAAGATTCTAGCATTTCGCGTCAAAAGGTCAAAAAGATAGCTCGTCATGCCATTGTGATGAATACAGCATGCTTTATGTGTACGATAACATAAGCGCGATAGCCGAGCTCTTGTTGTGATGTTGTGGAGCAACCCCGAACATGTTTCCACGATCACCAGACTTTGCTACCTTTACATCACAACACATCGTTGTCTCTCTCGCTGTCAAGGGCTAGGTCTACGTCAATACACTCCATGCCTCGCTAGCAGAGAGCCTCTTCGCTTGCACCTTCTCTTCTTAACACTTTTCATTGCTCACATGATCGTCGGACCAACCTACTCATTTTAGCTCTGTTCTTCTGCGCATTTTTTTGGTCGCCATGGGTGAGCCAGGCTATACGTCTTTCTTATGCTCGACTTACTGATGTTCTGGTCGGGTAGCGAACCATGATACCGTGCCTACAACGGCGATGCTCAAGTGCGTTTCGCATGGTTTCCAAGGGTTTGATACCTGTCCAGTGATCAACCAAGCTCATACCTCATCCTTGCCGTCGCCACATTCCACCGTCGCTGAAAGAAGCTCAGTGGTCATTCAAGCTGGCAACTCAACTCCGCCACATGACACTGTAGCCGTTATTGACAGCAGCTCGGTGGTCAATCAAACCGAAACCTCTCCTTCACCGGATGTCGCCGTCGCTGAAAGTGGTCTGGGGATCAGCGAAGCTGATAATTCTTCCAATGCCGCCGCCGCTGAGATTAGTTCGGAGATCAACGAAGCTGAGAAGTCTTCGTATGTCACCACCGCTGTTGCCGAAAACTCAGCACCTGCGAACGAGCCGGTAGAAGTTTTCCGATTTCCAGACCTCGCTCCCGAAATCAGAAACCGCATCTACCGTTTTGTTCTCGGGCCACCGCAAGATCCGTCCATTTGCTTGACCCAGGTCCTCGATAATCGTCCACTCAGGGCGCCAAGTGGAAGTGTTGACTTGGACAACACTTTCCGTACTAAGTCAGTCATGCCAAATCCGAAGCACAAGGATCCTCAATGGGGCGTAATTCATCAGGTCAAATCCAATGATCTGTCCATACTTCTAGTATCAAAACAAACCTATTTCGAGGCATTTCATGTCTTCTACTCAACAAATTGCTTCTCATTCACGGATACGGGACTGCTCTATCGCTTCTTGAAGAACATTGGATACACTCGTCGCCAACACTTGACCATGGTATATTTCCTGTGGCGTGGACCAGACGCAAAGGAAGCCTTCCGTTTGTTGAAGACCTGTCGACGGCTCACTACCGTTCAGTTCACTGTTCCTTGTAGCCATCCACCCGGCTATGAAGCACTAAAAGAAGTCAGGGTGGAAAATGCTAAAGCGCGCGCCGTGGTACATTTCGCCCCCGCGCAGAATCCACCTCTACACATTCACGACCACACCAGTTGCTTTGGAGACTACCAATGCCACTGTCTTTGCAGGCGCCGCTACGAACCGGCATCCAACCTCCGAGAAATTGAGCGCGCGATGATGAGACCTCGACGTGAACAGGACTTACCGGATGCCGAAGAGAAGTTCGATCTGTTCAAGTCAAAACGCGAGCATTTCAAAAAGTCGGAGGAGCAGGATTTGCTAGAGGATAAGGCCTCTTTCGACGAATTCATTGGCAGAATAGAGCAGCAAGGGAAGGAATTGAAGTACCTGGGACGCAGGAATAAGTCCATGGAAGCCGCTCTGAATCAGACACTGAAGGGACCAGATGTCGATGACTATTTCAGGGACTTTGCGGAAAAGCTCGCCGAAGATAAGAGGCTAATCAAGAGGAAGGAGCGCTGGCACGCGAAGCGACAGGAGGAGAAGGCGGCCAAAGAGTTGGAGGAACGTTTGAGGAGGGAGTCTGACGAGGCGAAGGAACTTGAGATCAAGACGCGTCGAGAGGCGAGGGAACTCAAGTGGAAGATTGCCCGGGAGACGAGGGAACATGCCAAGAAGATGGCCAAAGAGGCCAGGGAGCTGAAGAGGAGGACCGCTAGGGAAGCGAAGGAACGTGAGAAGATGATGGCTAGAGAGGCGAGGGCACAGAAGAAAGCAGATAAGGAGGCGAAGGGCCGCGACAAGACGACGGCTAAAGGGACCAAGAAGCTTGAAAAGCAAGTGCTCAGCGCGTCGAATTGATCAACGGTGGATCAAGAGCAAGGAGCTCTAGATACGCGACAATCTCTAGCCCTTGTCGTCACAAGTAAGCCTTGTCCTAGCGCTTCGGTTGTCCCACTGTACACGAAGACAAGATCCCAACGCGCTGTTGGAAAGTACACAATCCGAATCTGCTTAGACCCATTCAACTCAATTCATTCAAAATCAATCCCAAGTCATTCTTTCCTTGATGATGTGGCCTAATCCCAACACAGTCCACTGCTTTTCGAAATCCTCTCCATCCAACCTCGATGTAATTGTCCAGATCGTGAAGCCAAAGGCCCTTTCTCATCCAAACCCTACAACCTCCTTTATCAACGAAACCCCCATGCATTTTCCTGTAGTTCAACAGACAGATCCCGAAATACAAACGCATGATACCAAAATCGCTCGCTATTCTCCCCGAAATAAACCTTACATTCTGTCCTTCGGCTTCTGTCAATGCATCGGTGGGTACCGATCACGATAACGCTGCTCCTACCAGCAGTGGTTTTCCTCCATATCCGGAAGGGTTGAAACTGTAGCAAGTGAGTTGGGGGGATCTCTGGCCGTCCACGAGACGGATGGCATTGATCGTCGGCCAAGCGTGAAACTCTCGGTCCCCATCTGCTCGCCACCCACCATCATCTTGCTCCGCAGCTGTTGGACGGAAGCAATGATCTCTTCGCTAGTATTTTCACTTACAATGCCCATATGAAGCTCGTGCAGTCTGGTGATCTTATATAGCCATCCCTTCCATGGTAAACAAGGCAATCGGTATCCAGGGGTGTCGTCTGTCCTTCCACGGATGTATAGGACTACGACACGAATGGACATATATCTGCTGATGTCATTCATGAGGTTCAACCAGGGTGGGCAAGTTAGATATAAGTGTATAGCTCGTTGGGGTTCGTTGCCGATGAGCAGGTGAAGCTCGTGTATGTGTCGTAAAGCGTGGTATGGTCGATCGTATAGAAAGCTAAGGCAGTTGTAGGCGGAGAGGTAAGTATTATGAGGGATGGTGAAAGCAAAAGCATTCTTGGTAGAATATCGCTCATGTCTCGGAGTAAACTTTGCGATTCGTGAGGAAGATGTTAATCAGAGGATAGCCGTCTGGCTGGATAGCATACGACCACGGGATCTCATCTCCCAGCACCTCGCCTGCAATAATCTTGAAATTCCGAAGATCTTTGCGTCTCAAAACGTCTGCATTTCCGTATGATGTCCACCTGCTGCGCATGATTACAGATTTGGTGGGGTTGGGTTCTTCATAGTAAACCTGCACACGTTTGTTGTACCTAGGGTGTAGTGCTCCGAAAGGATGTGCGGTGGTGACGATTCCGATAACGTCTCGTACGAGCGCATATTCATAGATCTTGATTCGTAACTCGGCTGGGGGCTTCATTAGGTCGAACATGACGGGAGGTAAGCGCACGCCGGTACTAGTATCACAGCTTTATTTGCGACCGCTATGAGGGCCTTTTATCAACCGAACGTGGCGTTTGAAGTAGGTAGGACCTGTATGGAGGAGAAAAAGTGTACGGCTTTTCCTCAACACAGTCCGGCGTAGACAGTAATTGAAAGGGGAGCTGTGGTTGGCAGCTAGCTCTTAGAAAGACCGCCTTCAGCGCAGGTAGAGAGACTGCGAAGAGACGCTGTGACTGGTGCCCAACCCGTGAAGGACGGCGTTCGACGGGGTATGAGAGGCGCTCTAATTTCGAATGAACCCGTAGAAAGAAGAGAAAGCTCGTCTGTAACATCCAAATTAGCTGTCAGAATCTCACCGTTACTGAGAACGAGAGATTCACTTGTGGTCCTGAGGGCGTTGCAGTGTCACACTGTGACGGACTTGTTGGCGGCGTCCTTGCAATAGCGGTCTCAAGGCAAGGATTGTTTCTGAGCTTGGCATTGACAAGGGAAGTGCAGACGATGGATACTGTCCTCGAGAAGAAACTCGTGTCCCATTAAGCGGCATGTGATGGCGATGTTATTCAGAAGAGACTATGCACATACGGAGGATCATACTAAGACTACCCCTCAGTATTTGAGTGGCGAGGCAGATCGTAGAATGAATTTGAATTGGCGCCCTTCTTACAGAGGAAAAGGGGAAGCCAATCCATATGTGCACATCGGAGCCGATAAGTCCGCCTCCTGATACTCACCGCCTGCGCTCCCCTCATGCCAGCATACGATTACTGTACGCATCTCAATCATTGGCATGGGGATCAGATGGTGTATAGCGTTCAATCGAGTATGTCTAAAGGCTGGAGCGACATGTATCTACCACGATCAATCTCATGTGTGGCCGGACCAAAGCCTACTTCAAGTTTTCAGTGGGCATCACAACTACATATTTTTCTCCATCCACAAGGTCAACTCAACGATTCTTTCCTTACGTTGCTGATATATTCCATCACATCTCCGGTCAACTCGGCCGAATATCGCACTAGATCGCCATCTGTATCGAGCTTCTTCAGAAGGGCATAGTTCGATACCGCCACCCAGGCCAAACATCCCACCACTTTCTTCGTGTACAAAAATTCCTCAAGTCCCACCTTCTCCAACCCTGACCCGTTTGCCAGCATCCTGGCTCGCAGATGGTTAATCAGCTCCAAACCTACATCGAGCCCTACATAGTACACTTTGTCGGCCGTCACGTTCACGTCCACTTCCAGCTTGCGTAGGTTGGTAATTTGGCAGATCTCCTGCACCCAGGGTTGAAGACCGCCGTTGCCGGGATTTATTGTCTTGAAGCTGGGGACTGTCCCGTTGACAGATAAAACTAGCTGGTGAAAGGATAGCCTTGTGGAAGGTTCGGCGCACAGTTAGACCCGCTGGGGCCAAAAGGGGTCGAGGGATAAGCCCGCCATCTTCGTGGTACAGGGGCTGGCCAATAATTAGGTGCATTTTGCGGATCGGTAGTAGAGCTTGCTGAGATTGATCGTTGAGGTATGCCAGGCACATCGACGCTGCGGTGACTGTTGTTTCTGCGTTGGTGAAGTCGTAAATATCTTGCTTGTGAAAGATCGGCCAGCACTCTGCATAAACTTCGTGGCTGGTATGGACTAGGTTCAGGTTGGGAGCATCCTCGGTAGAGCATTGACGGTGGTAAGGGTTCGTGACGGAATTTTTCGTGGACTCTTGCCGGGTCGATTCCCGTTCCCCTAATTGGGGGACTTTTAGTATCTGCCAGGTAGAGCGAGAGGTGTTTTCGCATTTTTGAAGCTCAGTGGCGGCGACAATGACCACATCTCCGACTACAGCAGCTTCGTAGATTCCATCCCGCAGCTCCCGAGGGAGCTTGTTGATTTCGAACATGAATGAAGAAGCGGATGAAAGTCAGAGATGGCCAGCAAGTTGGGTACGACGAAGAAGATTGGGATCTTTGCCTGTACCAGCGGGGTGGCTGATGGGTTTGCTCAAGAGAGGGATTCTAGCATATGCTCACTCGGATTTGAAGAGCCTATGGACTGTGGCGTATGTGTATTGCACGAGACTGCCTCTTCGGCTTATGGCCCATTTGGGCTACAGTCTTACGAATTTGTCCACCAATGGTCGAAAAGCCAACAGCAGCGGTGATTTGACCCGCATAAGGGTCCCAACCCAATTTCCTAGCAAGTAGAGCCTTGGGAAGAGCAGCCGTTGGATTAATTGACAGCTTCGAAGGATGAGGACAAGTTGGCCACAGCTCGAGTGGTGAGAACTTCTAAGTACCAAAGCTCGTATGGCAAACAAATGCTTGATTGCTAGAAAGTAGTCCGCAAGATATGAACATAGCGCGGATTCATGCGTACAGGTTGACGTGGCGCCCAGTCCTACAGCACAGACTTAGCAGAGGGGATCCAACGTAGGTCACGAGCCCCTGCCCTCAAGAATGAGTCTGAGAGTAAGCCGCACATAATGGCGCCATTGCAAAGGTAACAATATCTGTATATGGAGGGCCATAGTAGAGCTGACCCTCACCAGTGACGAGGAAGACCTAGGAATGAAGAGGAAGTGGAGCCATTCGTGTGAGAATATCGAAGCCGAGGATTTCCATCCATAGAGATTGCCGCTCCTCACCCCGGTACTCGCCGCCTCGTCCTTTTCCCACGGATAGTAGCATCCGCTCTCGAGCCACCACTGAGTCAATCCTCTATGGCTTTGATTGCCTTGCTAAGTCGTCTACGAAAAGCAATTGATGACAGCCAATAATCCTCGATATAGCAAGCCTCCGCTCTCGATTCAAGTCCGTGATATCTTATGGGTCAAAAAGCAGAGTCAAAATAGATCGCATTTCGAAAATTCTCTTCCGTGACTAGTGATTGCTCATTTCCGATGGTTGATGCCTACTTCGTGCCTTCTCATTTGGTATGATGGCGGCAGCAGCCACTTATGTGTCCTTCGATCAATCATCACGTGAGATTCATGTCATTGGCTTCCGTAGGGGCTCGGAGCAGAGAGGATAATCTCTTGTTGTCACTTAAGTGCCCAAGTACTGTGATGATTCTTTTGGTCAGGTTACCACGAAAAGATGGACAGCCTAAGTGCTCTTCTTCGCTCTCGGATACCTTACTGGCTCCAAGTGCCGGCTAAGCGCAGGCGTTGTTACTTGCCCACATACGTACGTTCAGGCTCGGATCAGAAGTCTCCAACTCTTTTGTGCATCAGCTAGACAATGGAGAATTTAGGGCAATGGAATCTCTCACTTTGGTCACTATAGCTGCAACATTGTAGCGTCGCTGGTGCGCTCTCAGTCGCTGCCACTTTTAGAAACGCCGCTAAAGCAAGCCCTACTCTAACCCTAATCTAATTAGGTCACTGGTTCAAACACGGTAGTGGGCATGCACCGTACCCAATTGTCCTAGGTCTACGCTGTTGGTCAACTCACACTCTTCGTCTACTTTTGCCTCAACTTCCTCTAAGCTCTGTGTGGCCCGGCAAAATGTCCGTAAAGCGCACCAGGAGCAATATAGAGTGTCATAAGCTGACGATAACAGGGAGAAACACCCTCCAGCAAGGCAGCCAGAAGGCAAGGAGGAATCTCTGACCACTTTACTCGATGAAGACCAGAGGGGGGAGCTTACCCTCCTCATCGCCAGCGTTGCGGCTGCAATGCGCAAGACCATTATCTCCAGCTTTGACGCCTCCGTTGGCATCTCGAAAGATCTCGTCCAAGAGCTCACTACCTCCGAAGATGACAAGATTACGAACCCCAATGTTGATCCTGGTACAGTAGACGTCGCCAAAATGGATGCGGAGCGGAAGCTAAAGGAGCAGCGGGAGAAAGAGCTCAGTGCTCCAGCTATGAAGGAACTCAAGCAAGCATCGCTCAAGTTCTTTGACGAATGGCGGAGTAGCGTTATCATGAGAGTTGGGGAGGTTGTCAATTCCAGAGAAGAAGCCTCTTCCCAAATGAGATCCGCCAAGGCACCGGACTCAGCTATTCACGCGCCATCAGACGTCAAGGTCGACCCATCCAAGCCTACGGAATCAGACGAGTCCGCAGCTGCGTCACTATCGAAGTTCTACCCTCCAATCGATACCCCACTCGCATCGCTCGACGAGAAAACCAAGATCCTTATAATACATTCTATGTTACTGCTCATGCTATCTCTGGAACACTACATTGGCCCATCACGCGTTCTCCTCCTCTACATAACCTCGTCGCTGAAACTTCCGCTCAAGATCTTGACTGAAGATGAAGAGAAGATGGCAAAAGGCCTGCTTGAAGCCGCGAAACACATGTCTGGAGACGCTGAAGCAAAGAAGAAAGTGGAAGAGAACAAAGATTCAAGGAAGTGGAAAGTGGGCCTGGCCACAGTCGCAGGAGCTGCTCTGATCGGCGTCACTGGTGGTCTAGCCGCACCATTGGTTGCGGCTGGTGTTGGGAGTGTTATGGGAGGTGTTGGCCTAGGTGCCACCGCTGCAGCGGGCTATCTTGGCACCGTGGCCGGAAGCACGGTGATTGTTGGTGGACTGTTTGGAGCCTATGGTGGACGAATGACAGGCCAGATGATGGACAACTACGCGCGGCAAGTTGAGGACTTTGCATTCTTGCCTGTGCGAAAGGATGGCAAAGATATCGAACAAGAAGATGAGAAAGAAGCCAAGAAGCTAGCCCAAAAGTCCAAACGAGTTGAAAAGTCGCTAGACACAGAGAGTGGTGTTCAAAATCCTCAAGACGGCCAAAGTGCGACGACCCCAAAGACTCATCACTTCCCTCATCATTTCAAGAAGGAAAACAAAGAAGACAAGGACGGCGTCGAGGATCCGGCCCAGCGCCGCCTCCGCGTCACCATTGGCATCACTGGCTGGTTGAACACGAAGTCGGAGGTTGTCACTCCGTGGCGTGTGCTTGGTCATGGTAGCGAAGTCTTCGCTCTACGTTTCGAGCTTGAAGCGCTCATGAACCTTGGTAACAGTATGAGCGCAATGGTGTCATCCGCCGCTTGGGGCTATGCCAAGTCAGAAATGATCAAACGAACCGTATTTGCAGGATTGATGGATGCAATGTGGCCCCTTGCCCTTCTCAAAGTCTCACGAGTGGTCGACAATCCATTTTCTGTCGCTCGAAGTCGTGCCGATAAGGCCGGTGAAGTTCTCGCCGATGCTTTGATCAACAAGGCACAAGGCGAGAGGCCAGTGACACTGATAGGCTACTCCCTCGGCGCAAGAGTCATTTATTCGTGTCTAATGAGTCTCGCCAAACGACGTGCCTTTGGCCTTATCGAGTCAGTTGTTTTGATTGGCGCTCCCGCACCCAGTACCACTGCAGATTGGCGCGTCATGCGCTCCGTTGTAGCCAGCAGGCTTGTCAATGTGTACAGCGAAAATGACTATGTTCTTGGCTTTTTGTACCGCACAAGCAGCATCCAATACGGCATTGCTGGACTTCAGAAAGTCGAAGGCATTCCCAGCGTTGAGAACGTCGATGTTAGCGAAAGTGTAAGCGGACACCTGCGCTACCGTTACCTCGTTGGTCACATTCTAAAGAAGATCGGGTTCGAAGACATTGAAATGTCTGCCGTCGCCAAAGAGGAAGCAGCATTAAAGAAGATGGACGAAGAAGATGCGAAGAAAAAGTATGCGGACAAAGCTAAGGCTGAAGGTGAGAAAGTACTCAAGGACAATCCTCTTGGCGTCGGCAAAGATGGAGAGAAGAGCAAGGAACAGCAACAAGCAGAATCATCCGCTGCCGAAGCCGAAGCTGTTCAAATGGAGCTAGAAGTACAGCAGGAGACGCAGAAAGGGATGTTGAAATCTGCGTGGGGATACCTGCCGAAGAGGCTGAGAGGTGAGAAGTCGAGTGGTGATGCCGAGAGCAAGGCTGCTGCGAGTGCGGATACGGGTGTTTTGCCCGAAGTTCAAAAGGTGGAGGAGAAGCCGCAACAGGGTGCTGGCGCATGGGCGTCTAATATTGCGGGAGGAGGGAAAGAAGGCTTGAGTAAAGCGTCTGGTTGGGCCAGTGGTCTGGCTGGAGGACTGATGGGTGGAGGAAGCAAGCCCAAGGAAGCTTAACGGTGAGTTGCCCGCTCACGGTTGAGTTAATGCGAGAGGGTAATGCGATAGGGGAATGCGTCATGTCTGATGATTAGAGGTATCTGGAATTCCATTTCTGATCTGTTATGGAGCCTGTGGTTGCAGCACCTTTTTACTTCCGTCTTCACATCTGGGAACCCCAGGATCCAGACCCCAATCAGACATTTCCACTCTTTCAAGTCTCCCCATCATCATCATCATCTACCACTTGCCTCACAAACCCCTCGGGCGCCATTCATCCCGGCCCGCTCTCTTCGCTCATTCCACCATCTAATGCCCTTACCGCCGCTCCCTTGAGTCTCTATAGCATCCATCGCAATACCCCTCGTCATCCACAGTCCAACCCACCGCTTTCACATGACAGTATTTGCAGGCCATGCGTTTTACTCTCGTCCCGTTGGATTTCGTCCTATTCCTCCCCTCCTGTTTTCTCTCATCACGGGCCTGCACGCTCGGAGTGAACTGCACACCTTTCTTGAGGCAAGAGCGCGGTTTCGGCATTGCAGTGGTGGTCGAGTGATGAGGTTTCGTCGTCGCGGTCGGTCCATGCCGATCTGTAGGTCCCGGATGGTCGGGGAAAGAGTTGGCTGCTACCCAGTTTGCCAGGCCGGGTTGGTCGTACGTGCTCATGCCGCCTTGGTGGACTGGGCGGGGGTCGATGTCAGGCGTCGTTGGGGCGCTTTTTCCCGTATAGATCTGGGGCTGGGGTGGGGTATGGGGAGGGGGGTCAGAAGGTGGATGCGTTGAGCTCTTTCCCACGTAGATCTGAGGCTGGGGTGCAGGTGGGATAAAAGTGGGATAGGCAGACGGTGGGTGGCGATTCGCTGGGTTTGCGAAGTAGGCGTTGTAGGCCGGTGATCCTGGCGGCAGGTACGGTGGGCCCATGAAGGATGGCATTCTTTTCAAGTGGATGTGGAGCTATGTGTTTACTATATGGAGGAGCTGATGTCATTCGCAGACGTTACGGAAGATGGATGTTGCAATGCGAGAGAAGACGGACGGAAGGGAAGAGAAGAGGGAACGCTGTCTGGATACAGAAGCGGGGTGTCAGATGCGTTGGAGCGAAGGGAGGGCGGTGAGGTCTGCATGCATGATCTACTTTCAACTCGACAAAAGATTGGCCATGGTTCTTATCTACGGGCGGGAATTTAGGGAATATTCTGCTCTGTACGTGAACACTCTTTCCGGCTTGGGAAGATTGCAAAGCGGTGAATGACGGACGGCGAAAGAGAAGATGTTGTTTGTTCAATTACTAACAGCCAGCTAGCTGAGACCCCAATTCATCATGGCCTGGGCATCTTTGTGACCTGGACGCCATTGCTAAATACAGACCAGGTGATCATCACAAGAAACCCCAACATCAAACCACCTTCTCTCACTCTCTCACACCGGCAACCTCCAACCCCTCGCCCTCGCCCTCGCCCTCGCCCTCCCTTCCCACCCCCGCGTTCCCTCCCAGCCCTCTTCCCCTCCCTAAACGGATAAGTACTATCGCACAACCTCCTCCCACCCTCCAACCACTTCTGGCTCCCGACGTGACAACTCTCACACATCAGCCGCTCCACCCTCCTCGCCTCAGGCCTCCCTCCACACTTGCTCTCGTGCTTCGTCCGATGCTCGCCGCCGGGATGCCAGTGCTCCGGCTCGCGTTCGCGGACCGAGACGCTGGGCGCGAAACGGACGCCTTTTTCCTTGGACGAACGCGGGTTTTAGTGTACGCTTCGATGGCGCCGTGTGCCGTGCCTGGGACCGAGGAGGTTTGTGATGAGTGTGATGGGCGACGGATTCTGATAGATTTTGAGGGATGTGGGATTGAGGGGTTGTGATGTGAAGATTGGTGTGGGGGCCTGGACGAATGCCGATTCGAGTCGTTGAAGATGCAGTCGTCGAATTGCTGAATCACCGGGTTCGTTATCTGGGCTGACGGCATGGAAGGGAAAGATGAGGACGGGGATGGCCTGGTATGTGTGGAATGCCGATTTGATCTTGAGTTGGATCCATGTGTCGATTTAGAGGCGTTGTAGGTCTTGCATTTTCTGAAACTGTTCGACGGGATTTTCGTCGGGAGCGTAGAGCTGGTCGAGGAACTTCTTGGGTAAAATGGGCTTAGACATGGTTGTCGAGGGTAGGATCGTACTATGGGCAAGGATGTTTGGACAAATTCAAAAGGATGGGATTGAACAATATCTCAAAGAGAGAAAGAAACAACAACGGGGGGAATTATTGATATGGCGGGGTGGCTAAACGTGTGAAAGGTCAGATATACAAGACGCCACCAGTACGCAACTCTGATTAACAGTCCCATCCGATACCAAGTCACAACCAGTCATTTGTCGGCCGTTATCATAGCTGGCGAATCAGACCATGTTAGCACGACATATCCTTACCACACCCAACGTCGTATACATCCCATCCCGTTCTTTGAACCAAGCATGCCAGACATCCACACACATCCTCCTACCTACCTACTCTAGCCCCCAATTCACCAACACTCTCAACGTCCTCTGCTGCTTCCCCAGCGACCGCAGAATCAACGGACTCAGCCCCAAAACCCCCTCGACACCCTTCCAGCCCTCAGCTTCCGGGCAGACCTGATCGAGAGCTTCAAGATCTGTGGCGACTTGCGCCATGATGTCGCTTCGAGGTTCATCCTTTCGAATCTCGGCTACTGCAAATGCAACCAGTCGTTTGTGGATTTGATCCTGTTTGGGATGGGCGGGGTTGACGTCTAGCCCTGCTATGACTGGATTGTTTCCGCGTTTCTCGGTAAGCCATCCTTTATTTTGGGGGTCATTGGTCAATCATGCCGTAGCGATAAACATACCATAAAAATCTCTCTTCATCGCCGCCCTACGCTGCTTGTCCATGTTACCCACAACTATCTGTACACAGCCTCGTTGATGAAATCCGGCAGTTTATGTGCAGGCGGGGGAGCATGAATCTTGCAATTCGTTATCCATACACTCCCCAGGTCGGTCCCCAAATTATGCGATACCGTACCATGGGCGATAAAAACGCGAGAATTGTTGTCCTCGAGCACGGACAGATAGTGGAAGTGTGCATACTGCTTGTGAGACGTGTCGCTGTCCGGCTGCCGAAGCAGGCAGCAAATGAAAGCGTTGGAGCGTGAAGTCGCGGTGCAGAGGCTTATCAGCCTGTTGAGGTCTTCGTCGTCGGTCGGGCTAGTTTTCGATACTCGGACTATTCGAACCGGCACAGATGCTGGGGTGTTGGAGCTCATTTTGTTGGTTTCGCAAGATGTATGGCAGAATGGAGAGGGTGGAATGTTGAAATGGCTGGGGCCTGGGACTTACTGTATATAAAGGAGACCAGCGGAAACAGCGATAACTGCACGAAAAAGGGACGGGCTGCTTTCCGAAAACGCAATACCATGTGCATAAAATCCATTGACGGTGTGAAAGATTTGGTGCCATCTGATGACCTGTGCGAAATACCTACCAATGCTGCGTTCTCTTAACCAAGCTCTAACGCTCGTCTTCGCCTCGATTGTCAGAAAAACAACTCGTTGGTCTCCAACAGCTTCCTTTCTCTTGTTACTAGAAAGTGATCACCTTCCTCCCTCAGCGCTGGCATCGCTATGCAAGTCTTGAAGAACTCTCCAAAGCCTATCAGCAGTTGCGCCTTCTCCTCCTCATACAGACCAATGTCCATCACAACCTCCCTCCTCGTTGAGCCTCTAATGACATAATACTGATCACCGTGGCGGACCCAGATTCTGGTCAAGCTGTCTCTCAGCTCTTGCGTAGCGAACCGGCGAATGTTGGGGCTCGATGCCTCCGCGAGTGGCCTCTCATTTATGTCGATGTTTGCCATATTTGCGTCACAGTCGCTGCGGAGCACAGCAGAAAAGTTCACAGCGAAAGATTTGAAGAACTCAATGTTGTCAACTGCAAACAGAGCTGGTCCTGGCAGACGGACGATATAGTCTAGGACCGGTAGAAGTGAGGAGATGGCTGAGTAGCATGCTGACATAGTCCTCAATGTCCTAACGTCTCTTGGTTTTGATTCGCAAGAATCCGCTATGAGTATTTCGAACGATTGTCGCGTCGAATCGAGGAAAGCAGTGATCATGCTTGCAATGGCGGCGACACTACCCGGGTTGGTGCCATCAAGATCCTTAAGTAGCTCTTCAAAGACTGCTTGCAGAGCTTGCAGATAGGGCATTGCTAGGACCCAGCCACATGCCGTGCTGAAAGCCATCTCGACATATGCCGGAATGATGTTCTTGACGAGGAAAGAGCGCAACGTCGGTATAGATGATACACCGTCCTCGAAAGCACTGGACATTGCCGTGTGCAGCTGGCCAACGAGGTATGGCTGTTGGCCATCGATAGCAGCTCGCTCGGATACAGATTGGAGGAAGACTGCGAGCTGCTTGGGCGTCCTAGCGTCTTGCAGTCGTAGGCCGTAATTCTTGAGCTGGCCGACGACGTATGTCGGATCCGTGGCGGGTAGCGGGAAGGCACCGTTGTCGGTGAAGAAGCGATCTATGGGACAAATTGTCGAAGTGTGCTGCTGCAAGAACTCGACGACACGATGCACGAAGTCGACATAACCTCCTCTGGCGTTTGATCCGTGGCCAAGCTCTTGATAATTACGCTTCATCGTCGCCATGAGGTGCTTGAGTAAATCCTTGAATTCTTGCCGAAGCTCATTGCCGTTCACAAAGGGTTCGAATACGGCACTTTCCAAAGAAACCCGCATATTCGACAGGACGCTGGAGATCAATGATAGCCTGCGATCAGAGAAATCTGATGCCGCGACTTGATATGTTCCATTGGCTGCATCCTTCCAAAAGGGTAGATTTTGTAGTAAAGAATTCTCAGAATCTGTGTTCAGCAAGGCACTTATAAGTCGATGTTGAAATTTGAGCAGTGACTCGCGCTCAACCAGCGAACAGACCCAAGACATCAAAAAGAACGCTTTGTGGTCATGGTAGGTTTTGTTGTCCCTCTCAATTAACCTAGCCAGATAGTAGGCAAAGAATTTCCTAGTCTGCTCCGTGTCTCGCAATGAACTCCAAGAGTCGTGTCCAAATTGACCAAGGTAATCAGTCCAAGATCTTAGCCCACCTCGAACCAGTCCTTGGGCAACGATAACCCAAACGTCAACCACCTTCAATAGCAGAGCATCATCGGGCACCTGGTCTGCTCCAAAGCAATTCGAGAGAAGATGCCTCAAAGGGTCGTGGAACGTAACAAACGGCGAGACCGTGTCTTCTTGTCGTGGTATGGCTGCGGAATCGTCGTCAAAAGCTGACCAGTCTCCATAATCTTGGCTTTCTTCGTTCTTATCGCAAGACTCTGACGACTTGCTTGCACATGCAGTGAGAACGTCTAATGCTTGTATAATTGGCTTATTAGCTTGAGTTCTGCTCGCGTCAAACAATTCGAAAACTTTGGCCAACGTCGTAGACAACAAGGTTGAAGCGGCTTTAGGATTCAGAGCGGCGTCGGTAGCGAGCTTAAGGCACACCAAAGCGTCACTCAGTATTGCTTCGACCTGGCGCTGGTTCCTAGCTATGGTTGTTTCAAGCAATTCTTTGGACACAATAAGGCCACCGACGGACTGCGCTGATCTGACTTGGTCCTCCGCTTCCGTGCGAGCAAGACTATGCTGTCGAAGAATTTGCGCCAAAATATGATTGTGCCACTCAGCGAACGGCTCTAGGTTAGTGATAGGCTCATCGGTCGATAATTGGAATTTGACGAGGTGGAACCAGGCCCGGATGTTGATATGGCAGGCCTCTCGATGCGAGATTTCCAGGTTGACCAGGTTGCGAATGACGGTCAACGGCGGTCTGCAGCTGGGCGGGGAAGCCCAGTATAAAGTACAGAGCAGATCATGGTGATTTCGCAATGCGTCTAAATGTTCTTGACGAATGGCTTCTTCTTTCGGGTGGGAGCGGCCATGATTTGGCATCAAGCGCCATACTACGTCTCGAATCTTCTTCTCGGAGTATGACTGTCGCATGTGCTTGACGCCGCTTCCTATAATCTTTAGCAGGATATGAAAGCCCCTATCTTCGGCCTCAGAGATCAGATTAGGGTTCTCGCCTAGACGTTCCAGAAAGAGCGGTGAGCCCTTGCTTTCTTCGCTCCTCAGATGAGCTAGACTGTTACGAGCGAAATAGTCGAAAAGTGTTCCAATGATGGATTCGCATCTTCGCCAGCCCCAGCCATTGATCAAGTGGAGGCAACGCCCAAAGATGGCTCGGCAGTAAGAGTTGAAGCTAGGAGGTTGCCGTTGTGGGTTACTTAGCGAAGCTTCCAACACAGGGTTTATGAGGCGCTTAGCAAGCGTCCAATTGTCAAATGGAACCCTGAACCGACGCCCAGTCTCTACAACTCCTTGTGCGTCCATTTCGAGGAAAGGTAGCAAGGTAAAGAGCTGTTTCCAAGATTTCTCAGCCAAAGCGACATCGAAAATACCATGCGAGGATCTGGTTGGGACAGCTTTCAGCAAAGTCAGCCAGACGCTCGTCTTAGAGTCTGGGTCTTGGCCAAGCACATGTTGGGCAACAACGAATGCTTCGATGGAATAGTCCTGGATGCGATAGTCTGCATTCTGATTCCTAAGATTTGATAGACAAGTCTCGAACGGCTCAAGCCCCTTTCCCAGCGACAAGTCGAGAGTGTGAAGGGCTGCTTTTTGAACTAGGGATCCAACTTCATCCTGCAATCTTGACGGTATGAGCTCATGCTTAGAGATCTGTCTCAATTGGTTGGCAACTGATAGGTTAAGTGTGCTGATTTGGATGTCCTTTTGTAACTTGTCTGAAATTTGGTGGTTGGTTGTTCTGCTGACTGCACTATGATCGATGAGCTCAGCAGTCAAGGTAAGAATAAGGCTCTTGCATCTCAGGACGTATGCAACTCTGTCCACTGGGTCAAGGAAGCTCAAATGATTCGAGAAGTATTCAAGAATGCTTTTTTGCAAGAGCAAGACTTGCTCGTACCTAAGGAAACTCGGTGCTCCTAGGCTCTGGCCCGCGGCATTTTGTAGCGACTGGTTAATTGCCTCGAAAACTTCACCCAGCTCCGAAGAGACAGCGTCATTCCATGGGCCCCATCTCAGGCTCCTACCATTGAAATTCGCAAGGGCGTATCCTCTGGAGCTTTCGAGATTGGCGGTAATCGCATGTTTGAGAGCCTTAGCAAAGGCACCATTGCCTAGTAAAGTGTTTGCACTAAAGCAAGTTCCCGTAGGTAGAGGAGTGACACCAAAAGTGTCACTATACCGGGTTCCAAACGGTCCCAGGCCAACAAGCATGTCCCTTTTCTGTACTTCAGAGGAATCCACAGCTTGACCTGGATAATCATACGAGATAACAAGTGCACTGGGCTCTCTGGACCACGTTTCGGGAATATCCACGTGTTGTGGCTGTCTTTTTCTCCGCTTGTGGGGAAGGATCCTCTTGGTGGGGGTAGCATTGGCATCCTGACCCACTATCACACGATCTGCCTGTAGAGCAGCAGTATTGGATGGCCGCATGCCGTCCTCTCCAAGAAACCTCCGTACTACAACACCAGGAAGTCCTGAATCATCCTCAAAGTGATTGACTCTGGCCAGATCTCGCTGAAACATAGCCTGTGCATGTGTCCCATCTGTGTCTGCCCGAGTAGACTCTAGCATTGCTGGCCTTGAATCCTTGATAGCTCGCAACGAAGAGACTATCTGCCCTCGCTTTTTTGGCTTCTCGATAGATTGCTGAAGCCATGAGGGCGCTTTCTGTTGGCTAGTCTGAGGTTCGTCTCTACATCGACGCTCGATGAGATGATCTAGGGAGGTCTGAAGCTTTCGAGACTTTGTGAGACGAAGATGCGATTTCGCGGATGTCTTTCGAGAGGCCGACAATTTGAACTCTTGGAAGCTCCGTGTCGTTTTGGACGCCAACGAGGGCACGGGGCTATTCGTTGAGCGCGGGCACAAAGGCTGGCGAGTTGATGCTTCATTGATCTTGTCGTTAGCCAAAGGTACAATGGTTCCTTCCCGCCAATTTTGTAGGGTCTCATTGGCATCGTTATCATCATCCCTTGTTGCCAAGCGGACAAACTTTCGAGACGGACTGTGTCTTCCTTGATCACGGCGTGAGCGTGCTGTGCGAGTTGCGACTTTGAGAAATTGGGGCACAGAGTCCTGAGGTAGTCCCTTCGTTAATGGTGCGTCAAGTATACCAAGTCTCGGCGGGCGATATTTGGGTTTCTCCCTGTGACTTTCGTCGAACTGGTCCATGAATTTGCGCTGATGGGCGCCATTGCTTGAGGCTTTCTTCGAGATGCCGTAGGGAGTAACCCGAGGACGGGGGTGGATGTCTCCTATCTTAGTCTGGCGTTTGTTGCTTTTTCGGGAATGGAAAGCCCTTGTTGCCGAAGGCAACATGGCATCGATTCGGTCGTCTTCTGCAGCCTCTCCCCATCTTCCCGTGAGAAGCCCTTCTCCACCATTCTCAAGCATTTGATGCTGGCGTTGATGAATTCGAGTTTGTTGCGGCAGCTCGTCTGACTCCGATTCGAGACCATCGTCATCGGCCAGCACAGTGATCTGCGGTCTTCGATTCGGCGTACCAGGTCTCTTGCTGCCTGCCGCGATAATCATGCGCGCTACACCTCGTTGAGCAACGTTTCTGTCAGGCGATACACTAGGAAGAGCCTTGTAAGTATCCTCGGGCTTCTTCTTTTGGGTTTTCAGGTCTAGCTTCAGCCAAGACGCTGGTAGGACTCCGCGTATCTTGCGTTGTGCGCGCTGAAATTGGTGAGATGTTTCCTGTTCGGATGGACACATCTCAGCGTCGGTTGAGTCATCAGAGTCTGTCGTTCGTCTGATTCGGTGAGAGCGACTATCAGAATGTTCTTCTTCCGAAAATTCGAGCAGGTGCCGTCGCCTAGGGTCTGAAGAAGTCATCGGCGTTGGAAGAGCAGCAGGCGTGGTCCTTCGCGGCACCCGAAAGACAGGCAAAGCAGGGCGACCAATCTCTTGTGGTATCTGACTCCCCGACCGAGGTGGTGATGGGGCCACGTCAAATATAACGTCGTCCTCATTGAGTGCTGGGCTAGCTTTGTCCCCGGGCAGGGATGAATGTCGGTTCAAGACTAAGCCTGGGGGCATCCTGAAGGTCGTCGATTTCGCCTTACCAATCTTACGCCTCTTATGGCCATTGCCGACATACTTGAGCATTGAATGGCTGAGAAGGGTACTCATGTCCGGTAAATCATCATCTCCAAAGACAAAGATGTCCCTCTCGTCTTGAGATGTGACAATCGGAGAGCCCTCAAGCTGGATGGGAGATGCAGAATAGGGTTCTGGTTGTTCGGTGTCACTGTCCACAAGCTGGCTATCTTCGCCATAGAATTCAATGTTCTGAGACTCTTGTTCCCGTGTCTTTGCAGCCTCGGCTTCCATTTGCGCTATACGCAGGGGTTTCACTCCTCTTGCTTTGAGAGTTTGGCGGTATTGCTCGCTCTCAAGCGCGTATGGGCGTAGCTGAATGGGATTACGGTGGCGTAGATTGCGAGTCGCTCTCCCAGATTCATGAGCTTGGTTAACAAACTGTGGCTCTGGCTCATTTGTAGTGTTGTGGCGAGAAGTTGACTCGAGAGTCTCGGGACCGCCGTCTATAGAGGTTTCCCGTTCATCACTTTGATCTTCGTGAGTCGACTTCTGCGTGCCTGGTGTGGATGGTGTCCCATGATTGGTGATGAACAACTCGGGCAGTGGCGAAGACGATAGAGAGCTTGAAAATGCAACTTCGTTGGGTGGGGTTAGGCTTGAATAAGGTCTCGCCTCCAGGTCATGGGCTCTATCGGGCAATTCTGCTGTAAGTCGTGCTGCTGGTGTGGCACTGTAGTGATCTTGTTGGAGCTCATCGATATCCCCGTCGGAATATACCATGAGTTCTTCGGTATTTTGCCCCACTACTGGTGACAGAGCATCTTCTTCCTCACGTTGCACTAGTAGGGTTGCCGCAGTGCTGCATTGTTCTCCTGTACTTGTAACACCAATTCCGTTGTTTCCAACTCCACCATCCCTGCCTTCTCTTGTGCCCCGACCGTCATAAGCCTTCCCATCGTGCGGCTCGCCAGACTCGATAGCTTCTATGTCACCAATGTGGATTGCTTCCCTGGATGCCGTAAGAGTCGGATTCTGAGAGTCTTCTTCCTCGTCTGAGTCCTGGACGTAACCACGGGCTCTCCAGTCTGCCATCTGGAACCTCGAGCATGTCGTCCAGCGGTCACGTAGTCCTCACGATGACATTTGTCATTGGGAGGTGAGGCCGACGCGCCTGGAATACGCGACCTTATCTTATCTTAGTGTGATTAATTGGAAAGCTTGCTTTCTCATTACTCAAGACTGAAATCACAAAATGTTCGACAACCATAAATTTAAAGTTGACCAATCAGATCTTCGGATTTCGTGATTTTGAAGCTAAAACTCACCTTATTTCTTCGTTTCTAAGCTAAAAGCGGGTGCACACGGGTACGTTCAAAAGAGGAAGCTGGAAAAGAACTTCAAAATCCTCAAATCTACCTTTTTTGATTCCTTTTCTTTTATCAAAAATATGATAATAAACTAAGTACGTAGAGTTATAGAGTTAACTATGCGCTTTCAAATAGTGTAGCGTAGACGAAATTTGATAAAGTATCCGTAAAGATATACTAAAAACTAAGATTTTTACTTGAATTATAGAGCCTCTCCGGCAGGAGCCCTCGGAGAGCCCTCGGAGAGCCCCCGGAGGGTTAGGGGGTTTCAGGGGGTCTCCCCCTGAGTATATCAAATAAATTACAACGTCTCTCTCGATTCTCAGTGAAATATAACGTCTCTCTCTAACGTCTCTCTCTAACGTCTCTCTCGATTCTCAGGGTTAGATCCCTTAAAATCCCTTAAACCCTTCGGAGCTCTTTAAGGGCTCTCCGAGAGCTTCTGTCGAGGGGCTGTCAAAGCAAGCTCGAAATCAATCAAATATCACTAAAATAATCAAATTTCGAGCTTGCTTTGACAGCCCCTCGACAGAAGCTCTCGGAGAGCCCTTAAAGAGCCCCCGAAGGGTCCGAGGGGTTTTAGGGGATCTCCCTGAGAATCAAAAATAGTTAAAAACCAGTACTTGGCAAGCTTTTCACTACTGGGAAGGACACGCCCCAGCACATATTTAGCCTCCTACCACTACCACTACGAGTACGGCAAATTAAGCGTAACAAATGGACAACAACAATCTTATGAAGCTCGAATTTTCCTGAAGACCACTGCTACTGTGCCTGATCAGTGGTGCTCTATAGTGGATTAAGGATCGAGTGTTTCGAATATCTCAGGGTGGGAGTAATAACAGGGTCACCCGCAGACCTGTATAAACCGAAATATATCCGCACACTCTGTCTCTTTCTCCCAGATCCTACGCCCGCTTCAACATAATGTATCCTAGCCCACGCAGCACGATCGTGGCAGGCGCATGAACCAATATTCCCGAATCCGCCACCCCCAACGCCGTTAACACAAGAGCATAATTCCAATCGCCTGCTCCTTTGTGTATCCAAAAGATCCCAGTATGAGCCCAACGACCGTAGCGCGAGCGGGGCAAAAGTAAATGAACGGATTCATGTGATCCTGGCTGATCTCAGGTGATTTATCCTGGCTGATGGCGCCCTTCAAACATGAGTGAGCCGCTGCCTGTCGGATGTTCTGATCAGATATGCAAAATCATTACGCAAAAACTTGCCGCCTTGGGGGAACGGTTCGTAGCGATGGCGACATTGCATACGTGGTTGGAGATCCAGACGCAGCCAAAAGTATGCAGCTAGCTCACGAGGAAATCCGTAACAATGTGGAAGATATCTATTGACAACGTCGCTCCGTCACCAACCACCTCCCTTCTGCCGCGTTCAACACCGTTTCTACTTGTCCTTTCCTATCATACCCCTTTCTGCATTTTGATGCGAACTTGTTTCTCCTCCAAAGACGCTCCCTTGATTCTGGTTGGCCCCACTCGCTTGGCTACTTCCCTGTCGGCTAGCATTTGCCGTCCTGTCAACCCCCTTGGAATCTCGGTAGGCTCTGAGAATACACCAAATACTGCGACGATCGTACCTTCGGCACCAACCACGCTCAGTCCCACTTCGCCGCATAGCTTGCTCGCTCCTTCGCGCAGCCGCAACCTTGGTCTATCCTTGAAGTGGCTTAATGGGAGGCATACTGTCGAATCGCGTTGATGTTGCACTGCGATTGCTAGTCTCATCTTCAGATTTGTCATCAACCTGAGTGCGAAGAGGAATATACATCGGCTCATGTTGCTAAGGACGCCAAGGCGGAACGACAATAAGTTCGAAGGCCGGTGAGCCTTCCACTCTTGCATTGCTGCTCCTCATCTCGCCTTGTTTGTTTGTCAGCCAGCACTTGCGATGGACGTTCTCATAACCTGCTTGGTAAGTATAAATGTCATATTCTGACAGTGACCGAAGTGGACGTTCCTCGCGGCCATCTCTAGGGACGATGTCTTCCGGTGGGCGCTGGACATTGAATCGTTGCTCTTAGGACCGCTATAAATCTGGTCTGTCCTCGCTCAGGACAACGTCACCGTCGGCACCGCCGAATACAACGTGACCTCTGACGCCGACATCCTTGCCTTTATCCAAGCCAGCCTAACGACCATCTACCACGCCGCCGCGACCTGCAAGATGGGCAGCTCCAACGACAGCATGGCTGTGCTAGACAGCCAAGCACGCGTCTACGGGACGCAGAATCTGCGCGTCGTGGACGCCAGCTCATTTCCATTCCTCCCACTGGGGCATCCTCAGTCTACTGTTTATGCGCTGGCTGAAAAGATCGCGGCCGATATCCTGGGCGCTAGTGCACCACCGCCGGGCTACTCGATGACGGGCTATGCGCAAGACGTAGCGCAGGAACAAACTCGTTTGCAGACTCTGACGAACAGTAGCAATCAGGTTTCAGCTCAGCAGGAAAGTGGCGCCGCTTTGAATTTTCCTTCGCGTACCTCAGTAGTGGTATTCGTTGCTCTCTACGCAGTCTCGTTGACTTGGTTCACATGTTGTTTCTAATTGTCGATTTCAGAAGTGCGCATGAAGATGAGGTCAGAAGATGAACATACCTATATAGGATCATGTGGATGCCAGGAAAAGCTGTGATTGTAAGTAGAGCCATATATATGGATGCATACCTACGTCTTTGGATGTGTATATGACTGCATGACTGCTGGAAACCTCCCAATTTGTGAAAAACTCTCCACCCAGAACTCGCACGCTCCTTTGACCGCCTTGCAGCCGCAACTGTAGGCAACTAAGCCGAGCGAATTTCAAAACTTACTTGGTCGTAAGATACCTTTGGACCCCGTCTTAGAAAGGGTCAAAAGACCGTGACTCCTTGGATCAATCACGAACTCACTTGAATCAATCATCCGGAAGTCGATCCGTCTCTGCACTATCAACATTCGTTACCAGATCCTATGTATGAAGCATCGCTGAATTCTTTGAAGTGAATGCAAGACATGTGAACGCAAGACCCCGCAGACCCTAGGGAGAACTGGGCAAGACGAAGGGTCCCTACTTCACACGTCCCCAGCGCTATGAGTCAGCCAAGATCGTTTCCCTGTCTTCATCTTCGTTGAAAATTCAATTGCATTGAAGAACATGCCTTGTTTGCATCAATGAATCCTTGTACAACCAATGTACTAGCAAGACCTAGCTATCAGATACCACCAAAGGGAACAAGGGGACAAGCGTGTGTGCAATCAATAAGCACAGCGCTCTCTTCTCCCCCACACAGGCCTGAAAAAAGCTGGGTCTTCAAGCACCAACCGACAAACCTGCACAACAAAAAGCCCCCACAAACCGCACACTCACCCCACCCCCATCCATAACCAACCCACAGCACCATGGACATCTGGATCTACGAATACCAACCCACCTGGCCCACCTCCTTCCTCGCCATCCAATCCGAGCTCGCCTCGGACCTCGCCCGCGCCCCCATCGCCTACCGCGCCATCACCCACGTCGGCAGCACCGCCGTGCCGGGCCAGACGGGCAAAAACGTCATCGACGTCCTCATCACGGTGCGCCGCGCCGATTTCGCCAAACACGTCATCCTGCAGCAGTTCAAAGGCGCGCTGATGCACGGCGTCGCGCAGGGCGGGTATTACTACCTGGGCGACGGCGGCGTGCGCGGCCGCTGGAGCTTCAAGCTGCGCGCGGTGGCGGCGGAGGGGAGCGTGGTGCAGAGGAGTTGCGTGGCGTTGCGGGATACGCTGCGGGCGGAGCCGGGGCTGAGGGTTGAGTATGGGAGGGTGAAGTTGGAGGCGTCGGGGGGGGAGTGTCGGAATATTATGCAGTATGCGACCAAGAAGAATGGGGTTGTGAGGAAGATATTGAGGAAGGCGGGGTGGAGCGAGGAGGACATTGATGAGAAGGAGGCTCAGGCTGTGAAGGATTGGCCTCGGGGGTTGGAGATCTAGCGGGCGGAGATTCTGTTGGATGAGGCGGATCAGAGGGCGGTTGGATCGTGGTTGGGCTGCTATTGGGGGGTGCTAACCTTACTGCAAAAGATCTATCGGGTGCTATTTTTGTATGTAGAGAGCAATGAACGGGCGAAACCTTTCAAACCTTTCATTACTACGTCTTCGTTACCTCTGCAGAGACTACTCACCGAAACATGATCTTTCACCACCAAGCTTTCTACTGCGTTAAAGATGCTTTCCACCTAGATCCACGAAGAGTACAAGAAAGACAGCCGCTCGCACCACGCGAACTAAACCACCGGCCCAACCCTCAATGAGAACATCTCCACATCGTCCCTTGAAGTCGTCCCTTGAGATCGTCCCTGCAAAGTCCTAATCCCAGCGTGACGCGCGCAATTTCCCACCTCATGTCAAAATCCAGGCTCTGTGATGTGTAGAATGGATGAATTGTCCTCCCCAAGCTCCCCTGGAGCACGTCTTATGTACCATACCAATTAGGTGGCTGGGAGGAGGCTGGGAACCCCACATTCTGACACCTCAGCGAGTTTTGCACTGTGAGCACTGCTGATGGTTACACCCCACACTGCTGCAAGTAATAGTAACTCCGATATAGTTCCTGTCGTTTCCGCAGCAGTGGCATATCCACCACGTTTCCCACGAAAAGAATGAACTAGTCTCAATTAGAAATTTGAATCCTGGACGGGATAGTGGCTTTGATGCGTACGCATCCGGTGTTTCGGTGTCAAGGGTAAGAGGTTTCGAGGCTTGTATCGAAGCTCGAGCTGGGATCTCAAGGGCTGTATCGGTAGGAGAGTTTTGGACGCCCATCGCCGTGGGACCTGCACGTTGGTGTCAAAACATGCAAGATTCGACGGAAGTCAGCAGGGGGATATACTCGTACAGCGCATCTTACGAAACGTAGTGCGGTGAAGGTGGTTTCTGTAGAGTTTGCACAGAAATTGGGATCGAATAGCTAGTTGATGTGAGGCAACTAGGCGGTGCCTTACGACGAGACTAAAAAGAGAGCAAGAAGAGCTTTACTGGGAGACGCGAAAGAACGATGGGAGTCGAGGGAACGGCATTTCCTAAATATTCAATTCTTAGCGCCAAGGGCCATCATCTCTCCCAACTCCGAAAGAGGTAGCAGCAGAAAAGCGCCGAGTGAGCGTCATAGATAGCATGCGCAGCCTTTGAATACGAGAGGGAGTATTCAAGGTCGGTGCTGAAAGCTCGCCGGCTTTCGCAAAGGAAAGTTGCTACAAATGTAACATAAGGCACGGAGACATTCGTACGAACGTCGAATGTTCTACCCTTTTCTGTAAGATTACTGAGTAGACATAGATCGATTCTCGACCCAATATTCGGAGAAATCCCAGAGTAGAAGGTGGAAGGTATTGGAAGGTATTTGCAGTTTTTTTTAGCGTGTTTATGATATCGTAGGAGCGAAAATGAGGGTCGACGGTCTCAAGGAATCATTCGAGATACTTCGACAACAGGGGCACAGCTCACGCCTCATGGCCTCTGAGGGCTCCAACTTTGCTCGCAACTACCCGCATGCAACGAAGAACCAACAGACTTTCAAAGCCTGGGAGTGTTGCTACTGGACAGCTGGGGCAAGCATACGGGAAGGTCAGACAAGGTGGTGGGAGATTGACAAACCTAGTAATGACACCGACCACAACTGCAGATGCGTCCCTCCTCAATTAGAGGGGTATCGATACGTTCCTTGATCATGCTGATCAAGGACGGATCTGGAACTGACAGCTATTAGTCTGGGCCGCTTTAGAGCATTGACCTACTGATCCGACTGGCTGCAACTTCCGTTTCTGAGAATCAGGTGAGCATATGTGTTGCATTCGCTCAGCCTCGGTGATCGCTTGAAACTTGGTCTTGGAGATCCAGAGCCTTAAGAGTAGAGAGTTGCATTGAGGTGATGCAATTTGACTGCTGCAACCTGCTGAATCAAGCCATGTGTCGCTACAGCTTTTTAAGCATGGCATTGACGGCTACAGTAATCACTTCGGCCACCGAGCATGGTTTCACCTCTCCCCAACCATGGCCTCATCAATCTCCGTCCCCAAATCCCTTTCCTCTAAGAAAAGACTTTCCCTCAGCTCTTGAGGGAGGTATTCCTGCTGCACCTTTCCATCCACAAACCTAGGATTGTACTTATACTCAGCTCCATACCCCATCTCCTTCATCAATCTCGTGGGCGCATTCCTCAAATGTATCGGAATCGGCAGTGCAGCTACTCCTGGTTCTTTTAAAGCGGCCATCGCATTGCCTAGTCCTCTGTACGCGCGCGTACTCTTTGGGCTTGACGCAAGCGCAACGGCGCAGTGCGCTAGGTTTATCCTTGCTTCTGGCATGCCGATTTTCTCCGCAGCGGTGTATGTGGACGTGGCGAGCGTGAGCATGCTGTTGTCCGCAAGTCCGATGTCTTCCGAGGCTATGACAACCATCCGCCGGGCGATGTAGAGGGCATCCTCGCCCGACTGTATCATCCGAGCGAGATAGTCTAGATTAAAATTTCGCCGTCAGTATTACCTATTCGAGGACGTATATCGAGCCTTGGAACATATCTCGAGAGTAAAGACGCCCAACACATTTGTCAAGACTCAAGATTTGCTCCAAAAGGGGAAACATGGGCTCCGGAGATACGTACAGAGCGCAGCGTGGGGGTCGGAGCCACGCACAGACTTATGAAAGGCCGAGATGGTATCGTAGTGCTGATCACCCGACCGGTCATAGACCAGTGTCTTCGTCAGCGAAGCCTTGATGATCTCTTTCGTCGCGTCTGCCCGATGCGACAAGTCCATAGCTAGTTCGAGGAGATTGAGTGCCGTTCTCGCATCTCCATCGGCAAAAGAGGCAAGATACCGTATCAATTCTTCGTCGACTAACTCGCTCGGCTCATAGCTTGGCCCTTCAACATCCAGCGCCCTTTTCAAAATCGCCACCACATCCCCCTCCATAAGCTTACTTAGCGTAAACGTTCTACACCTCGACAGAAGCGCATTCTGCACCTTGAAGCTCGGATTCTCCGTCGTAGCCCCAATCAGCGTCACGGTCCCCGCCTCTACCGGGCCCAGAAACACATCTTGCTGACTTTTACTGAACCGATGTATCTCGTCACAAAAGATGATAGTCTTCCTGCCCGTCAAACCCAACTCTCCCTTAGCTTCTGCGAACAATTTCTTACACTCCGCCACCCCAGAGCTCGTGCTGTTTATCTCGACGAAGCGGGAGCCAACCGTATTGGCGATCACGCGTGCTATCGTTGTCTTCCCGGTGCCGGCACTGCCCCAAAGGATCATTGAGGGGACACGGTCAGATTCGATAAGGCCGCGTAGGACGCCGGTGGGGCCGACGAGATCTTGGCCGTATACATCGTCGAAGGTTTGAGGGCGCATGCGCTCCGCGAGAGGAGCCGCACGCTGGAGGGCATTTGGCTTGGAGCGCTTGGAGGGCGGCTGGTCAGAAAGGGATGTTGGGACTCGGGAAGGGCGAGAATCATCCTCAAGCTCTAGAGAAGGAGAGGGAGCTGGTCGTTTGTTGCTCGTTGGTGTCGTGAGAGATGGCTTGGTGCCATTTGTAGAGGTGCCATTCGTATTGGAAGAGCACTCTTGCTTCACGAGTTTGGTACTGGGCGCAGCTGGAGCAGGCCTCTTGCTCGAAGGTGTCCGAAAGAAGCTCGCGACTTGGGGCGTCCCATTTTGAGGGCCCTCGGCTGCATTCTGCTCGTCAACGAAGGATATGCAACCCGAGTCGATGTGTGAGTTGATGTTTGCCTCTTTCACGTGCTTGCTGCATATGGGACAGTCCACCATCGTAGTCGTCGCTGAATTGGAAGCATTATCAAGCTTGAAGCGCGTACGAGGGTAGATATTCCCTTTGATTTGCGCGAATCTGGCGGAAATAGAAGTCTTGGCACGGGAAGAAGACAGAAATCTGCCCCGAGCACAAATACTTTAGGTGCACAGAGGCTGCCGCTTTTAGGGTGCGGGTTGGGCTGATAGAGAAGGGTCACCCAAAATGCGAGCATACAACATATGCTACGATAATCAGGGTGATCAGCTTCTATAAATACTTCTCGTTGCAACATTTACACTACTGTCATATCCTGGTACTCTTGCTGTCCAAGAGCCGATGCGCCGGGGTTTACGAGTAGCACTCTTGCTCAGAGTAACGTCGGCCGCGCAAAAGGTCGAAATTCAGCCTGAAATCTTGAGAGGTATACTCCGTACGATGGTGAGTATATGTAAAGATTATCAGACCCTGGAATGAAACACGCTGGGCTCCAGACTTTCATCCTCCCTCTCCTCCACTCCAACCTAATGGACTCTCTGCTTCGTCTCCTGCACCTTGGCAGAGTTGTGACACAGCCTCAGAAACTAGCCGCTTACAGTCCGTTCGAATGTTTACCAACCGAATTGATCCAGCAAATCGCAGCCTGGCTACCGCCTAGCTCCGCTGCCTCGCTCTCCTTGTGCAATCACAAGCTACATATTATGCTTGGCAAGAGATCTTTACAGGATCTATATCAGAGCGATCCGTGCCATAATGAGCAAGCACTTTTGTTGCAGGCGTTGGACCGAGACTTGCCGGAGACTCTGTACTGCTTTGTCTGTAACAGGCTACACGTTCTTTTTCAAGGACACGAGAATGGATTGGGAGCCAAGGAATTATACAGACGAGTATCCGACGGTCGGTGCCCGAGCAGCGATGGTACATACAATTATGGGACTACCTACACCTATCATGCTGAATTCAAATTCGAGCATGTTCAGATGGCTATGAAGTTACATCGTCGTGGCCTTCTATCTGACGCAAAGGCCTACTTGACGGGCTCAGCATTTCTTCAACCTGCCCGTGGTCGTATGACTTATTTACCAGCCAATATAGGTTTGTATCTTTTCGAGCCTCGATTTGTGAATGATCAAATCTCTGTGCGTGCTCAATCTTGGATTCTCATTCCAGGAGAGCAAGGCTCCATA